CTTCTTTTTCCCCAACCCTGCACACTCGTCAGGTCCAGCAAATGGCCGATAACAACCATCCCAACATCGTGCGGCCGCTTGGTAAATGCATGTTCAATCTTCTTTTTCCCCAACCCTGCACACTCGGCAGGTCCAGCAAATGGCCGATAAGAACCATCCCAACATCGTGCGGCCGCTTGGTAAATGCATGTTCAATCTTCTTTTTCCCCAACCCTGCACACTCGTCAGGTCCAGCAAATGGCCGATAAGAACCATCCCAACATCGTGCGGCTGCTTGGATTTGCTGTGGGAGGGGACATGAGAACACGGCCGGAGCAGGTCCTGATTTACGAGTTTGTGTCCAACGGTGACCTCGCAAGGTGGCTGGATCCAACAAGTATGTCTGTCCACGCTCAATGCCTTCCTGCTTCTCCTAGCACACGACAAAACGGTGTGCCAAATGCGCGTTGTGCCTCATGCTCTTTGCTTGATTCTGAAAGAATCCGAATCAATAGATTTCTTGCTTGGAGGTTCAAGAATAAGAGTTGGATTGGCTGGGCTGCAGCTGGAGTCCAGTGGTGTTGGCGATATGTCAAACTCTCAACCCTGACTACTCTTGGGAGTCAAGAGATCGATTTTGAAGCTCTTGCTACAACTGTACTCTACACTCAACAATTGAGTCTTGCACGCTATAATCTTCCAAATCCTGTGTCCCCAGGCTCTCTCCCCAATGATCTCTCCCTTATGCTGCCTCCCCCCTGCAGAGGCACCATTCTCACTGACCCTGCCGCAGCGGCTGGGCATCCTGATCGGGGCGGCTCGTGGCTTGGAGTATCTCCATGGCTTTGGCTTCGTGCATCGCGACATCAAACCCGCCAACATCCTGCTGGATAAGGAACATGCAGGTGCGTGTGCGGTGTTGTGGGTGTGGGTGTGCGTGTGTGTGGGTGCGGGTGTGGGTGTGGGTGTGGGTGTGGGTGGGTGTGTGTGTGTGTGTGTGTGTGTGTGTGTGTGGGTGTGGGTGTGCGTGTGTGGCTTGGAGTATCTCCACAGCTTTGGCTTCGTGCATCGCGACATCAAACCCGCCAACATCCTGCTGGATGGGAACATGCCGGTGCGTGTGTGGTGCTGTGGTTGTGGGTGTGGGTGTGCATGTGTGTGGGTGTGGGTGTGGGTGGGTGGGTTTGTGTGTGCGTGTGTGGCTTGGAGTATCTCCACAGCTTTGACTTCATGCATCGCGACATCAAACTGCCAACATCCTCATTGGTGCTGACATGCAGGTAAGCTCCGAGGAACTGAATCAAGCATAGTGAAATCGCATTGAGGCATCTATTACGTGTCGAATGGAACAGAGAGCAACATGACACCAAGCCCGCCAACATCCTCATTGGTGCTGACATGCAGGTAAGCTCCGAGGACGAGACATCATAACATGTCCATCCAGGTATTGCAACCACAGCTGAGAAGGGCTGGTTTCGAACCGCAGCAAGTCTGCCCGGGTCCCTAACCTGTAATACTTTTAGTAACAAATCACCCTGTGATACTTCTTCCAAATATGAATTTCTCACACGCATACTGACAGTATATTATTTGGTTATGGTTTAGATGCGCAATTAGTTTCCTACGGTCCGTGCTCTGCAGGATTATGTATCCCTCTCGCTCAATCCAACAGCTTGTACCTCTTTCGTATCACCCTTTTTCTGATATACTCTCTCTCTTCCCCAGGCCAAGGTGGCAGATTTCGGATTGGTGAGGGTGGGAGAGGGCACGACAGTGGGTTGCACGCGAGTGATGGGAACACCAGGTTATGTGGACCCTGTTTACTCCAGAACGTCCAAGGCAACCACAGCCACTGATGTTTACAGGTATATGAGGGAACTTTTGAGTCCGCTCAACCATGAGGTGAGGTGACTTATGAGTCGACTTAGGAAGTGGAATCTGTTTACTCCAGCACTTTAAAGGCAACCACGTCCACAGATGTATACAGGTACTTGAGGGAGGATGAGAGGCTTTTTGTAAGGTTACAATGAGATTGATCATCTGTTGGTGCTCATTTCTTTCTTACTCCTCCTATTCGGTCCGCGTATTTGCGCGCTAATCATGCTCGCTCACGTGCGTTAAGGACTGTAGACCGAAAATCAATCAGAAGAAAGGGATGTCAGAATCCCAGTCACTAACCACTGGGATAAAAGGGCTTGTTTGTGTAACGGGTGAGTGCTCTCATACCCCCCAAGGCCAACATGCCTGTAACCCTTCCCTATGATCAATCGGGGATCTCCAGTGGACATTTGACACCCCCCTGCACTGGGATGCCCTAGGTGCACACACTGAGATTCGAACTCCAGACATTCGCTCTGTTACCATGTCAGAATCCAAGCCACTAACCACTGGGACAAAATGGTTCGTTTGTGTAGCGGGTAAATGCGCCCATAACCCCCAAGGCCAACATGACTGTAACCCTTCCCTATGATCAGTCGGGGATATCGAGTGGACCTTTGACAGGGGAAGCATGGTTGTTGGCATAAAATCAAGGTGGTTGGTTTAAGTGTAGAATCGCGTCTATTGTCGGGCATGGTATGATGAGCGTCGTTTTTTTTACATGTAAAAGGTGTAAACCTTCATCAATTTACGAGCATGGTATGATGAACGCATCTCTCTGTAAGTCTGAACGATGAACGTAAAAAAGACAAGCCTCGCTGTTGTGATGCCATCTCCATGCCTTCACCAGCATCGTCTCTCCCTCTCCCAGCCTGCAGGTTTGGAGTGCTCTTCCTCGTAGTGCTCACTGGGTGTGCTTTTGAGAATCCTCAAAAGCGCCTTTCCTCTCCTCCTCCCTGCTTTGCATCTTTGGAGTGCTCATCCTCGTGGTGCTCACTGGACGTGCTCTCACTGCTGAGACTGCCAAGGGGTGCATGCACATCGTACCATCGGCATTGCTGCGTTGCCTCACCATTCCATCTGCACTAAACATCTCTCCCTCTCCCTGCCTGCAGCTTTGGAGTGCTCATCCTCGTGGTGCTCACTGGACGTGCTCTCACTGCTGAGGCTGAAGCGGGGAGCATGCACATCCTACCTTGGGTAAGCACCACTGCCGCCGCCACCGCAACCACCACCACCATCACCACCACCGCCGCCACTGCCGCCGCCACCACCACCACCACTACCATCAGCACCTCTAAACTTCTCCCCTCCGGTCCCTTATGAACCTGTTGCACTCTTCAGGTGGACGAGTGTCTGTCGCGGGGGGATGTGGCGGGCCTCAAGATCAACGCCAGCATGGACGCCCCAGATGACTTGCTGCTGCGCCTAACTCCTCTCGAAACTGCTCCCCTCCTGGTCCCTCCCCTCAGGTGGACGAGTGTCTGTCGCGGGGGGATGTGGCGGGCCTCAAGATCAACGCCAGCATGGACGCCCCAGATGACTTGCTGCTGCGCCTAACTCCTCTCGAAATTGCTCCCCTCCTGGTCCCTCCCCTCAGGTGGACGAGTGTCTGTCAAAGGGGGATGTGGCGGGCCTCAAGATCAACGCCAGCATGGACGTCCCAGATGACCTGCTGCTGTGCCTCACTCGCCTCGCACTCACCTGCACGGTGGCACGCACAGCAAGCCGGCCAACCATGGGAAGCGTTGCCAATGAGCTGCAGGCGGTTAGGAACGAAGTGGGGGGGAAGGAGGAGGTGCGCGCAGCCAAGAAGGTGGATGAGGAGGATGAAGAGAGGAACAGTGTAGTTAAGGAACAGCCAAGCCTAACGGAAGAATTGAACCTCATTGGATTACGTGCGTGATCAGCTTGTTACAGCATTATGGCGCACGATTAGCCACTACGCTAAGTATTTTAATTATTGTTTTCTCCTCTCCACGATACCGTCATATCCCAGATACGGGTGCAGGTGCCAAAAATAAGGGGTGGGCCTATAATAGAGTAATATATATATGTCCACTCAACAGACACGGTGTTGATATCAATCTCCTAGTTGTAACAAGACGACTCCAAAACCAGCCTGATTTAGAGATTGAATGAAAGGAATCTGGGGGAGTACACCACGTCATCGTCCGCTGTTTCAAAAGCTTGCCGAGATTGCGAGTGTGAAGATGGCGTGCCACTGTAATCCGCCACATGGCACCGACTGCACACCAGGGTCACGAACGACGACCAGCACGCGGTATGTGCGTGAACCTTGCCTGACCTTACCGAGCCTGCACCAGAATTCTCGAGACTCTCCTTGCCGAACCTCGATCAGCTGCGGAGTTCTCGAGGGCATATCCAGTACTTTCGTCCCACACTAAAATTGCCTTCGCGTCTAAATACGTTCGTTCGTTTCACCGTCCATTCAGTTTCAAGTGAGAATTGTTTGTTTGAGTTCAGGCAAAAGTGCTTCCTAATCATTTCTTCAACATTCGTCCTGAAACGGGTTGTGAGGTTCGGGGGTCGCTTGCGTAAGTGAACAAGACCTCCCCCGTCCCATACTAAGCTTCCTCCAGCCTCTAGCCCACTGCTGGAGAAGAGAGCAGAACATCCCACCACCTCTGCAACAAAGCTCCCCTCACCCTCGAAACTGCAGACAAATCTGCTAGCAAGTCCGTTCTGATTTCCATTAGTTGTTCGTAGCTTGCAGCAGCGCTGTTTCATCCTCCTGCGCGCACTCGTCACATCGGTTATTTTTTTCCCCGCGTTTCGAGCAGGGGATTTTCCTTTCGTGAGACTGCAGTGATTTCTGTACATCGAGAGGAAGCTGACAGGAATAGCCATGGAGTGTCTAGCTCACAGGTCCTCAGTGCCTGTCGCGCTCGCGTCCCCCAAGGCCGAGCACAGGCTTCCAGCTGCTTCCGCGTCGCTTAAGTTCGCCGCTAGTCCCGCTCTTGGTAACCAGCTGGTGGCGAAAAGCCGACAGGCTGCACGTGCGAGCCAGTCGCAGCTTAGGAGAAGCACCCCGCGGTGCGAGGCTGCACCAGAAGGTGCTGCTCTCACAGCTCCCGAAAAGAAATCTTCAAGCGACGAGACTATTCAACAGTTTCTGCAGCGTGACTACAAGTATGGGTTCGTGTCGAACATCGAGAATGTCCAGATTCCCCGGGGATTGTCGGAGGAGACGGTGAGGATTATCTCGGCGAAGAAGAGGGAGCCGGAGTGGATGCTGGAGTTCCGTTTGAGTGCGTTCCGACAATGGCAGAAGATGACCGAACCCGAATGGTCGGACAATCGCTACCCGAAAATTGACTTCCAGGTATGAAGCGGGTACTGATGGAAGGTAGTGAATGCAATCCTGCAACATTCAAATGGAAAAAAAAACGTTTGACAGACATAATAACAGCAAAGAAGGAAATCAGTCTAAGAAGAATCTACACCAATCAATTCTCCGTCGAATGCGCGGTCCTTGGTCCCTAACCGGCACGACGCCGTCCACTATAGCGGACGAACGGAATATCAGCGCTGTTTCGACGAAGTAGACTCCGAGCTTCGAGCTCAGTCATATTCGCTCCATTTACCCCTTCCTCCACATCCCCAACACCCCCCACTTTCCCCTCCCATACACACCAGGACGTGATTTACTACTCGGAGCCGAAGCAGAAGGAGACGAAAGCCTCGCTCGACGAAGTCGACCCGGAGCTTCTCGCCACCTTCGACAAGCTCGGCATCTCCATCTCGGAGCAGAAGCGCCTCGCGAACGTCGCCGTCGACGTCGTCTTCGACTCGGTGTCCATCGCGACGACCTTTCGCGAAGAGCTCGCGAAGGCCGGCGTCATCTTCTGCTCCATCTCCGAGGCCGTCCGGGAGTACCCGGACCTGGTCCGGAAGTACCTGGGGAAGGTCGTACCCGTCGCTGATAACTACTACGCCGCTCTAAACTCCGCCGTTTTCAGCGACGGCAGTTTCTGCTACATCCCTAAAGACACGATCAGTCCCATGGAGCTCAGCACGTACTTCCGAATCAACGCCATGGAAACGGGTCAATTCGAGCGAACCCTAATCGTGGCTGATGACCGGAGCTATGTGAGTTACCTCGAGGGATGCACGGCGCCGTCGTATGATAAGAACCAGCTGCACGCGGCGGTGGTGGAGCTGTGTACGGGCGAGGGCGCGGAGATTAAGTACTCGACGGTGCAGAACTGGTACGCGGGCGACAAGGACGGCGTGGGCGGCATCTACAACTTCGTCACCAAGCGCGGGCTGTGCGAGGGCAAGAACTCCAAGATTTCCTGGACGCAGGTACGCGTTTGTGGGTCATCTTATAGCGAGCTTTATGGTCTCCTGCTGTCCATCAAGAAATATATATTTCCGTTCCACACCTCCGCCCCCTCCCTTTCCCACCCTAATACCACTTACCCAAACCCCCCATTCAACAGACGCTTTCCCTTTTACTCGCTCCTCATCGACCTGGGTTCAAATTGCTACCTCCTGCCAGTGTCCCGTGCCGGTGGGTACCTGTCAGCCAAGTGTTTGCTCCGTAACCCACTGTAAAACGCGTACGTGCAGGTGGAGACGGGGTCCGCCATCACGTGGAAGTATCCGTCCGTGGTGCTCAAGGGCGACAACAGCTCGGGCGAGTTCTACTCCGTGGCGCTCACCAACAACAAGCAGCAGGCTGATACCGGCACCAAGGTGGGTGGAGTCGCACGGGCACTCAAGGTGACAGGGGTTGTAAGTTGGAATCAATGGGGCGGGTTGTGACTGGTAGCTCGTGGGAAGGGCGACAACAGCTCCGGCGAGTTTTATTCCGTGGCGCTCATCAACAACAAGCAGCAGGCTGATACCGGCACCAAGGTGGGTAGCGTGACAGAGGTTGTAAGCTGGAAGCAGTGGGGTAGGTTGTGTGCCTGGTTGCTGTGGTACCAGGGTTAGTCGGGCGAGTTCTACTTTGGCGCTCACCAACAGCAAGCAGCAGCCTAATACCGGCACCAAGGTGGGTGGAGTGACAGGCTGTCCAAGCTAGCTAGCAGCCGGACTGTTTGAATGGTAGCTGTAGAGCTATACAGCAGGCAGACTGACTCGCGCGAGCTTTGTTTTGTGGAGTTAATCGCGAAGCAGCGCAGCAGTAGCAGCAGCAAGGGGATGTATGTGGCATTATGCGTGGTGAACTGCGAGCCGGTTGGTTGGTAGCGCGCAGCAAGTAGCAGTTTGACAGGGCCTGTGGGGTGTGGGGTGTGCTGGAGATGCGGGTGTGGTAGGCGAGGGAGTAGAACCGCTTGTGTGAGCGGCTGCAACGGGATTCCCAAGGGCGGTGGATCTCATTCTTCAGGTGCAGAGTGATGCGAGGTCGTAATGGTTGAATGGTGTAATGTCCTCAGGGCGTATAGCCAGGTGCATGATGGTCCAAGGGCGGCTTGCTGAGAGGGAGGCATGTCTACACTGCCATGGGTACCAATTACACGGCAGCCCAGCTGCCGGAGATGCTCGACCACTATTCCTCTCTCGTCCTCCCATCCAATGCCCACTTTCCCTTCACTTGGGGAAGAACACAACTGAAGCCGCATTCGGCAAGGGCGTTGGCGCTTCAGGGTGTTCTTATTACACTATGTCTCATGCTCCTGTTCCGTCCTATCCCCTCCTCCCATCCACTCACCAGATGATCCACGTGGGGAAGAACACGCGCAGCCGCATTGTATCCAAGGGCATCTCGGCAGGGCAGTCGCTCAACTGCTACCGGGGCCTCGTGCAGGTGCAGCCCACGGCACATGGAGCGCGCAACTACTCTCAGTGCGACTCCATGCTCATTGGTGATAACGCCGGTGCCAACACGTACCCTTACATCCAGGTGAGGGTTACAAAGCATCATGGAAGTGTGGCTTTTGAAAGTGGTATTAAGTAGGCGTGTCGCTGATTGGATGTCAATGTTCTCGGATGCCCTTGAATGCCCTTGAACACCCTAGGATGCTTTTTGAATGTCATCAAATCAAATGCCCTTGAATGCGCTTGAATGCCCTTGAGTGCGCTTGAATGCAGGTGAAGGACCCAACGGCTCGAGTGGAGCATGAGGCGTCCACGTCCAAGATCGGGGAGGATCAGCTCTTCTACTTCCAGCAAAGAGGAATCGACGCCGAGAAGGCAGTGGGCATGCTTATCAGCGGCTTCTGCCGTGAGGTTTTCAACGAGCTGCCTCTTGAGTTCGCCTCTGAGGTCAACCAGCTCATGAGCCTCAAGCTCGAGGGCTCTGTGGGTTAAAAACAATGTGTGCTAATGCTATTTGTTTTGTGTGCTAGTTGAAATGGTTATTTTCTGTCTGGTGTATAAATATATGGGGAAGACTCATGAAGCTGAATACCGTGGCCTGTAACGAACTCGCTCAAATTCCTTCATTTGCTCCAAAAAGGGGGAAACGCGTAAAATCGGAAACCCAAAATGTTCGCCCCAGCAGCAGACTTTCATCAGCAAAGCCTGTCCGTCTGTCAATTGAGTCGGCGACTCGGCGGCACTTCCCTGACGAAAGTAAGGAACTGTCAGACGCGGCTCAGCAGCCATGGCTGCTGGCGCTCTATGTCGGAGCGTCCATTCTTGGCGGCGTCGATCCTCCTTTGTAACGTCGTCGCTGGGCTGCTCTATTCGTTCGTATCTGCGTTCACTGGACGTCTCGTTTCTAGCTTCCCAGCAGCACTCACCATGCACCTCGAAGCCACGTCATTCGCACTCGCAGGTCGTCGATCTTAGCGAAGCCGCTGCAGTCCCCGCTGCAAACGCGTACACAGATTCGCTCCAGACTGTTCCCTCCCGGTTAGAATCATCTCCGTTAGAACCTCATTCGATTTCAGAGAGATTGTTCGGACTTCACGGCTTGCAAACGCGATCATTTCGATCCGAGCTCTCCTGCTCTCGAACATTCCCTGCTTGTATCCCAAATGTGCAGTCTTCAGCCCTCCCTCTCACCACCTCCTCCGCCTTATCGCGTCCGTTCCGGTTCCGCCAGATCTCTGCCGCTCCGTTCTCCTCCTCATCGCGAAAGCAATCAAGCACCTCCGGCCGTCAACGTAGCCGTCCGAATGACCGTCAAAACAGCCGGCAGAACGACCGCCAGAACGGCCGTCAGTTTGGCCGGCGAGTCAGTGACGGCGCCACCAAGGAGAGCAGCAGACGTGGAGAGGAGATCGAGAATGAGCGGAGACTTGCGACGCCTGGTAGAAAGGAGACATTCAGGGGAAAGAGGACTCGCGACGTGAGGGAACAGGGTGTTGGGAGAAAGAGAATTCGTGGGGTGGAGGAAGAGAGCGCTGGGGAAAAGAGCATTCGTGGAGCCGAGGGACAGAGCGTTGGGAGAAAGAGAATACGTGGGGTGGAGGACCATACGGTTGGGAGACACGAAAGGGTGAAGTTGAAGCAAAAGAGCCACGAGGACATTCGGCAGCAGCAGCAGCAGGGGTATGAACCCACGCGGCAAAAGCATCAGCAGCAGCAGCAAGGGTATGAGCAGCAGCGCAGCGCACTAACAGACGACACGGACAGTGGGCCAGTCCCGTGGCGACAGCTGGCACCGGTCCACTTTCCCTCTCTGCTTCCCGTTCAGGAGATTGTTGTGGAGGGGAGAGGCAGGGACGGAGGAGGGCTGAGGGAGGAAGGGGTAAGGGGGGGCGGGGTGAGGAAGGGAGGAGGGAGGAAAAGAGTGGGTAACAGAGCAGGCACTTTTAGGGAAGAGGCCGAGGGAGACGGGATGATTGGTGGAGGAGAAGAAGCCACAGGGGGGGTTGTGAGTGCGCGCAAGTGGGTGGCGGTGTGCTGCCCTCACATGCCAGCCAGCCTCGTGCATAAGCTGTTCAGAAAGCGACTGGTGAGTGGAAAAGGTGGCTTGCTTCGACTGTCACTTCTCAAAAAGAAGGAAATGAATGCATGCTCCCAGTGCTTTTCCCTGCACTTTCCTCGTGGATTTAGTGTCCTCTTTCCCTACCAGGCCCGAGCAGATTCATCCTTTCCGTCCTCACTCTCTCTGTCTGTCACCTCTGTCACCCCTTCCACACCACGTTGTCACCCCTTGCACGTTGTCACCCCTTGCACCTTGTCACCCCTTGCACCTTGTCACCCCTTGCACCTTGTCACCCCTTGCACCTTGTCACCCGTTGCACCTTGTCACCCGTTGCACCTTGTCACCCGTTGCACCTTGTCACCCCTTGCACCTTGTCACCCCTTGCACCTTGTCACCCCTTGCACCTTGTCACCCGTTGCACCTTGTCACCCCTTGCACCTTGTCACCCCTTGCACCTTGTCACCCGTTGCACCTTGTCACCCGTTGCACCTTGTCACCCGTTGCACCTTGTCACCCCTTGCACCTTGTCACCCGTTGCACCTTGTCACCCCTTGCACCTTGTCACCCGTTGCACCTTGTCACCCCTTGCACCTTGTCACCCCTTGCACCTTGTCACCCCTTGCACCTTGTCACCCGTTGCACCTTGTCACCCGTTGCACCTTGTCACCCCTTGCACCTTGTCACCCGTTGCACCTTGTCACCCCTTGCACCTTGTCACCCGTTGCACCTTGTCACCCCTTGCACCTCATCACCGCTCTCACCTCTTACCCCACCAGGTGCGAGCCCTTTCTCCACCGGATTCATCTCCCCTGCCAAGCACCTTGGGTCCCTCACATGCACGCTCCAGCAAGCTATCGCGGGTATGTTACTGTACCAAATCGCCACTGTACCAAAGCGTTATTGTATCAGAACGTTACAGTACCAAAACCTTTAGTATGTCAAAAGGTCAGAGTATCAAACCTTGTCTGTGTACAAGCATGTACCTTCAGAGGCACCATGTGCAAGCTTTGGCACGACTCCGTTCGTTTGTGCAATTAACTTGTGGGGCATCCCATCACAATGGCGTTTGATGTTCTGCAATGGTCTGGCATGGCATGGCATGGCTTGGCTTGGCTTGGCAGGTATCAGCCAGCCAACTGCTCCTTCCAGGAACCATCCTGTGCGTCCCGGCGTCTGTCCAACTGCACACCCATTCGGATGCAAGCGCGGCAACATTCGTGTCGAATGATGGCAAACGCGTTGCTCCCTCCTCCTCTTCCTTGCCACGTGGCATCCAACCAGAGGATATCGAAATGTTACAGAAGTGTGTTCTGTTCAAGGTAGGTAGGATTCAGGAACACCTTCTGACGGTGTTATGTTCAAGGCAGGTAGAATCGAAGGTGGGTGTTGTTATTTTCTGGTGAATCCAGGTGCGTCCTGTGTGCCATGGCTTTGAATTCTGAAAGAACCTGTCACAAAGCATGGCTGTGGCACATGACTGTTCTGCCTTGAACACCTTGAAAACTGTGCCTTTCCTTCCACTGTGCCAATGCCATTTCCCTGCCCCTTTTCCTTTCTCTCAACACTATCGCATGCCATTCGCCTCTCTCATGCCATTCATCCCCCCCCTCCGCCCCTCCCTCCCTCCCCTTCCCCTACTAGGATGAGCACATAATCGCCATCAACAAGCCACCAGGCCTGCCCCCGCAGGGCTGTGCCAGTGCCATTCCCCTGCCCCTTTTCCTTTCTCTCAACAATATCGCATGCCACTCGCCTCTCTCATGCCATTCATTCTCCCCCCTTTTCCCTCCCCTTCGTGTGGCAGGATGAGCACATAATCGCCATCAACAAGCCACCAGGCCTGCCTTCCCCTTTCCCCTATCGTCATCTCAACACTGTCTCACGCCCTTCCCCTGGCTCCCCCCCATTCATCCCCCCCCTCCCCCCCCTCTCCCTCTCTCCCCTTCCCCTGCCAGGATGAGCACATAATCGCCATCAACAAGCCACCAGGCCTGCCCTCGCAGGTAACGACTCACAACCACAACGGCCACTGCGCGGGGACTCTGCACAGCCAAAGCTGTCGGTTGAGCTAGCACACTCCAGGCCTGCCCTCTCTGGTACAAAACCACTGAGAGGGCATTGGGGATGCTTAGCGGAAATTGAGTAGGCACTCTGGCTGGCTACTCTGGCTGGCTCGCCAGTCTGGCTCGCCACTTTGGCTCGCTGCTCTGGCTGCATGTGGGTCGTGACTGCATCACAGGGCAGCTTCATAAGGCACGGCACCTCCCATGGCATACATGTGTGATTCTGTGATTCTGTGATTGTAATTCTGTGATTCTGTGATTGTAATTCTGTGATTCTGTGATTCTGTGATTCTGTGATTCTCTAGTTCTGTATGTGCACCCGTTTTCAAAGGGCCTCAAGGGTAGACTCTCACTGCATCGGTGGTGTTGTAACTCTGCTCTCTTTTTGCATGCTTAACTCGGTGTGACTGTATCGCAGGGCGGCTACAAAGTGCGCCTTTCAGTGGACAATCTCATGCAGCACGCCCTGGCTGCCGACTCCCCCGAGCCTCTTCGCCTGGTTCGGACTCATTCACACCCAGACCCAGACCTATGTGCCTTCTTGGGTTGACAGTATATTATAGATAACCCAATACGCATGCAACATGTCTTGACCGGCCCTTTTCCATTCCCTTTTATCATATCCCTTCTTCATGCTCCTTGCATGGCTTCGCACCCCTTTGCAACCCCTTGCATGTTGCATATTCTGCTCCCGTCCAATCAGGTGCATCGCTTGGACAGGGAGACAAGTGGCGCCATGCTATTGGCCCGCTCGTCTGCCAGTGCGCGTGTCCTCTCAGCCCTCTTTCGCGATAAGAGTGCTGCTGGCGTCCATGCTGCTGCTGCTGGTGCTGATGGTGCTGGTGATGAGAGTGATAATGGCAATGGTTCTAGTGCTACTGGTGATGAGGGGAGCACTGCTGCTGATTGGTCAAACGAGGGTGGTGTGGCACGTGTTTACTGGGCGGTAGTGATTGGCCGGCCGAAACAGCTATCGGGGATCATCAATGCGCCACTGCACAAGGTTTGTGGGATGTGCCTGGGTGTGTGTGTGTGTGGAATGGTGCTTGTGATCGTAAATGCGCCATTGCATGAGGCAGTGTGTGCCTGTGTGTGTGCTCGGAAGGGTGTTTTTGTGTACATGTGTGTGTGGAAGGGCGTTTATCAATGTGGGGTGAGCCTGAGCGTGTGGAAGGATGCTTGCGATGATGACACATGCGTGACTTGACTGTGTGCTCGGAAGGGTGTTTGTCTGTACATGTGTGTGTGGAATGGAAGGGTGTTTTTCAAATGTGAGGTGGGCCTGAGCGTGTGGAAGGATGCTTGCGATGATGACACATGGGTGACTGTGTAGATGTATGTGTGGAAGTGGGTTTGTGTGCACATGTATCATGTATGCTCGTTAAGAAGTGTGATAATTATTGGAAGTGTGCGTGCGTGTGTGGGTGTGCAAGTCAGTGCACTAGAACGGATCAACACAGCAACCACTGACATGCATGTCTGTCAGTGGCATGAGGGTATGTGTATCTGGAAAGCCCTCTATGTGCCTGACTGTCTCTTCTCGCCTGACTGTCTCTTCTCTCGCAATGATCGCATCATTTCATAGCAGATTGCCACAGGATCTTTGGTTCGTGTTTTGAGTCGACTCAAAACGAGTCGTGTTTTGAGTCGACTCAAAACTTGTATCTGGAAAGCCCTCTGTGTGCCTGAATTTCTCTCGCAATGATTGCATAATTTGATAGCAGATTGCCACAGGATCTTCGGTTGCTTGCTGCTTCAGGACTGCTACAGGATCTTCATTTCGTTGCTACTTCTATCTTTATTGCTCATTTTCCTGCTGCCCTTTTCCTCCTATTTGTCCAGCCTGGCAACGATTCAAACTCGCCCACTAAGGAGCTGCCAGCTGTCACTCTGTATCGAGTCATCCAGAGTTCGCCTTCCGGTGAGTTTTTTTGTTTTTTGGAAGTAGTGCTGCTGGTGCATGAGGTATTTATGATAAGCTTTGCATTCAGTTTTTTTCTTGGTCGAGTCAAACTTCTCCTTCTGGTGGGTCCATGGAAGGGGTGACTTTTGAGTCGACTCAAAAGTCAAACTTCTCCTTCTGGTGGGTCCATGGAAGGGGTGACTTTTGAGTCGACTCAAAAGTCAAACTTCTCCTTCTGGTGGGTCCATGGAAGGGGTGACTTTTGAGTCGACTCATAAGTCAAACTTCACCTTCTGGTGGGTGCATGGAAGGGGTGCTGCCGGTTCCCCTTCTCTTCTGGTGCATGAGTGAGGTCTTCATGGTTAAGCTTCATGGGTGAGCCTGTTTTTCTTTGTACACGCAAGGGCAATCTCGCAATTTCGAGGTGACTTTTGAGTCGACTCAAAAGTGAGCTTGTTTTTCTCTGTACACGCAAGGGTAATCTTGCAATTTCGGAGCGGGTATGAATCGGCATCTTGAGAATTCTCAAAAGTGAGTGGGCGGTTGGTTGATGTTCCTAGAGCACACAAGAAGAGTCCCACAAGAGCACAGTGGGTAGGGGGGGTACATAGAAAACCAAAAGGGATTGTTTTCGTATTTGATGCATTCCGTGTCTCATTCTTTGCTTGTTGCATGTGCTTCGCTGGTTGGCTTGCTGCGTGCAGGATACTCATGGTTGGAGCTGCGCCCATTGACGGGAAGGAAGCACCAGGTGTGTGTGTGCGTGTGTGTGTGCGTGCGTGTGTGTTCCGTCTAGTTGTACAATTGATAAGTTTCATTCTCACTTCACTTCACAACACCTGTTTTGTATTTCGGTCTGGTCTTTTCCTTTTCCTCGTGCTTTCAGCTGCGCATTCACTGTGCCTTGGCACTTAGGTGCCCGATACAAGGCGACATGACGTACGGGGCATGGGCACACAAAGGAGTATCTAGTGTACCTTCGGAAACTACACCTCAATCAGCTCTTCCCGATGGACTACACCTTCATGCGCGGTCGATAGAGGTGCCTTTTTTCGTTTCATCTGATGACTGGCGTTCACAAGATGATACTGCAGGGAGGATGAAGAGGCGTGCCAACGGGGAGAGAAGTGCACATGGGATGGTAGCAGAAAAACATGGTTGTGGAAAGAGAATGTTTACTGCGCCGATTTCTGTTCATATGGCAGAAACATTTTCCATTCTTGCATTCAATAGTGGAATCAAATAGTTGAGAATGTTTTTAACATTTCATACCAGCTTCATTCCTTCCATGCTTGTCCTGGAGGCCCTTGTTATGCGACATTATCGAGTCAGTGCATATCGCGTCTTTTGTCAGGGATTCCATCAGTGTACGATCGAAATTTGCTGGTACAATCGCTTGATGCGCAACGCTTTCCCGTCACCAGTCCGTTCCACGACCACGAGAACTCTCACCTGTTGATTTTCGTTCCTGAAAGCAACTGGCCATCCAGACAGCAGCCGCTCCGTTGGCCCCTCCTAGCCTCAAAGGTAGAGTCGCAGCCTCCTTGGCTTTCCGGATGCGGCACCGGAGTTATTTAGGATCGTAATACACAGTCGCGGAGACGCGTGACCGCACCACAATAACTTAGATGGACGGTATCGTGGATTCCTGGAAGCTTCCATCGCCAGTCGCATCGTTATCCACGTCAGATCCTCCTTTCCGGCTCATTGACTGCCACGCGCACACCTACCCTTCTCAGTTCCCCCACACCGACTTCCACCCTCTCCTCCGCCGCGCTGCTGCAGCGTGCGTCTCGCACATTGTCACGGTTCCGGAAACCCTAGCAGACGCTCACGAGATCCTGGCTCTGGCTCGATCTCATCCGCTCATCTTCCCCGCAGAATGCGAACCTGGAGCCTCACACCCTGCGGACCAATCCGAGCTGTCTGCCTCGGCGCGGCACAACTCGGAAGGTTTCGGATTGAGAATTGCTCCTGCTATCGGGCTGCACCCAGTCCAGCCAGGACCTTATCCGCCTGACGTTGACACCACGTCAGCATGCAGTAACGAACCGTCATCCTCAGCATTGTCTCACTCGGTCCAACTGTGTGAGCTGGAGCCAGTGATGAATCTCATTCGGTCCAAGGCAGAATGTGGCCTGCAGGGAAGGCCAGGAAGCACAGTGCAGGAAATGGAAGGTGACAACGCTTCAGTAGACACAGTGAAGGAGGAGTCAGGAACCACAGTTCCTTTGGTTTGCATTGGCGAAATTGGCCTTGATTTCAGCCCGAATGTGGTGGGTAAGTTGACTAGCAGTAATAGCAGCATCAGCAGTAATACCGGCAGCAGCAGCAGTAACAGCGGAATAAGTGCCTTGCAATCAGAGGAGCTCAAGAGCGTGCAGAGAGAGGTGTTTCGGCATCAGCTGTCTCTAGCAGCAGAGCTGGGTTTGGCAGTCAATGTTCACTCTCGCAGCGCGGGACACCACGCCATAGGGGAGATTATACAGTCAGGACTTCCTGCCACGTCAGCAGCCTTGATGCATGCGTTTGATGGGCGGCTTGTGCATGCTGAACGGGCTGAACGGCATGGCGGTTTCTTCTTCTCTGTGCCACCCTCTGTCATCCGGTCACCACAAACACAGGTGCGTCTGATCTGAACATTCAAGCTCAATTGATTGCTGGTCAGGCGGGATGGTGTGTCGGGGATGGGTTATGATGAGTGTGGATGATATGGTTGACTTCAGCTGTTTTCATACATTTTTGTTCCCTCTGGTTTTATTTTGTTTGTCTTTCTGAATTGCAGAAACTCGTAAAGGGCCTTCCTATTTCGTGCCTTGTGCTGGAGACAGACTCTCCTGCACTTGCTCCTGAGAAGGGTGCCACCAATGAGCCGTGCAATATTGTAGTCTCGTGTAGGGAAATAGCTCGCATTCATGGTGTGACTGTTGCTGAAGTTGCCAAGACCACATGTGAGAATGCTATGCGTCTATTTCCACGTCTGAAGCTGGTATGATACAGGATGCGTTTGGCCTCTTTCCCATCTCAAACTGAGATGTACCCGCATCTGCGGTATCCGAACTTCAATGAGTTTGTTAACGAAGCTTTTCAAATCGGGTTGCTAGAAACCTCATCCATTGTGGGAGAACCGTTGACACGATATTTTTGCCCCACGTCGGCTCTCCTTTCGCGCCCACATATCCGAATGTCGTCTTTCAGGGTTCGAGGTGAATTTGTTGTCGCAGCTTGGCTCGTCGATGCGCAACAAATCGACGATCACCAACCATGCCGACATTGCCCAAGAAAAAAGGTACAGTCAGAGCTCCACGTCGGGAAGTAAAGTGCACTTGACCAATCCGAGTGTTCCGCGTTCAACGAACAGTTTGCCCCGTCAGCCCAGCAACAGCCACCTGCAACTGCGCATGACACTCCCCAATTCCTCTGCGCACATTGATGATCCACACATCGCCACGGGAAGCCCAGCAGGTGATTCCTTCCGCCAGCCATCCCCATTCCCGAGAACGAAATCCCGAGAGAGCCATGTCAGCAACCAGACGGTAATCGTCAGCTCGCAAACAGAAGTCGTCAGTTCACTGATCGCCTCAAACCACTCCGCTATCCCGTCCATCCACAAACCTCAGCTCACTCTTTATCTGCTTCTACTCTCCTTTTCGCTCTCTTTCAAGTTCGCAGCTTTCCTTCGCCTCCTCTTTTCGAAGGCTCCCTAGTTTCCCCTGATTCTTAATCAGCTTTCACATTTTCCAATGGCTGCCGTCACTCTTTCACAGACGGCCACGGCCTCGTGCCGTGCCACTTTCAGCTCAGTGAAGCTCGAGTCGAAGCTCAAGAGGTCCGTCAGCCTCGCCGTGCAGCCCGCCTTTGCCTGGAAGTCTGCTGGCGTCGCTTCGACCGCCTCGTTCAAGGGTGTCGGCTCGGTTGTCGTCAGAGCGGTCGCCGAGGATGTGCAGGGTGGCGGAAACTACGGTGCTCCTCGCGAGATTCCAGGCACCAAGATCTATGTCGGCAACTTGCCGTTCAACGTCGACAGCGAGTCGCTCGCTGAGATCTTCCAGGAGGCTGGCGTCGTGGAGCTTGTCGAGGTAAGATAGCGTTTTAAGTTTTACGTCTCAGGTTGCCATGAGTTGAAGGTTGAACTCTATTCACCGTCGCGATTGATACTTCATTGCAATTGCTCGATCTTCGTGTCTGCTTTTCGTACACATGGTTTCTTGTTAAACCCTGAGTGGGCGATTTCCTAAGTTTTATTCTTCACTTTAATTAATGTTTTCATGACTGTTGTGCATGCAGGTGATCTACGACAGGGACTCTGGTCGCAGCAGGGGTTTCGGTTTCGTCACGATGAGCACCCCTGAGGAGGCTCAGGCTGCCATCGAGAAGTTCGACGGCTCAGTAAGTTAACCTTATTTTCTGCTCACATTTGCAATTAATGGTTTAATGAGGATTTAGGACATAACTGTTTCGTAAGCGTTCATGTATCCCAAACTCACATGTGAGGTGAAGTACTTCAAATCTAGTAATGTGAGCGAAGACTTACTGTGACCATTAGTTTATCGATATCATCATGCTTGTTTTTATGTCCGTTTGATTTTCGTAACGCGTGCAGGAACTCGGCGGCCGCATGCTCAAGGTCAACATGCCCGTTCCCCGCGGCGAGCGCGAGAGGGGTGCTCGCACCGAGCGGCCACGTGGCGACAGGCCCCGTTTCGGCGGTAACCAGGGCAACAAGCTTTACGTCGGCAACCTGTCGTGGGGCATGGACGACATGGCTCTGGAGGATCTGTTCGCTGAGTTCGGCAAGGTGCTCGAGGCCAAGGTCGTCCTGGATCGCGACTCCGGCAGGTCCCGAGGGTTCGGCTTCGTGACTCTGTCGAGCGACGCGGAGGTGCAGGAGGCGATCTCGAACCTCGATGGAGCTGTAAGTGCCGTTACATGAGTTCCGATTGGATTTCAGATTGACTTTGCATAGGCTTGTCGTTTCTAAAACCGGCGTACCTGTTCGGTAGAGTTTCAAATGAACCTCTGATGCTCATTCTGGTATCTTCTGTGCTTGCCTTTGTGTTCCTCTTTTCCTTCATTTCAGGACGTTGACGGCAGACAACTGCGGGTCAATGTCGCTGCTCCCAAGGTTTGAATAGAGGAAGCAGTCTTAGCACTCTTGTCAGCTATCCCCTGCAGGGGTTTTCTTATCTCATCTTCTTACTCTTCACGATTGTTAGGTATCAGTTATGAACCTGATGGGTTTCTTCCTCTGTATTGACGGCTTTCATGAAGTGTTCACCAGTTTTTTTCTAGAAATGTGCAGTCACGTGTTTACCATGAAGGGTGCAAGGTCTCGGAAGCAGACACACATGAGCGCGTGCGCCCTTCCCGCACCTCTCTCATTCACTTGTGCTCGCTCCACTCGCGCAGCCTCACGTGTTCCTTACCTTTTCCCTCGATCTTGTCCCGCTCCTTCCCTCTTTCAGTTCCCCCCTCTGTTTGCGTGCTTTTTCGTTGCGTTACCTGTCATTTTTTTCGTTTTCCTGGTTCCCCCTTCCTCGTTCGTCCTCTTCTTCCCTAGTTCGTTGTTTCTCTCGTTGACCCCTTCCGTCGTTCTCTCTTACTGTGTTGCTTTCTTCTGTTAATCCTGCACGCCTTTCTCCGACTCTTGCTTAGCTTAGCCCATTGCGGGTGTTCAGCAATCCAGCCCCTCGTCCAGTACCGTCACCTACTTCCGGACTCGTCCTTCTCTATCCTAGCTACAGTTTCTTCCTCCGTTTCAGCCTGTTAGCCGTGTGAGATGCGCTGGCTTCCCCTGTGTTCCCTAAAGCTGCGTCATCAGTCCTCTTTTCCCTTGCCTCTTTTCCTGTAGCTGCGTCCTTTTGCTAATGCACGCGTGCTGAGGCTGTGCTCTCCGCCTCTCCCAGCAACCACTCAATGCATACCTCCCTTCCTCATTCCTACACGTTATTCGCCTCCCACCAATGCATACCTCACGCAGTCAAGTTTTGAGGTTCGTCTCACAGAAGGCATGAATAAATTACCGTACCGTACCGTACCTCAAGCTTGACCTTGAGGGTGTGCTGTCTGAGAGTATGTGAAATAACTTGTGGTCTTTACACTGATGCACTATTTCACGGTGGTTGGTTACTAAGAATTGCGCCACTGAGTTAAGAGTATAGAACAATTTAAAGAAGTAACAAGCTACGTGTAGTTCAGTCTAGGCTAACGTCAGAATCATCTCCCTCTGCACGGATCTGCATGTAACCGCGCTGAACCACACTGAAATGCGTTGGGCCACAAGAGGTGTGACTCATACAGGTAAAAGGCCCAGCCCACATGCTAAGGAAGAATGGAGTCAAGCCAGAGGAGGGCCAGACCAGTCAGTTTTGGTACAGTAGGCTTGTTCTAGACAACGCTGTACACTCAACCATACTACCGGTACCATGTCTGCTACTCATTCTGCATCCATCATGAACATCTGACTTAGTTAGCACATACCGTGATATCTCTCGAGCAGCAGTAGCTCCAAGCAGGCCCTATTTTATCAGGGTAAATCACCCTGATACCCTGATTATCAGGGTGGTTTTTGGTACTAACACTGATGCCTTAGGGTAATTATTTTGAGACCTTGGTTTTCCCTGATGAGCCAGGGTCTACGATTAAGGCACACTATCGCCTCAGGGTTGCCGATCCTCTTATCGAGTTTACCCTGAAGCGAGTACCAGCCTACCCCGAACCCCCCCCCACTCTCCCCCCCCCCCCACACCACCCCCCCCCCCTTCCCCTATCCCCCTACCCCGTAACCCGGGATTCCCGATTGTTACTGTCGAGACTGTAAATTTAGGCACGACAATACATTTGCCAGCACGATAGGGGGATTGGGGGCACCAGCACGGTGTGCTGTGTTATTGTGTGCTCTGTTAAAAACAAATTCAGCAGGGTTCGAAAAAAATGTACACTGATGCCTCAGGGTTAAATATTCAAAACAAGCAAAAACCCTGATAGAACAGTTTTTTCAGAAGGGGTCACACTGATAATCAGGGTTTTGAACATGTGCAACACTGATGGTAAGGGTTGGTAAAAACCAAAAATTAGCCCTGGCTCCAAGTGCCAGTACCAGCCAGGTGCTAGAGTACTGCATTTGCAGCTCATGACATTGATCATATTATTAAAGATAAAAGTAACTTACATTCTACTTAGCCTTCTACTCTGCACATCTGCGGAACTTAGCACTAACATCAGCATTCAGCACTAACACTAGATCTAAATGAAACCTAAAACGGGCTAATGAATTTAGCTGCACTCAGCAGCACTTTCGGAACCATCCACTTGCGCTCTGGTCCCAGTGATTCTGCTCTCCGCCCCACAGCCACCGGCCCTTGCATTCCCTGCCTTGGCAACCACCCTCCAGCAGCAGCGTGCATGCCATCTCCAACATGTGCAGTTAGCTTTTCAGAATCCTGATAACTGAAACTCGTCTCCCCAGCAACGCAACACTGCCCTGGTGGGCACTGGGCAGCGACTTCTCCAGGAACAATGACAGCAGCAGGAATTGATCCCTGAAACGTTGCATAACCACCCAGTCCAGGTGGCATAGCAGCGGTGGCTTGAGAGGCAGAAACGGCTCCTCCGGTGGACGCATTACGGGCAGGCCTTGCAGGAGATGCAGCTTCTGCTGCATGATCCGTTGCTGATGTGGCAGAATCTGATTGGTGGCTGTGGGTGTGGACGGGGCTGTGCCGATCCACACCATGCACTATGTCCAAAATATCTTCCACCAGCTCGTCTCTGCCACCCCGAAACAGATCCTATGATTGGAAAGAGGAAGGGAATTTTTTTTCGAAGGGAAGGGAGAAAGGAGAAATAAGTGGGGAAGGCAAAGCTCTGCCTTGAGTTAGCTCTGTTGGCTGCGCTCTATGAAGCCCCCTCATACGCAACATAATGTTTCCCTCTACAGTGACCCCACAGCGACATTCGATATAGGCATGGGGCCTGCAATGCAATGCGCCCCTTGACGAGGATCCATGTGCCTCACCCTTGATCTCAGTGACAGTGCTTTTTGCAGCATAAGACCAATGCACTCCTTACCACTGTACAGCTTCAGTTTCGTCCTTAATTGTACCCTTTATAATGCAATTCAACGCACCTGAAGAGTGAGGTCGATGTGCCCCTTGCCGCTGTACAGCTTCACTCTCGTCTCCACCCCTGATGTTTGCAGCGCTGCTCCAAAGTCCTCACTGTGATGCCATGCCATGCCATGCCACACACATGCAAAGCAAGGAGGAAAAAGAATATGATGAGGTAAGGTGTGGCAAGGTGAGCGGTAAGGTGCGGTATGGTGCGGTAAAGTGCGGTAAGGTGCAAGGAAAGGAACGGAAAAGTCGTCCACCCTGCGGTACAGGTGCACAGTGGACAGCAGGGATGATTGTAACAGGTGTGACTAAAACAGGTGAAGCTGTGGTATGTGCGTCTGCATACCTGGCAGTGAAAGGAACAGATATATCGTCTACCCCGTGATAGAGGTGTACAGGGGGCAGCAGGGATGCGGCAGCCTTGAAGGTGGGGCGGGAGACGAGGAGCTCGGGGGAGAAGAGAGGAAGAGCCTCCTCGCCCTCGAATATGCTGTGGTTTGGACGGTTGGGGAAGGGTGAGAAGGAGTGAAAAAGGGTGAGAAGGGGTGACAGGAGGAGAAGGGAGCAGGCTTGGATAAAGGGATGAGAACGCAGAAGGGGATGAGAACGCGGAAGGGGAATGGAAAGAGAAGCTATTGACCGTGAAAGGAGTCGGGGACGAAACAGTAAAAGCAACAAGTAGGCTTTCTAGAAACCATTGGGTGATCATGAGTCTTGTCATACCTCAGAGGCTATGGTGACTCACGAGAGGAAGAGGTAGGGGTTCATGCCCCTGGACTCGAATTGCGGTGCCAGGTTGATGAGGTTGTAGCTGTGAAGGTTGGGTACAGAGGGGAGGGGAGGGGAGGGGAGGGGAGGGGAGTGGAGGGGAGGGGAGGGGAGGGAAGGGGAGGCGGAGGGAAGGGAGGGGAGGGGAGGGAAGGGGAGGCGGAGGGAAGGGAGGGGAGGGGAGCGGAGGGAGGGAGTGACATTTGAGTCCGACTGAGAAGTAGGGGTTCATTTCCCTGGACTCGGATTGCGGGGTTCAGAAAATGCTGTTTTCTCTACAGAAAGCCATTCATTCAGAATCTGCGGAGGAAAAGCATGCCAGTATGCGTGTGCGTGCACTTCTACTCACAGCTCACGCCGCTCCTCCTTTTCCACCCCCCCCCCCCCCCCCCCCCCCTCTCCCACCCCCCCGTCCCCTCCCCCCACCACCTCAACCATCTCAATCCCCACCCCTTCCTCCTCTCCCTCCCGCCTTACCCATCCCCCTTGCACCCCCCCTTGCCCCCCCCCCCACCCCCCCCCCCCCCTCCCCCATTCCCTTCTTTCCAGCTCACCATCCTGAGACGCCAATAAAAGAATTGATCTGCTCACTGCCCCACACGTCAAGCACGCCCCTCCCCGGCTCGTTCCCCTCCGCTCCGCCACTCCCCGCCAGATGCGCCAGCAGCCTCCGCATCGACAGCGAGCGGAACGGCGCGTTCCCCGCGCGCAGCACTTCCGCGCACAGCCCCTCCGCGCGCAGCACTTCCGCGGCTGGCGCTGCTTGCGGGTCCGCGGGGGAACCGGCGGAAGCGACGGGTGGAAAGACAGCAGCGGCGGGGAGCGGGGAGGGGGACGCGGGAAGACCAGAGTCGGCGCAAGTGGCCAGAACGGGGAAGGCGGCAGGGGCGCGATATCCAGAATCGGAGAAACTTGTAACGGGGACGTCGGAAATAGTGACAGCGGCAGATTCGGGAGAGGCGGAAGCGGAAATCCTCCAGGCGTCGACAGGATGAACCTTCGCGGAAGCAGCAGCTGGTGCGAAGGGAGCAAGGGATACAGACGGATAACGAATTGCCGTCTTTCCTGCAGCTGTTTCTGCTACACTAACAACTACCCCTGTACACGAGCTTTCGCCTTCCATAGCCGCCTGCTGCTGCTTTTGCTCCTGTTGTTGATGTTGTTGTTGCGGCTGCTGCAAGTTGCTACCGAAAGGCGACAGATTGTGCTGCTGTTCCGACGGCGGCGCCTCCGAAGCGCGCATAAGAGCCTGTCTTATCATCGCCACAGACGACAAGTGCGCTCCGGCCGACTGCCCCGCCAGGTGCACGCGACTCGGGTCCCCGCCGTACCGGTGGATATTTTGCAGCACCCAGCCGATGCCACGTGTCACGTCGTCGAGCATGCCGCTAACGGTGGCCTGCGGGAAGTTCCTGTAGTCTATACTCGCTACAATCACGCCGCGTTCCTCTAACGCCTGCGCTAATAAAGTGCCCCACGCCTTGTATCCTATAATCCACGCGCCTCCGGTTATGAAGATAACGACGGGACGAGGGCGGGGGGAGGGGCTGGCGGGGACGAATATATCCAAGCTGGTGGGGGAAAGGGGGAGGGGGGAAGGGGGAGGGGGGAATGGGGAGGGGGGAAGGGGGAGGGGGAAAGGGGGGTTCGGTGGGAAAAGGGGGAAAAGGAAACGGGAGGACTAGAAGCAAAACGAAGCATTAAACGAGTGCGAATGGGAGGTGAAGGGGAGAAATAGGAAAAAAAAAGGGACGATTCTGGGTGGCGCGAGGGGGAAGGGGGAGGAGGGGGGGAAAAGGAGGGAGGAGGGAGGGGCAGGGGGGAAACGGGGAAGGGAAGAGCAGAACGCGTACCTGTTGCGCGGCAGTCGGCCGTAGGGTATGCTCCGACGGACGTTGGGGGAGAAGAAATAGTACCACATGACTGGGGGGGGGAAGGGGGAGAGGGAAAGGTAGGGGAGGGGAAGCGGGGAACGAGACTGAGGGTTGAGGAGAAGAAATGGTACCACATGACTGGCGGGGGGAGGGGGAAGGGGGGAAGGGGAGAGGAAACGGGGAACGAGACTGAGGGTTGGGGGAGAAGAAATGGTACCACATGACTGGCAAATGGGGAGGGAGGGGGGCGGGGGAGGAAGGCCGGGAAGGTGGGGGAGGGGTCGCGGGGAACGAGGGTTACTGTTACCTTTCAAGTATTCGGATGACGCTGTGAGGGTTACCTTGCAGGAAGCCGGGCATGAGCAACAGCGAGTAGGTCATGAGGAGAAAGAACTTGGACATCCAGTTGAGACCGAGACTGCGGGGGAGCGGGAGAGACGCGCGGAAGAACGGGAAAAGAGGGTACTGTTTGAGACGCTGCTGCGTTCTGAGACGTCTGGCGAAAAGCAGAAACGGATCGAAATTGATGCGAAAGAAAAGGCAGGGAGTTGGAAATGGGGATTTTGGTAAGCCTAAGCGACGCAATTCTGGAAGCGCACCCGAGGAACTGTAGCAGCTGCACCGTGAGGCTGGTCAGCTGAAAAGTTTCTGCGGCTGCCCGCCGCACGCTCCGGCCAATGATAGCGGCACGCGTGGAGCATCTTGGCGCGGCGTCGCTCGACGGCGAGCGGTCAATCGTGGAGATGCTGCGTCTGCGCGGCAGGCAGCACGCCGCGGCCGCCGCGGCCGTGACTGCTGACGACGTGCAGACGGAGGTGCTAACGGAGTTCGGGCCATCCGGAGCGCCTAGTAGTCCCTCGATGGGCTGCGACCCGAACATGGGCCGCGTGAGATTCGCGCACGCTTCGCGAGGGAAGGCCGCAAGCGAGGAAGTAAAGGACGCGAGGGACCGTAAAAGGCGGGCTAATGACGATGTTCTTGAGGATACAGGTGTCTGCGATGCGAGAATTGGTTGTGAAAAGTTGACGAATAGGTTTGTCTGCTTGAATCGCCGTTCTGCGCAGCAGTTAGAAATGTATTTACACGTGGCACGAACTAGCCGTTGAGGTTGCAACGTCGCTACGAGCAGCTTATTCCAGGAAACAGCGTGAGCTGACATTCACAGCTAATGGCGTCTGCAATGCTGTGCGACTGAATACTCGTTGGGTAGCTGATCACTATCTACATAAAGACCACAAACGTCGGATAAGGTCGACATAACATGCGAGGGAGCGAGAATTGATCAGAGGGGGAAGCGGGAGGCGCATTCTCCCGCAAGAAGACCTCGAGAAGACTTCGAGGTGCTCGACGTGTGTAGCAGGTAATGGAGAAAGATACTGGTTAGCGCATGGTTGGATATCCACATATTAGCTGGGTGGGCGGAGGTGAAGTAAGCTGAGGTAGGGTGGAGTGCGGTGTAGTCTGGAAAAGGCTGCTCACAGCACATGCAACGTACACGGAGGGGGCACTGACAACACACTGCGCGTGCGCGCACCCGGTTGGAGTTGACGGGAAGGGAATATCGTGACTGGGCCCGGGTGCGGCGCACGAAAGTGCGCAGGGAGGAGTGTATGCGCGCATATCGAGTGAATAAGAGAGACTCCGCGGAGAATTTGGGGGCGCGGAGCTGGCATTGGGTGAGTGCGGAAGTCCTCTAGGGGGAGAGCGAGAAACAGGAGAGTCCTGCAAGGAGAAGCTTTGCGGGGAGCGGCGACACCAAGGAAGTTCACGCGCTTCGGTGGTCCGCTGCAGGTATTAGCGTGGTTGATTTCAATTGGCTGACGAGGCTGGAAAGGTTACCAGTCTAGTCTCAGCCTATGTTGGGCGACCAGCAAAGTCCTTTATTCACTCGCTGAAGCATTCTGACCGAATGCTGCGACACCTTCGTGCGACTTCGGGATGGCGAGGGCGGTGTGGCCTTACACCATAGCGCGGTGCGAGGTGGCTCAACTCGAGGGATGGATTATCTTGGGCGCAAGCCACGTGGAGTATTTGCTACAGAGTAATTTGCATAATCTCCTTCTATAAGTCTAGTTGTACTTCACACCATTAGGCAGATGCTCCAAACATCCATGACCCAGAAAGTCCTGAAAATGAAATGCGTATATCTGTAAAATATTCCGGTATGTGTTTATATTGAATTTATGTTTTCAATGTTTCAATAAATCATCGTGCCTTACCTGTATTATTTTCTTCGTAGGCTGCAATCTAGATATGACAAACCTTCTGGATATTATTTACTTTGAGTGTACATATCGTTATAAACTATGTCTCAACTTATCCTCTCCGCTGTTGGAAAACCCGCCTTGAACCCTTCCCTTCCAGAATACAAATTCTCAGTCCACAGCATTGTCTGCTGGGCATTTGCACCCAAGCTCGACTGGTCTTCACTCTTCTCAGTGCTGCTGTCTCGCTCTGTTTGCCCACTTCATTCCCCTCGCGCTCTCTCTCTCTCTCTCCAGCCCCGTCTACTGCACTCAGTCTAGATCTTTCAGACTCTTTTCGCCACCTTTCGTTCTGTGTTGGTCGTCTAAAACAAAGAGTATGATGTCGTAAAAACCAGACAAGGCCCATCGATACTTTCAAATGTCGGCGCTGTCCAAACATTTCTCTCTGATTTCAACAGACCAGCTGAATATCTCCCCTTTCTCTCGATGCCGCCTTCGTGGCGCCATATTATAAACTTGCGAACGTGTCGGTCAAGATCTCCCTTATGATTAAAATCTTTCCTCGACGGGGTTGCTCATGCATCCATCGTGGGAGTTTTTTTTGCAGAAATTTGGGATGAAGGGAGATCGTGACTTATCTTGTGTTTCGCATCTCAAAATTACTTAATCTCGATGTTTCGAATCCCGCGCATTGTCACGCCTTCTCTCGTTTTCCCAGGCATGGATTCGACGGCCCAGATATCTGTGCATTATTACGCTGGATCGTCCCGAACATGCATTTTAATACATGTCACATTGTTGTGATTTCAAATGCCTCCACATTGTAAATGCCTCCATGTGATTTCAAATGCCTCCATGTGATTTCAAATTGTAGTGATTTCAAATGCCTCCCCATTGTCTCACTTTTACATGTGCTTTGGAACTCTCTGCAAACAGCACTGATGAAAAAGCTTTAGTTGAGTTGCAGGAATGTGATCTGATAGAAAATTGGTTTCTGAGATGTCTGAGTGAGTGACTGGAGCCATATCAAGCTTGGAAGAACAAAAGCCACATTCTACAGCAAACACGACCATGAAATGTCACAACTGGTAGTCTCGCTCAACAACTGGCACCATTTACTCCTGCTTTATGGAACAAGTACATGCTTGTGCAGCTGCTGATCCACCCACAGAAGCTAACATTGATTTTTCTCGTTTGCAACGTGGAGCTTCTGGGATTGGAGGTTGAAGTGAGTCACTGAAGGCAAGAGAAGGATTGCAACCACAGTAGATTTTGCAGCAATCCCCACTACAATCTCGGCATCGCACCACACAAGCACATCCAATCCTTATCGATCAATCAAATGTGAAAACCTTTTAACTGTGCAAGCGTCTGGCTACAACAAACCAAGTCAGAGCACCATCCATGCAAGAAAGGCATTGTTGCCCCACCTCATCACCGCCACCAAACCAGTAAACGCCACAATCCCTTGAATAACACTCATCGGTTGAAGCTTCCAGGTCTTGGCATGCTTCTCGTGTGCTGCTGCTGCGGTACTGGGGTCACTTTGGAAGGTAATTCTCCCTGAATGGTGAAGCCACACAGCAAGCATCGCATACACCCCCACCGCTAGCAGACGAACCCCAAGGTTCTCCGCTGCTCCGGCAATCGCCGCCACTGCTGGCGCCACCACTGACAACCAGTTAGGTCCGGCCAAAGCTTGAGGTTTGGTCGTGGCAGAGGGCAAGGAGGAAGAGGAGGAGGAGGAGGAGGTGGAGGAAGCGAGGGTGGATGATGAATCAGATGCAGCAGCAGCTGTTGACGATGAGAGAACCGCACGAGCCGCGGAGAACCCAGTGAGGATGGTCAGGATAAGCAGGAAAACCAATGGCGGAACGACACCTGTCGCGAGACCAACAGCTGCCGATCCAGCGAGCCACAGCGGGCCGTTTAGCCTCTCCGGGTCAGAATCAAATCGCTGAGCTACAGTAACAACTGCGGTAACCAGAAGAGCGTTCAGGATAACCGGTCCAACTGGCATGACGTCAAACTGAGCGAGTACCGCGAAATAGAGGAACTCGGCGCCAGATGCGATGACAGAGAGGAGGATGGAGAGGCGAGTGAGGATGGGGTCAGGGAGGAGGAGGAGGAGGGAGTGTGCGAGGAAGAGGAGGAAGACAGCGGTTGAACCACAGGCAGCGGTGAAGAGAGAGAGGATGAGAAGGGAGGAGCGGATGAGCTCGGAGAGTAACCAGCGGCGATTGAGGACGAGAACGAGCGCCACTGCTCAGAAACGGGAGCGGGAGGAAATGGAGGGGAAAAAACAAACGAAGAGGGAAAGGTACGAGGAAGAGGAAAGAGAAAGAGTGTGTGAAGAGGAGGAGGAACGGGTGAGTTGGGCCAGTAATCAGCGGCAGTTGAGGAAGAGAGAAGGGCGATTGCACAGAATGTGGTGCAAGGACCCACGAAGTGGGATTGACGGGAAGCATGCCGAGAGGACAGCGCATGGAAATGAATGCGGCAGGAAAAGAATGTAAGCAGCAACACAAGACGGAATAGGTGGAGGGTGAGGCGCAGGGGGAGAGAGTGGACGGGTTGGGAAGAGGAGACGGTTAGAAAGGAGACTTGCCTCTGCAGGCAATGGGGTGACGTGGCTTGTTCCGGTTGAAGGACATAATTGGATTTTTTAGACATCTCACAAAGGACGGAGAGAGGGAGAGTGTGAGTGCGCGTGGGTGGGGGAGAGGAGGTTAAACCCGAAACCCAGGACATTTTGTGAAAGTACCTGCAGCCAATGCCACCACTCTGTTTCTCGTGGGACGAAACTCCTTCTGCCCGGGAACGAATTCCATCTGCCCGGGGCGGTGCCGACTGGCCCTAGAAGTCGCTGCTGCTGCATCTGCATCCCCGCTATAGTCTGTTCCCACTGATTCTGCAGCAGACGCAGGTGAGACCTGTCCAGATAAGCCTGGTTTAGGCGCCGCAACCTGTCCGGCATTTTCAGGGGAGATGCTGCTGTAAGCGCCGCTTCCGCCGTCCGATGCGGCGGATGCAGCGGACACGCCGAGTCGCCATTTCAAGCAGAGAGAAGGACGAGAGAAGCGTTGTTCTGGTGGATCGACGAACGAGGGTCGGGGATGGAAGCGAGGATAGAGGAAATAAGATCATGAATGGCAAAGGCGCCGCGGAGTGAAATCGAAAATCGGCCTGAGTGTTGAACACGTGGGGAGCTGGAGAGACCAGGGGCTGAAATGCAACGGAAATACAAACATGCGAACGGAGGATGCGTAATGGGTACAATCGCACCTTTCCCCGCCTCCCTCCACCCCAGCAGTTCCCAGATTCTCACCCGCAGCTCGCGGGGTCGCAGTAGGCAGTACCCGTCTTCGCAGTCCTAGAAACGAGGAAGGCGAGGCAGCGGTGCGACTCGTCGACGCGAACTGGGAGCAGAGGCTGACGGAGCCACCTGTACGGGCCGATGAAGCTGGCCCCACAAGGGTGTTGCTGAGCTGAGCTGTCAGGCCCGCCATGATTGGCGGAGATGGCGGGGGTTGCAGCAGAATAACTTGCTTTTTGGAGACCTGTGTTTGTGGCGGAGAGCTCGGGGTGGAAAATTGGAGCTTAGAGGAGCAGAAAGTGTAGTTTCGTTTATCGAGATTTATAACGTCAGTGTTCTACTCTTATTTCTAAAAAAATGGAACTCAGTTTTGAGTTGTGAATTTTTGAAATAGTGAAAAATCATACCGTACCTGACGTGAAAAATGCATCCCCTCTTGTAAACCCTTTCTAATTTGTAATGTGACCCCAGAACCCATAGAGAACTTTGGAAGCAAATTTTCTTATTTCCAACTCTTTACAAAGATACGGTATCTACAGCACAAAATGCAGGATGGTCACCAGGGACTTCGTCCCTTAGCCACACCAGCATCATATCACACAAGATCCACACTCCATGAACGCAGCTCCTGGACAAGCCTTTTTAGGCGGCCTGCCCATGGAAAATCCTGGTGCACCCTGAGGAGAGAACTCAGCAGAAAGACAGAACAAGCGAAATAGCGCTTTGTCCACCATCTGCACCCTCAGAAGATGATGGCAAAAGCAAGCGAAAGTTTGAACGTAGTGGGAAGTGAAGCAGCACCGAGCAACGCGAAGATTGTTGTTGACGAGCTGTGAAGATGGTGAATCCCCCATTGCAGCAGAAGCAGAAGCTTGAAAAAAACTCTTGGGTTGACGCAGTAGAGGGCGCAGGCAGCACATGTACAGCATGTACAATAGGGCTTTCAGCCCCAGTATTCACTGCCACAAAAACCGCTCCAAAGTTTATTGCAGATCGTGAGGTTCCAATGTCACTTCATGTTGTCCGCCTCGTCAGCTGCAAAAGCATCTCCACTTGTGACGTTGCTCTAACGATACTGCGACTTCGTCTTGGGATTGTACAGCCTGAAAGTGAAACAAGGCGAAAGGCATCAGAGATCTAGAAATTAGGCATAACTAACAAAGGTTCTCAGGAATGTCCAGAACAACAACAAAATGGCAAAGATGAGATGAAAATGCAGAAACAGGGAGCCCATAAGACATTACATTGCGTCTGGGCTCTGGGCGCTCAGATCGTGAGCGGATTATACCAGTCGAACACGGACGGCTCCGACGAGCTAGCCTTGTCAAATCTGGTAGCACCAACGCGGTCCATCCCAGCCTTGTTACTTCCAGGGTGAAACACACTGCGCCAGACGTTCTCTCCCTTGCGTGACGCTGTAATAATTCAGATCCAACAATGACGTAAGAAACAAGACGAAACGTCAGTCAGGTGCAATGCAAGAAAACCGTGTGAAAAACGATCTAAGTACATCAATGCAGTTGAATAACAGAGGGGTCGCAGTGGAACGTACCGGGGGAAGGCAAGTTCGAAAGGCCAGTGTCGTAGTGAGCTGGCAGAGAGCGAGAGGTGTCGAGCCGGCGAGCCGTCTTTGGCTGCTGTGTAGCAATGGAGATGCTCTTGGTGATTCTCGGCATCACTGTCCGACCGTCAGACGCCATATCTGCGCTCTTACGCCGCTCGTCGAGATTCAGCGGCGGTGGAATTCCTGCATACGATGCAAACGAAGGAATCGAATAATTTAGCGACAACGACGGGCAATTGAGCATAAATCTGACCGCGTCGAGCAAGCCTGCGAAAGCAGAAAGGCATAGGTATTCATTGGAGATTTTGGCTTGCGTACCATGATATGAGCCTTCATTCGAAGGAGAAAGCGGGCTTCCCCCGCTGTCGTAACGTTCCAGAGAGCTTCTAGGAGAAATCGAGACGCTCTTGTCCAAGGATGAAGGGAGCTGCGGAGAGCTTCCCATTACTTCACTCCAGACCTTCTCGATGAAACTCATTCTTGTAGAAGCGACGAAGAAGCTCGATTGATGAAGTCAAGCTTGAATAGCAAGCCCTCGCAAGACAGAAGTAGCCGCGCGAGAGGTGACTCCTCGACCGTTGAGTAAGAAACGAAAATGGGGAGTTCGAGCACACGGCGAGCTGCAACCCAAATTCTTTCAATTCGCACTCTTGGTCTCTGAGAATGCTTACCTCCATACTGCCGAGGTTCTTATAGTAAATCGGTATGAGCGACGTAACGGAAAAGAGGTGGGAGAGTTGCAACGGAGGTTCGCTGAGGGGGTGTCTCTCCATCGGTGGTGATGGAAGGGGGACATGGAGGGGGGGCTGGGGAACGCGGAGGGGGAAAGCTTCTGGAATTTGCGCGGAGGTTCGATGTAGATTTGGCTCATCATAATTGGTATTAACCCATTTGACGAATGGATTCAGTGGTTCTTCTCCTTAGTGTTTCGAGGTGGCTTCACGAGCATGAAAGTCACTTCGGGGTTTGCCTGAAAATAATACTGGAACCTATCCCATCACAAAGGTTTCTGGGCAGAAGACAAGGTGGTGCTCGGAAAAGCTGCTGGACGCACGGTACAGCAGGGGTTTCCCATCGACAGCCGTTATGTCTCGAGAAAATGGCGGTGCGGGACACACACAAGGCGAGAAGGGTTTTCCTATCCATGCGCGGAAACCGACGAACTCGTGCGGGACAACATTTGCTTCGCGCATGCGTGGGGGGACTTGCTTTACACATGCAGAATGTGGTGGTGAAGCAAGATGAAAACGAGGCTGCAGGAGTCAAGGCGTCAATCAAACCCGAGTGGTCGAAAACTCGAGATGTCCACGAGGCCGTCGCTTATTCGTGAATGTTGCAACGAAGTCAGATGCACGGGAAAAGCGTGCGTGCGCCGTGAGGTGGACTTATCCAATAAGCATGAGTTTCACAAATTGCTGACGCTGGATATCAGCCAATGCGTCACTTCCCATGTGAGCTGACCTGGATCAAGGTTTCTCGGGAAAGGAAGCATGACTTTCAGCGGAATTTGACACAATCTGGTTCGCAACTCACGTGTTACACGTGAGGGTTCGGTAACTATCCATTTACTACACCTCAACCATTCTCCCTACACAGGTACTCATGTGAGGAAAAGACTCATGTGATGAGGTACATCTGCATTCATATACAAAAGGTGGATATACTCAAACGCACTTGTACATCAGGCTAGTGAACCTAATATCTGCACCACGCGCATTCTTAATGCACAGAAAAACTGTGCCTCACATTACCATTACTTTATCTGATCTCCTACACAATCACACAAAATACTATCAATATTGTCGCAACCCTGCACAACAAGTGTGCACATTAATTCCGGATTGTCAAAATCCTGGGCAGCTACTTGGCACATGGTGGTGACGTCTTCTTGAGCCAAGAACAGCTCATCCAACGACACATCTGCAACTGAAGGTTCCAAGCAGTCTCCCACATCAATTGATTCATCATATGGTGATGACCCCGCAACAGAGCAACTCAAACTGCTCATGCTTCCACCACTGCTGGTAGCGCTGTTACGTCGAACGATTGTGTCGAACGTCAAACGAGCATCACAAACCAGACCATTATGGCAAGTGCCAGGTTCCTTACCATCCCTGCTGTTACTGTGGGTGCAGCTCCTGCTGCTGCTGTTCTCACAGCCCTTGCTGCTGCTACCCCCACCATCCACCACGTAAGCTGCTGCGTCGACCGAAACAGTTTGCTGAAGCTGCTGCTGTGGCTGATAGCGGTGCAAATACCCCTGGGAGTGGGACGTGTGCGGCGGACGACAATCCCTGAGTTCTGTTCTAGACAACTGCATCCACGATGCTGTCTGCTGCTGGAAAGCAGCTGTCTCACACCCTGACGTGGCGACACCACCACATGCTGACACGTCAGCACCATGGGGTGCTGACGCGGCAACAACATTACTGGGTGGACCCATCCAAGCATCGCTTTGAAACACTGGTTCATGCGTGGCAGGCGGGAGGATACCAGAACCAGCACAGAGGGTGTAATCCTGAGGAGGAATGGTGAGCTCAGGGCCAGGAATAACATCAGCTTCAGTAGTGGTAACACCAACGCCATTGCTGGTAACACCAGAGTCAGCTGCAGGAGCAGCAGAGACAGAATCGAACCTCGTTGGCAGGCCAGAAGGATTAGCAGTTGGGTGAACGGTAATGGCTGCTTTGCTGTAGCTGTAAGGAGGAGGATCTGAAATGCATGTGGCAACAGCATGTGTGCTTGTGGTAACCCCGGAGATGTGTGCAACTGTTGCAGTGATTTCATGAGTCGTTACATCTGTGACACCAGTGGTGACATCAGTGGTAGAAGCATCAGTGGTAGGAGCAAGTATAGCAGGAGTACATGCTGTCCGCTGACCTTCAAGCTTCTCAGTGCACAGGAGAGTTTGCGGCATGCACTGCTGCTGATGCTGCTGCTGCTGACGTTGGTGTTGCTGCTGCTGCTGCTGCTGCTGCTGATGCTGCTGCTGCTGACGTTGGTGTTCCCGCTGCTGCTGCTGTTGCTGATGCCACTGCTGTTCCTGCTGATGCTGGTTCTGCTGGTGCTGCTGGTGCCTCTGTTGTCGTTGCCACTGCTCCTGTTGCTGCTGCTGGTGCTGATGTTGCCCTAGCCACTGCTCCTCTTGCTGCAGTATCAGCTGCTGCTGGTGCTGCTGTTGCCATTGCCACTGCTCCTGCTGCTGTTCCTGCAATTGCACCTGCTGCACCTGCTGCATCTGCTGCACCCGAGGGGCCCCCTGCTGTTCCAGAGCAACCACGTCACGGAATGCACTCGGTTTCAGGTTCTGCCACACGACGAACTCATGCTGTTGTGTCTGCTGCACTAACACTCCTTCCCGCTGACCCCAAGCAGTCACGTATTCGACTGCGTTGGGGCCACCTGGGGTCTGAGAGGACTCAAAAGTCGGCTGTCTCGACCCTTGAACATGCCTTATCTGCCTCGGTTGCAGTCTCTGCTGCCCCTGAGCAATCTCGCTTGGGAATGTTAATCCGCCAGCAGCCGGGAATGGCATCGGAAAAGCATGTGGGCCTTGTGCGTTGTTGCCACGAGCGGCAGAACCTGCTGCAGAACTTGCGGAAGCAGCAGCTGCAGCGGCAGCAGTTGCATGGTTACCAACGAGAGAGCTTGGCAAAGGCAGCGCGACATTCCAGCCAGTTGCTCTCAGTGACGCTAGCGTTGAGTACTTGGTTCTAGTTACTGGTGCTGATGATGTTAATGATACTGCTGCTGCTGCTCCTGATGCCAATGATGCTACTGGTGCTGCTGCTGCTGCTGCTGCTGCTGCTGCTGCTGCTGCCACTGGTGGTGGTGCTACTGTTGCGACCGATGGTGATGTTGCTGCTGCAGGGACGGCAATGGGTGCATGGAAAGGGAGTGGTTGGAAGCTTCCGGTTCGAAGAAGTGATGGAGGAGCAACGCTGCTGGTGCGAGCCGCAGGTAGTAGTAGCAGGGGCCCTGGATGTGATGCAAGGAACCTTTGAGGCGCCTCAAAAGTCGCAGGTAGTAGCAGGGGTCCTGGATGTGATGTAAGGGGTTTGGCAGGACGGCAGATTGTAGCAGGAGGACGGCAGGTTGTAGCAAGGGGCCAGGTAGTGGAACGAGGGCAGAAAATTTTTGCAGGAGGAGGGACGGTTGCGACAGAAGAGAAGTTTTTAGCAGGAGGACAGGTTGTAGAGCGCGGGTAGGTGGTTGTAGCAGGAGGGGAGTTTGTAGCAGAAGGGCTTGTAACAGGTGGGAAGGTTGTGCCTAAGAGAACGTTAGCAGCAGAAGGGAAATCTGTAGCATGGGAGACGGCTGTAGCATGAGGGACGGCTGTAGCAGGAGGCGAGGTTGTAGCAACCGAGACAGTAAGATGAGCATGAGGAATGCATTGGCATGTCGGCGGGTGGTTATGTGAGCCGGAATATGCCGTCCGCACCACCACTCGCATCTCGGTTCTGCCACGCCCTGCATTGTCACTTATTGCAGCGGAATGGCTTGTAGAAGTAGGAACTTTTGACTTTGAACTGGCCCCTTGAGGCTTGTAGCGGCGAGGCCGCGCCTCCCCAGCCACCCGGTCCTCGGTTTTTTTCGCCGGGCAGCCCGTGAGTTGCTTGAATGCGCAGACAAAGTAGATCCTGCGCCAGAGACGGACGGGAAATGGCGCGTGTTAGATACATTGTTGGGTTCAGCTAACGCGGGTGGATGGGTCATTACAGGGCTGCAAGCAAGGAACGCATGTGCCAGCAGTACCTTTTCACTTGCTGGCCAACGATCCGTTTGTGCGATGCCTTTCGCCATCGAAACCCCTCGCAGCCTCGGCAACCATTGCACAGTGCATGGGAATCCACGTCCTGCTGCTGTCGGTGCTTGTGATGATGCTGCTGCTGCTGCTGCTGCTGCTGCTGCTGCTGCTGCTGCTGCTGCTGCTGCTGCTGCTGCTGCTGCTGCTGCTGCTGCTGCTGCTGCTGCTGCTGCTGCTGCTGCTGCTGCTGCTGCTGCTGCTGCTGCTGCTGCTCTTGGCGCTGCTGCTCTGGGTGCTGTTGCTGCTGCTGTAGGTGCTCGTGCTGCTGCTGGTGGCCCTGCGGATCATGCTGAAATGATGATGCTTGTGATCCATCATAACCGTTCATCTCTCTGTTTCCGTGGCAGCAGCCAGCAGGCAGCAAAATGTCACGGCTGGATGTCACAGGAGGTCACTGGATGTTGCTGGATGTCACAGGAGGTCAATGAACGTTGCTGGTTGTTGCCGAATGTCGCAAGATGTCACAAGAGGTCGCTGGATGTCCTAGGAAATGTAATTCCTAGGTGGTCCTGAATGTCGCAGGAAATCACTGTATGTCAGAGGTCACTCGCTTAAAACATCCGAAATGTAAGCTTGAAAACAACCATCCATAGCACCAGATGACTCTCACGAAACACGGACCAGCTTTGGAAGCGGCAGCTTTCCGGCGGAAAGGCGACTGTGGCGGAAGAATCTGACATATGAGACTCGAAAGGGTTGATTGAAGGGAGTACGAGGTATTCCCGAGTCTCTGAAATTAGGAGCACGTCTTATCACGGTGGACTCAACAACACGGCTGACGAGTCGGAGGCGAGAGAAGACACTCAACTTGAATATCGAGCTGAGACAGTAAACCTGAGATATAACGATGACTACTAATATGGGACCATTGATCTGACCACGATGACTGCATGCGTCATTCTGGGTTGCAATGTCACCCACAAGTCCTAGTGCACATGCCGTTAAGGCCTATCGATGCAAGCCATTCGTACCACGTATGCACTTGCGTGCTAATATTCAATGTGGATACGCTGTCCGCGAAGAAGCGAACATGTTACCCGGGGACTAATCGGAATCTTCCGAAAACTGACCTAATCTTGGCGGTAAATGCCGCGGCCGCCGCGCGCTGAGCGTGCGCTTTGGAAAGCATGACGGGTATCTGCAGGCCGGGGTACAAAGCATCACGCACATGCGCGAAGCGAGGGTGACACTGCGGAGGAACCATGATCCGCAAAGTGGGGATTTGGAAGCAACGACAAAGTTGATTGCCCTGACAAGACAGGCAACTTGCGTGTTTGGTCGGGTAAATCCACCGCATTCTTCGTAAGGACCGCGGTCCTACTAAAGAGGTAACGGAACGTGCGCTGGAAACGGGAGCAGTGTTTGAAGTTATGACTACACGTGGTGTTTAAATGCAAGTGGTGCAATCATCACGTGTGCTGTAGGGACCTGTCGTGTCGACATGCCTAGCTGACTGAAATGGAAAGCCGGCCAAAATCTACGAAATTGGGAAAAGAGGGTGCGAGTGCGAGCGAGGGTGAGGGGGAGCGAGAGGAAGACAGGGTGCTCTAAAGCGTGTCCGACAAAACTTCGAGGGACTAACTGGAACGCCGCGTGGCATATGACTTTTAGGGTTTGGTTGGAATAAAGCAGTTTTCTCGTCTGACTATCTACTGTCTTCGCCAACATCCGTTGACATCTAACGGATATATTGGGACCGAGCGGTAACATTTCGGAAACTACGAGAAGCTGATAGAACCGTGTTGCACCTTGACGGATGTCAACTACACACCATTATGGAAGGCAACAACTGCAGTTCCCTTCATTTCATCTCAGCCGAGCTGTGTGTGTATCCGAAGCTTTTGTTGAAGAAGGAACTTTTGCTAACTCAAGGTGCATACTGCACGTTCAATACACTCACTCAGATTTGCTCAACATTAGGAGATGCAAATTCAACTTACATGCAGTGTGTTTCCTCAGTGTATGAAGCTCGGGGGCACCAGCCCAGAACACATGCAGGGTTTTCATGATTGGACAGACCAAGATATCCATTTTGGATTTTTGTACCGTGATTGTTTTTGTTTCTTATATTTCCGTACCCTTCCACCTCCAGTGGTCGGGACCAAACCTCGTTCATTTTGGGCCACCATTTCAGGCTAGCGACACAAATAACAGTGCCTCACATTGCCTCTACTTAATCTCATCTCTTACACAGTCTATCAATATTGTCGCAACTTTGCACAAGTGTGCACATCACTTCTGGAGTGTCGAAATCCTGCGCGGTGACCTGGCACATGCTGATGTCTTCTTGAGCCAAGTACAGCTCATCCAGCGACACATCAGCAACAGAAGCTTCCACTCGTTCGCCCACATCAGCCTCATCATGCGGTGATGATCCCGCCACAGAGCAACCCAGACTGCTCATGCTGCCACCGCTGCTGGCAGTGCTGTTACGTCGAACAATTTGATCGTACGTCAAAGCATTGGCGAAGTTGGTACAAGTAGCACCCAAGAGACCAGCACCAGTCCGTGACACCAGTGGTGGCATCAGTGGTACTAGGAGTAAGTACACCAGGAGTGCATGCTGTCCGTTGACCTTCCAGCTTCTCAGTGCACAGAAGAGTCGACGACATGCAGTGCTGCTGTTGTTGCGGCAGTTGCTGCTGCTGTAGTTGTTGCTGTTGGTGTTGCTGCTGTTGCTGTTGTTGCGGCAGTTGCTGCTGCTGCAGTTGTTGCTGTTGTTGTTGTTGCTGTTGTTGCTGCTGTTGCTGTTGTTGCGCATGCTGTTGTTGCGCATGCTGTTGTTGCGCATGCTGTTGTTGCGCATGCTGTTGTTGCGCATGCTGTTGTTGCGCATGCTGTTGTTGCGCATGCTGTTGTTGCGCATGCTGTTGTTGCGCATGCTGTTGTTGCGCATGCTGTTGTTGCGCATGCTGTTGTTGCGCATGCTGTTGTTGCGCATGCTGTTGTTGCGCATGCTGTTGTTGTTGCGCATGCTGTTGTTGCGCATGCTGTTGTTGCGCATGCTGTTGTTGCGCATGCTGTTGTTGCGCATGCTGTTGTTGCGCATGCTGTTGTTGCGCATGCTGTTGTTGCGCATGCTGTTGTTGCGCATGCTGTTGTTGCGCATGCTGTTGTTGCGCATGCTGTTGTTGCGCATGCTGTTGTTGCGCATGCTGTTGTTGCGCATGCTGTTGTTGCGCATGCTGTTGTTGCGCATGCTGTTGTTGCGCATGCTGTTGTTGCGCATGCTGTTGTTGCGCATGCTGTTGTTGCGCATGCTGTTGTTGCGCATGCTGTTGTTGCGCATGCTGTTGTTGCGCATGCTGTTGTTGCGCATAGCTGTTGTTGCGCATGCTGTTGTTGCGCATGCTGTTGTTGCGCATGCTGTTGTTGCGCATGCTGTTGTTGCGCATGCTGTTGTTGCGCATGCTGTTGTTGCGCATGCTGTTGTTGCGCATGCTGTTGTTGCGCATGCTGTTGTTGCGCATGCTGTTGTTGCGCATGCTGTTGTTGCGCATGCTGTTGTTGCGCATGCTGTTGTTGCGCATGCTGTTGTTGCGCATGCTGTTGTTGCGCATGCTGTTGTTGCGCATGCTGTTGTTGCGCATGCTGTTGTTGCGCATGCTGTTGTTGCGCATGCTGTTGTTGCGCATGCTGTTGTTGCGCATGCTGTTGTTGCGCATGCTGTTGTTGCGCATGCTGTTGTTGCGCATGCTGTTGTTGCGCATGCTGTTGTTGCGCATGCTGTTGTTGCGCATGCTGTTGTTGCGCATGCTGTTGTTGCGCATGCTGTTGTTGCGCATGCTGTTGTTGCGCATGCTGTTGTTGCGCATGCTGTTGTTGCGCATGCTGTTGTTGCGCATGCTGTTGTTGCGCATGCTGTTGTTGCGCATGCTGTTGTTGCGCATGCTGTTGTTGCGCATGCTGTTGTTGCGCATGCTGTTGTTGCGCATGCTGTTGTTGCGCATGCTGTTGTTGCGCATGCTGTTGTTGCGCATGCTGTTGTTGCGCATGCTGTTGTTGCGCATGCTGTTGTTGCGCATGCTGTTGTTGCGCATGCTGTTGTTGCGCATGCTGTTGTTGCGCATGCTGTTGTTGCGCATGCTGTTGTTGCGCATGCTGTTGTTGCGCATGCTGTTGTTGCGCATGCTGTTGTTGCGCATGCTGTTGTTGCGCATGCTGTTGTTGCGCATGCTGTTGTTGCGCATGCTGTTGTTGCGCATGCTGTTGTTGCGCATGCTGTTGTTGCGCATGCTGTTGTTGCGCATGCTGTTGTTGCGCATGCTGTTGTTGCGCATGCTGTTGTTGCGCATGCTGTTGTTGCGCATGCTGTTGTTGCGCATGCTGTTGTTGCGCATGCTGTTGTTGCGCATGCTGTTGTTGCGCATGCTGTTGTTGCGCATGCTGTTGTTGCGCATGCTGTTGTTGCGCATGCTGTTGTTGCGCATGCTGTTGCTCCCCCTGCTGTTGCTGCTGCTGTTGATGTTGCTGCTGGTGCTGCTCGTGCTGCTGGTGCTGCTGGTCCTGCTTATGCTGGTGGTGCCTCTGTTGCTGTTGCCACTGCTCCTGTTGCTGCGGTTGCTGCTGTTGCCATTGCCACTGCTTCTCTTGCTGCTGCAACTGGTGCTGTTGTTGCTGCTGCTGCTGCTGGTGCTGCCTTTGCCATTGCCACTGCTCCTGTTGCTGTTGCTGCAATTGCTGCTGCTGCTGCTGGTACTGCTGCTGAGCCTGCAGTTGTGGATGCTGGTGTTGCTCCTGCTCCTGCAACCGGCAATGGCGTTTCTGGCTCTGCTGCACTGGCTGCTGCAGGCTCTGCTGCTGGATTAGCTGATGAGAGTGCTGCCACACCGGCTGCTGCATCGGTTGCTGCAGGCTTTGCTGCCCTTCCAGTCCATGCGAGGAGAATTCCATGTCTGGAAGTACAGCACCTTGCATCTGCTTCACGTCGGGACCCTGTTGCTGCTGCACTGCCTGCTGTGGTGGCCGCTGCACTGCCTGCTGTGGTTGCTCGTGCTGTCGTTGCTGCAGGCTCTGCTGCCCTTCAAGTCCATGCAAGGAGAACCCTATGTCCTCCAGTAACTCACCATGCATCTGCTTCACTTGAGGACCCTGCTGCACTGGCTGCTGCACTGGCTGCTGAACTGGCTGCTGAGAGCGCTGCTGCACTGACTGCTGTGGGTGATGGTACATCGGCAGTTGTGGCGCCTGCTGAATCTGCGCTCCCTGCTCCTCCACAGCAACCATGCTGGTGACCGTGTTGGAGCTTTGTCGCGCCTCAAATCGAAGCTGCTGCACCTGAGGGCCGCCCTGTTGTTCCCGAGGACCCACGTCAGTGAATGGGCTTGGCTGCTGCCACACGTCGAACCTAAGCTGTTGGATCGGCTGCCCTTGCACCCCCCCCTCTTGCATCTGCCCCACCAGCCCCATATGCCCCATCCCCATGTAGCTCATTTGCAGTCCCTGCTGTCCCTGAGTAAGCTCCTGTGGGAATGTTATCCCCCCGGCAGCGGGAAATGGCTCCGGATTCGCATGTGCAGCTGGTGCGTTATTGCCACCAGCAGTAGGAGCAGCAGCAGCAGGACCAGCAGAAGCAGCAGGTGCGTGGTTACCAATGAGAGAGGTTAGATTAGGCAGCGCGGCATTCCAGCCGGTTGCTTTCCAAGACGATAGCGTTGAGTACACGGGTCCGGTTACCGATGATGCTGATGTCATTGGTGCTGCTGATGTCACCAGTGCTGCTGTCGCTGCTGCCGCCACTCGTGCTGCTGTTGCTGCTGCCGCCACTCGTGGTGCTGGTTCTGCTGACGCCGCCGTTGCCGCTGTTACTGCTGCGGCCACTGGTGGTCCTGGAGCTGCGGCTGGCTGTGCTGCTGCTGCTGCAGGGACCGCAACAGGTGCATGGAAGGAAAGTGGTTGGGAGCTTTCGGGTCGAAGAAGCGGTGAGGGAGATATGCTGCGGGTGCGAGCCGGGGGAACTAGGAGCGATGCTGGATGTGGCGTGAGGCATGTAGCAGGACGGCAGGGTGTCGCAACGGGCCAGGTTGTGGAACGAGGGCAGGCTGTAGCAGTAATGCAGGTTGTAGCAGGAGAGAAAGCATTAGCATGAGGAATGGTTCTAGTAGGAGGGAAAACTGCAGCAGGATGGGAGGCTGTGGCAAGAGGGAAAGCTGTAGTAGTACACAAGGTTTTAGAGGGAGGGAAGGTTGAAGCAGGGAGAAAGGTCATAACAGGAGCGGAAGGTGTAGCAGAAGGGAAGGTTGTCATAGGAGCAGATTCTGCAGCAGGAGGGTCGGTCGTAGCAGAAGAAAAGATTGTAGCAGCCGGGATGGCTGTGCCAGAGGAGACATGTGTAGCAGGAAGCGAGACTGTACCAGGAGGGGAGACTGTAGCAGGAGGGACGGCTGTAGCATCCATGACAGTCACATGAGTGTGAGGCACGCACTGGCATGCCGGGGCATGGTTATGCGAGCCGGAATACGCCGTCCGCACCACCACTCGCATCTCTGTTCTGTCACGGCCTGTACTGTCACTTCCTGGAGCCGAGTGATTTGTGGAAGGAGAGTGTTTCGCAGAGCTTTTCGCCTTTGCGACGGCGCCTTGAGGCTTGTACCGGCGAGGCCGGGCCTCCCCAGCCACTCGGTCCTCCGTTTTTTTTGCCGGGCAGCCCGTGAGTTGCTTGAACGCGCAGACAAAGTAGATCCTGCAACAGAGACGGACGGAAAGCGGCGCGCGTTAGATACATTATTTAATCAGAAACCCTGGGATTTATGAGTGTGCTACTCTGACCCGACTGACAAGCTCAGCAAAAGCGGGTGGCTCACTAGAGGGTTGCATATAGATCCATACAAGCAACTTGTAAACAAGGCGGAGGGAGAAGAGGGGTGCTGGGCTGGGACTGCTACCCCCCAGTCAAGGTAACTTTTCCATTGTTACGAGCAGTAGTCAAGGTACCAGAAGAACCAGTGATACCTTTTCACTTGCTGGCCAACGATCCGTTTGTGCGATGCCTTTCGCCATCGAAACCCCTCGCAGCCTTGACAGCCGTTGCACACTGCATGGGGCTCCTGGTCGTCCTGCTGCCGCTGGTGCTCGTGCTGCTGCTGCTGCTGTTGGTGATCGTGCTGCTGCTGCTGCTGCTGCTGCTGCTGCTGCTGCTGCTGCTGCTGTTGGTGATCGTGCTGCTGCTGCTGCTGCTGCTGCTGCTGCTGCTGCTGTTGGTGATCGTGCTGCTGCTGCTGCTGCTGCTGCTGCTGCTGTTGGTGATCGTGCTGCTGCTGCTGCTCTTGGTGCTCGCGCTGCTGCTGGTGACGCTGCGGATCATGCGGATATGCTGATGCATGTGATCCATCGTGACCGTTCATCTCACTGCTCCCGTAGCAGCAGGCAGCAGGGTGTCACAGGATCTTGCTGGTTGTCACAGGGAGGTCATTGAATGGTGCTGGTTGTCGCAGGATGTAGCAAAATGTCAAAGAGGTTAATGGGTGTCTCAAAGGATTTCTCTGGGTGTCACTGGGTGTCACTGGGTGTCACTGTCACTGGGTGTCACTGGGTGTCCACTGGGTGTCACTAAATGTCACTGGAACCTCAGGAGAACAATGGATGTTGCTGATTTCACAGGAGGTCCTGAATGACAGGAACTCACCGTATGTCAGGGGAGGTCACCGTATGTCAGGGGAGGTCACCGGATGTCACACGAGGTCACCGAATGTCATCTTACGTCACCTGGCGTCACTGGAGGAGACTGGCGTCAACTGAATGTCAGAGGATGACTCAGCGAGTATGTGAGACGCTGAGGATTCAAACACGGCCGCAGGTACATGGGATGCGGTTGCTGTCAGAAACCACTCCGTGAAAATGGGTTACGAGCAGTACTGGCTAGCAGACTCAGGGGTCACCCCTACTAAGAAACCGCATCCACGGTGGTGCTTGCGGAAAATGGGCCTTGGAGTTGCGGATATTTCACTCACTTACAAACGTCCTAACTGTGAACTCGAATACAACGAAATGTGGACCAGGCTTGGAAGCGAAAAGACGACTCGTCTATGGCGGAAGAAGCGAGATACGAGGGCATCAGGAGTCGAGCGTTTTCGTTCTTGCATCGAGCGAGCGTGACTTGGAAGGGTTTGATCGAAGCGTTTCTCCTGATACCAGCTCATTCAGTTAGTACGACTCGTAGGAATCCCCGAGTCACTAGAGAGCACGTCTTTATCAAGGTTGAGGCAAAAGAGACGACGTTGAATCCCGGTTTTTTAGGGCCTAAGATCGAGCTGAGGTAATAAACCCGAGATAAATGAACGCCGTCGAGCATCAATCCGAGACCATCAATCTGACCATGATGACTACCATGTGACACCGCATCTTTCTGGGTTGCAACGCCACTCACAAAAGTCCCAGCATAGTACCGCCCCGATGCAGGCTATTCGTGCATGATGCGTATACTACCACTAGTAATGGTAACCGATGTGCATATGCAGTTTGCGCAAGGGGCGAACATGCTGCGCGCCGGGTCCCTACTAATCGAATCATTCCTGACCTAATCTTGGCGGGAAATGCAGCCGCGCGCGGAGCTGCGCTTTGGGAGCATGCCAGTAGCTGCAGGCGCACAGCATGCACATGTGCGTGAGGGGTGACACCCGGAGATCCGCAATAAGCGGCTTGGGATGGGTTGGTTGAGAGAACAGCATTGCTGGGTAAAAACGACAAAGCTGCTCGGCTCGGCATCACGGACTCAGAACAAGCAACTGCCGGGATTGGTGGGCTAAATCCGCCGCATTCGTATCAGGACTGTGGTCCCTAACAATAAAGAGGCAACGGAAGCTACGCCGGAAATGGGACAAGATGCAAGTGGTGCTATCAACACCTGGGGACAGTGGGCTAAAGGCGAGGTTCTGTAGAAACATGTCGTCGACGATGCCTTGCTGAGAGAGACATGTGGTGGAATCTGGATGACTAAACATCGAATCTCGTCGGGGAGAGCGAGAGAGAGAAAGAGGGTGCCTGAGGCGGACTAACTAGAAGGGGCACTCTGATTTTTAGGGTTGGGTGAAGTAGGTTATCCTCTACATCTCTTCTGTATCGGCAGCATCCGTCGACATCCAACGGATATATAATAAAGCCACCGAGCAGGAAACATCACGCAATCTACGAAACGCTCATAGGACCGTGCTGCACCTTGACGGATGTCATACACACACCATCACACCTTGACGGATGTCAGACAACTCCTAACAAATATGACTTTTCCTGATCAGAAGAGGTTCTGACCAGTATGGATGGAGGAATGGATCGTCTCGTCTCGTCTGTTCACTGCGCGTCACCTGCGTGTACACTAGGGTCGCCAGTTGTCACAGAGCTGTCCTCGCGCCATCCGGCCAAAATGGCCCCCAGTTATGTGCGTAGTAACTACCAGTTATCATGTGACACGTGCCCTGCGACCTTACCACCATCGCAGGGGCTGCCGGTATTTACTGTGCAATCGCGTTGTTCCTCCAGTGACGTTTAGCGTAACAAACGGTTGCGACACTCAGCCCTGAAATATCATCTTCCATTCCACTACAAACGCCCAGTGTGTCGCTGCATGCAATTGTTGACGGTCGCAGCTGCAAGAAATTGTCGTGCAATATTTTCGCATGGGACCAAGAGTGTCCAGTCCAGATTCGTGTTGAAGGGGGGGGGTGAACACTCAGGGATTGTTTTCATGGCCAAACTTTGACCAGAGGGTGCACACTCAGGCACGAACATTGTTGAACTGTAGCCTTTTGAACGATTCCATTAGGGCGGGTCAAACATTGCACGTATTCGCGGAAAACCCTATCCAACCATCTTTTGATTCAAATATACCGTTTTGAATCAAGCCTAAACCTTTTTGAACCGCACACAGACGTACTTCTTTTTTACCCGCCTTTACCCAGCATTGCGATTCCAATGGATTCCAATGGATAGTTCTGGATGACATTTTGTGAAGTGCTTTCAAATAGCCTAGACAATACTGAGATCCACTGGTAACCTTCATCAGAGTGTGTGTGTAGCTGGCAGGCATCAGCCCTAAACACGTGAATGGATTTGGTGTTTTGGCAGTCCATATGTATATATATATATGATTAAATATATGTATATATAGTCTGGGATTCGAAATTGCTGCACAGTGTAAGGGATACCCTTTTCAGTACTGTCAGGAGTTTCAATATCTTCCCAAGGAAAACTCGATGGCAGTCCAGCGTAATGCAGGCCAATCTATAAAATCAGCACATGTATACCTTCAGCACGCTTCAAACGCACCCGCAGCATCACCTTGTTCCCCAACAAAACTGCTCCTACCACAAGCACCGAGCAATCCCGACGACACACTGAAGCGATGCTTATAAGGCATATGTGGCAGCTGGGGCAGGCGTGGCGAGCGGGAGAGCCTGTGGGCAACAAGAGGACTCGGCATGAACATTGCTCCTGCCTCTGTTCCTCCCTCTGCTCCTGCCTCTGCTCCTGCCTCTGCTCCTCCCTCTGCTCCTGCCTCTGCTCCTGCCTCTGCTCCTGCCTCTGCTCCTGCCTCTGCTCCTGGCCTTCTCCCGTCCCCTAACCCTGGACCCACCACACCCCCTGCATTTTCAGCATTCTCAGCCGTTTCCTCTTCATCCTCGTTAGAAGCTCCCTCGATGCCAGTAGAGAACTCACCCTCGCCCGTGTTGCTAAAAGTGCGACCACGAACAAGAATGCCCGTAACATCGAATTTCGCTTCAAGAAGGTTGAGGTAGGTGCTAAGCTCACAGCCACCAGCACAGGGAAACTCAGAGGCTCCACCCGTGGCCACACTAGCTGACGCAGCACCCTCGACAGCCTCAGCACTCTCAGCAGCATCAGCAGCAGCAGCAGGCTCAGCAGCAGCAGCATTACCTACATCCGTACTGAAAGGAGCACTGGCAGCAGAGGCTGAGAGAGAAGCAGCAGCCATGGTTGCAGAAGCTCCAATGTCACTCTGCTCACTCTGCTGCTTCCCCTGCTGCTCCTCCTTCTGCCCCCCCTGCTTCTCCCTCTTCTGCACCCCCTGCCGCTCCCCTTGCTTCTCCCCCTGTCGCTCGTCCTGCTCCTCTCCCTGCTCCACCCCCCCAAGTGGCGCCCTCCAAACTATGCCTCCTACAAGCGAGCCAGCTCCAGTTGCTGCCTCAACTGATTCACCAGCTGCACCGATCACCACTGATAGCATGGCGACACTGGGAGACGGGTCCCCCTCCACGGCGAAGCAAGCGAACCGATTGAACACGCCCTCAGACATGTTCTGAACATGACCTTGCAAAGAAGAACCAGTGCCGCCGCTGCTGCCGCCGCCGCCGCCGCCGCTGCTGCTGCCTCCGCCGCCGCTGCTGCTGCTGCTGCTGCTGCTGCTGCTGCTGCTGCTGCTGCTGCTGCTGCTGCTGCTGCTGCTGCTGCTGCTGCTGCTCCACCTGCTGCTGCACTGCGCCCGCCACATCTGCGGTTTCAACTCCGCCCACGAGTCACACTGTAGCGAGGCGACTTGTAACGAGGCGGCTTGGAATGAGGCGGCTTGTAACGAGGACGGGTCGGGGTAGTCAACGAGGAGATTGATGGCGGAAGGTTCTTGCGCGGGGCCGATAACACGGATGTCGTAATTCACCACCACGTGACCGTCCCTGAGATGAGAACGAGGAGGACGAGGAACAGAGGGAAGAGATGGTTTCATGCGCCTCAAAGATTGTCGTGATTCAGCACCACGTGGCCTTCCATGAGGAGGAGAGAAGGACGAGGATCAAAGGGAGCAGTGGGAACTAGTGAGAAGATAACACGCGCCCGATCACGCGGATGCCATGATTCACCACCACGCAAAAGAAGAGCTTAAAAAAGAAATGCAAAACTGCCAAGGAAAATAACTAGTAGCAGAGAGTCGCACCTGCAGAAGCTGCTGAGCTCAAGAGCTTGGAAATAGCTTATCGCAGCCAAACTGAATTTTGAGTCGACTCAAAAGAAAAGCCTGATAAGAAAATATGCAAAACTGCGTAGGGTAAGAACTAGTAGCAGAGAGTCGCACCTGCAGAAGCTGTTGAGCTCAAGAGCTTGGAAATAGCTTACTACAGCCAAACAGCTTCCAGTCTTTTGAATCGATTCTTTGCGCTTTGTTTTAAGAAAAGAACAACAACATTGTATCCAGCAAGTATCATCTTACTTGAAAGCTCCCAGTATAAACGCCCCTCCCCGCATGCCCCCTGACAGCCCCTCCCCCAACTCCCGCCTCTCCCTCATGGACCCCCTCTCCCCCATCTTCCCCATCTCCCCCATTCCCCCCTCCAGCCGCACTTCCAGGCGCGGGTCCTGTGGAGGGTAGCGCGGAATGATGATGCCTGTGGTGGGCGAATGAGGTGGAGGTGGGAGATGACAGGGGTTAAGAGATGGCAGGGGTGAGAGATGGGGGAAAATGGGAACACAAGATAAGTAGGATGTCTTGGGTTGTGGTTAAGGTCGGGGTCGGGGTTGGGGTTGGGGTTGGGGTTGGGGTTGGGGTTGGGGTTGGGGTTGGGGTTGGGGTTGGGGTTGCACCTCACCTCACCTCACCTCACCTCACCTCACCTCACCTCACCTCACCTCACCTCACCTCACCTCACCTCACCTCAGCTCCTACCATGACTATACTCGCGGCTTCTCCGTAGCACTCCCACCAGATCGCCATCGAGCCCAACGTCCCCACCGACCACCACCGCAGCGCGCACACCATACCCTGTCAACAACTCATTCCCCTCGTCCCCCTCACTTAGCAATGCTTCCAGCGCCCTCCCCTGCCGAAGTTCCGCTCCTCTCACCCTCCTCTCCCCTTCCACCTCCCACACGGACGGTGTCGTTGCCACCCACTGGCACCCAGCAGAACCGGCGGAACGGGCAGAACCAGCAGAGACTCTCCCGCACAGGACCAATGGCGGCGCGCCACGTGGCAGCGAGAGGAGTAGGTGGCTGGGAGGGGAGTGGGCGCCAGCAACGGCGGCACCGAAGCGGATGGTGTAGGCCGGGGCCGTGCCTCGCGATATGGACCTGCGGCTTCCGGGAGAGAGCAGCGAATGGGGGAGGGCGTGGGAGGGAGAAGAAAGGTGGAGGGAGGAAGGAGGAGGGTAGAGGGTAGAGGTGGGTAGAGGTTAGAAGAGGGGAGGGGAAGCGGAGGGGGTAGAGGAGGGGAGAGGGAGAGGAGGGGGAGAGGAGGGGGAGAGGAGGGGGAGAGGAGGGGGAAGAGAAAAGAAAGCGGCTGGGTGGTCGAGCGACCCAACTCTTGCGCGTCAAAACGGTGGGTTTTGAGTCGCATGGCGTTTTTGAGAAATCACAAAAGCAGTGTGAGAATTTTGAAAAGCACCGAAACTTCTCAAAATCACCATGAGTGGGTGGTTGGACATAGGGGGGGACGCCGGGAGGGGAATGGAGAAACAGTTGATCGAACGAGAGACATTGATGCAGTGGGAACGGACGATACGAGATGTGACATGCCAGAAAGGTGTGTTTTTTTTTTTTTTTTTTTTCCCCTTGGAACGAAAGCGCTTGGTGCTTATCATGCCTCTCATCCCACGGCGCGCCAGAAAATAAGAGTGGATCTTCTTTTACCTTGAAACGGATATGCTTATAGTGCCTCTCATTCCACGGGGGTTCAGCAGTTGGGCTGAGAAGTGAGCTGCAAGGGGAGCATCGTGGGGGAGGTGCGGAGCGAGGAGCGTGGGAGAGAGGAAGAATGGAAATCGGAGAGAACGAAGAGTGGGAAAACGAATGGATAGAGGGAGTGTGCGAGCAAGGGAGTTTGTGAGCAAGGGAGGAGGGAGAGAGGGAAAGAAGGAGGAAAAGGGAAAAAAGGAGGAAAAGAGAGAGGGAAAGAAGGAAGAGAAGTGAGAGGGAACGAAAGAGGCGAAGTGGGAGAAGGGGTTGTTGAATGGGAGAATAAGAAGCGTGAAAGCAGCAGCTAGACTTTGCGGTCTTGCTGCTGCAGCAGACGCAACACAAGCAGCAGAAACAACAGGAACAGCAGACTCAAGAGAAGCAGCAGACGGAGCAGATTCCGGCAGTGTGTGGCCTGGCCTCACCTTCCCCCGTGGGGCTGGCGAGCGCGAGTGACGGCAGCACGAAGACGAGAAGCGCTGCTGCAAGCACGAGCGACGGGACTCGGGATAGCGAGAAGCGTTGACCCTCACGTTGACCTCTGCGTTGACTCTCCCGTTGACTCTCGCGTTGACCATCACGAGGAACAGTCATCGTGCTTGCCACTCGAAAACCCAAGAGGTAGTAGGCCACAAACACCAACGCAACAGCCACTGCGACAATGGAACAGCAAACTCTCCGCGAAATAATTACTGCGGATGTGCGAAAAAGAAGCATATGAGGTAGTTGCTCCTTCGAGTAAAACCTCAACGTGGAGAGTCGCATACACTACCTCCGCGACTGTGCGACCGAGAGCCTGCGACGGGTGCGACGCTGCTTCTTGCGCGCAGCTCAACGTGTAGCCGCTTCAATGGCTTTGATCGCCTTAGTTGGAAGAGCGTCGAGCCTAGTACCCACTGGGATTCTTGTGTGGAGGTCTAGAATGTGTCTTCGAGGTAAGCAAGATTCCCGTGGGCTGTCTTGGGCGTAGTGAATTCGTTGTGAATTCACAGAGATGGGCGGAGTGAGGTGTGGATGCAAGGGTTAGGGTGGAGCGCCCGCTGAAATTTCTGCCTGTACAGATACTGCCCATGCATCACGCAACTAGGGCGTTCAAAGCGGCGAAACTTGTAGTTTCCTCGGTTCAATACGTTGCAAAGCGTTCCTGAACAGTAAGTATACACGGCCCGGCCACCAATAATTCAATGTTCGTGTTTGCTTGCAAGGAGGCACATCCGTGACATGCGGTTCGGGGTTTTCAAGCAGTGAATTATTGTCTCCAATAAAGACTTCGAGGTAGCGAGACTATATTCGTTACAAGCAGCGAATTCCATACTAAAACCAAAAGGGCTGCATCTCCAGCTGATCTCTAGGTATCTTCTTTCTTGTGAAGCAGGATGCATACAGGCCCCACGTTATCAGGGCAAAACACCCTGATTACCCTGAATTCAGGATGCAGTTTTGGATTTACCCTGTCATTTCAGAATGGTGTCAATTTTAACCCTGAGCTCTCAGGATGTTTTATATGAAATGCCCTAAACATTCAGTTGACTCAACTGTGGCGTCCAACTCATTCTATGCAATTGCCGTCCCCATATAGATCGTCAGCACAATTCAACAGCAGGGCCAGCATCACGTTCTTTCACAGCGAAGCTGCTCCTGTCACAAGCACCATTCGATGCAGAAGAGGCACTGCCGTGGTGCTGATGTGGCTGACGTGGCAGTCGAGGCAGGTGTAACGCATGGGAGAGCCTGTGGGGCACGGGAGGACTCAGCATGAATGCGGCTCCTGCCTCTGCTCCTGCCTCTGCTCCTGCCTCTGCTCCTGCCTCTGCTCCTACCCTTCTCCTGTCCCCTAACCCTGGACCCACCACATCCCCTGCTTCATCTGTATTGTCTACCGTTTCCCCTCCATCCTCGTTATAAGCTCCCTCGATGACAGCAGGAAACTCACCCTCGTGCGTGTTGCTAAGAGTGCGGCCGTGAACAAGGTTATCCGTACCATCAAATTCTTCTTCAAGAAAGTCAAGGCTCTGGTAGGTAGTGGTACCCTCCGAATCATCAGCAGAGGGAAACTCGGAGGTTTCACACTTGTTAGCAGATGTTGATTCAGCACCCTCAGCAGCTTCACCTACATCCATATTGAAAGCAGCACTGGCACCAGGGAATTTAAGAGAGGCAGCAGCCACGGCTGCAGCAGCTCCACTGCCACTTGTAAAGCCACTCTGCTCCTCACTCACCTGCTCCCCTTGCTGCTCCCCTTGCTGCTCCTCTTGACTCACCTCCTCCTCCTGCTCCATCCCCCCAACTGGCGCCCTCCAAACTATGCCTCCTATCAGCGACCCAGCTTCTGAGGCTCCCTCAACTGATTTACCAGCTGCACCGATCGTCACTGACAGCACGGCTACACTGGGGGACCTCACACCGTCCACTGCGAAGCAAGCGAACCGATTGAACACGCCCTCAGTCATGTTTTGAACATGACCTTGCAACGAAGAGTCAATGCTCCCGCCGCCGCCGCCGCCGCCGCCGCCGCTGCTGCTGCTGCTGCTGCTGCTGCTCCACCTGCTGCTGCACTGCGCGCGCCACATCTGCGGTTTCAACTCGGCCCACGAGTCACACTGTAGCGAGGCGACTTGTAACGAGGTGGCTTGTAACGAGGACGGATCGGGGTAATCAACGAGGAGATTTATGGTGGAAGGTCTTCGCGCGGGGCCGATAACACGGATGTCATAATTCACCACCACGTGACCTTCCCTGGGGGAAGGGAAGAACGAGAAAGACGAGGAACAGAGGGAGCAGTGGGAAGTAGTGAGAACACAACGCGGGGCGGATGACACGGATGTCATAATTCACCACCACATGGCCGTCCCTGGGGGAAGAGAAAGGAGACGAACCAAGGGAGGAGTGGGAAGCAAGAGGATCAAGACAGCAGAGCGTGAATGGTCGGCAGAGTGCGTATGGAAAGTCACATGGCTGTCCCTGTAGGAAAGAAGGACGAGGAACGAAGGAGAAGGTAGAGGTCTGCTCTGAGTCGACCAAAACAGAAAAGCCTGATAAGAAAATATGCAAAACTGCCAAGGGAAAGAACTAGTAGCAGAGAGTCGCACCTGCAGAAGCTAGGGAGCTCAGGAGCTTGGAAACAGCTCACTGCAGCCAAACTGAATTTTGCGCTTCTGTTCTAAGAATAGAACAACAATAGTGTATTCAGCATGTATCATCTTACTTGAACGCCCCCACCATAAACGCCCCTCCGCGCATGCCCGCTGCGAGTCCCTCCCCCACGTTCCCCATCTCCCCCATCCCCCCCTGCAGCCGCACTTCCAGGCGCGGGTCCTGTGGGGGGTAGCGCGGAATGATGATGCCTGGGGTGGGCGGAGGGGGACGGACGAGGTGGGAGGGGTGGGAAGGGAGGGGTGGAAAGGGGTGGGAGGGAAGGGAGGGAAGGGGTGGGAAGGGGTGGGAAGGGGTGTGAAGGGGTGTTAGGGGTCGGAGGGAAGGGAGTGGTGGGAAGGGGTGGGAGGGAAGGGAGGGAAGGGAAGAGGGGGAGGGGTGGGAGGGAAGGGAGGGAAGGGAAGAGGGGGAGGGGTGGGAGGGGTGGGTGCGAGGGAAGTGAGAGAGGGACGTGTGGGAGAGTGGGAGGGAAGCGAGAGGTGGCAGTGAAGAGAGGTAGGGAACAGAGGATGCATAATACGGGTACGCAAGGCAATCATGCTGTCAGGGGTTGGAGTTAAAGTATGGGTATGGGTTGGGGTTGGGGTTGGGGTTGGGGTAGCGTTGCAAAGAGCAGAGAGTCAAGAACCATTCCTCTCATCTCATCCCCTCCAACCACCACCGCAACGCACACACCATACCCTGCCAGCCACTGCATCACCACTCCCACTCCTCACACAAAACGAGGGATACAACATCCCGTACCATGATTGTACTCGCGGCTTCTCCGTAGCTCTCCCGCCAAATCACCATACCCCTCCTCCCCACCGACCACCACCGCGGCGCGCACACCATATTCTGTCACCGCGCCACTCCCTTCCCCGACAGCAATACCCTCCCCATTCCCCTCCCTCCCAGCTACATCCTCCCCAATCCCCTCCCCCTCCCCCGCCGCAGTTATCATTTCTTCCAGCACCCTCCCCTGCCGCGCATCCACCCCTCTCATCCTCCTCTCCCCTGCCACCTCCCACACGGATGGTGTTGTTGCCACCCACTGGCACTCGGCCGATCCCCGGCATAGGACCAATGGCATCGCGCCACGTGGCAGCGAGAGGAGGAGGTTGCTTGGGGGGGAGTGGGCGCCAGCAACGGCGGCACCGTATTGGATGGTGTAGGCCGGGGCCGTGCCTCGCGATATGGCCCTGCGGCTTCCGAGAAAGAGAAGGTGGGGGGGAGCGGAGGGGATGGGGGAGGGGAGCGGAGCAGAAGGGGAGAGGAAGGGAGGGAGGGGGCAGGGTAGGGGGAAGGCGAGGGGAGGTGGGATGGGAGAGGAGAGAAAGCAACTGGATGGTCGAGAAAATGAACTCTCGTGAGTGATAGGGGCACGGTTAACGCAAGTAGTGAGATTCACGCACGACGTAAGGCGAGGATGGTAGGCAGAAAGATGTAATGCAAATGGAGGGAAGGGAAAAGGGAGAAGGCGAGGGTGTTCAATGCGAACGATACGAGATGCGGCATGCCAGTAAAGAAGAGTGCTCTTTACCTTGAAACGGAAATGCTTATAGCGCCTCTGATTCCACGGGAGCTCAGCAGCTGGGCTGCAAAATGAGCTGCAGGGGAGCATCGTGGGGGAGGTGCGGAGCGAGGAGCGTGGGAGAGGGAAGGAATACCGTAGATATTAAAGGGGGAAGGAAGGAGAGAGGGAGAGTGGGGGCAAGGGATTTTTTGGGGGTAAGAGAGCGTCGAGGCAAGGGAGTGGAGGGAAAAGGGGAAGACGGAGAGGAGGAGGGAAAGAGGGGAAGTAGAAGAAGAGGAAAGTTGAAGAGAAGAGTGAGAAGTGTGGAAGCAGCAGAAGGATCCTGGAAGGTGCGGTCTTGCTGCAGAATAGTAGACAAGAGACACAACAGAAGCAACAGAAACAGAGGAAACAGTAGACGCAGCAGACGCAGCAGAGAGCGAGAGCGAGAGCGAGAGCGAGAGCGAGAGCGAGAGCGAGAGCGAGAGCGAGAGCGAGAGCGAGAGCGGTGTGTGGGCTCACCTTCCCCCGTGGTGCTGGCGAGAGCGAGTGACGGCAGCACAAGGGCGAGAAACGCTGCAAAAGCACAAGTGATGGAAGAGGAGAGAGAGGGGTGGGGAGGGAGAGACTGAGATAGGACAGCAGTCACGGGAACGGGTCGGAGAAAAGCAGGGCAGGGCGTGGGGAGGCAAGGCAGTCGCAGGAACGAGCATGACGGGAAGTAGGGCAGTCAGGAGAACGGGCTGGGAGGGACGCAAGGCAATCAGGGCAACGGACATGAAGGGAAGCAAGGCAATCAGAGAAAGGGGTAGGGAGGGAAGCAAAGCAGTCAGGAAACGGGCAGGAAGGGAAGTAAGGCAGTTAGGGGAACGAGAGATGAGAGGGAGGCAGAGAGGGTTGCAGCGACGGGAGGGAAAGAAGAGAACACAACGGGAGGGATGTAGCATCAATAGCTCCAGCAGTAGCATCAAGAACTGCGTTGAAATCGGGGGGCTTACCTAAAGTGGTGATAGGGGAGGCTCGGGATCGCGAGCAGCGTTGAGCCTCACGTTGACCTTCGCGTTGACTTTCGCGTTGACTTTCACGAGATACAGTCATTGTGCTTGTCAGTCAAAACCCCAAGAGGTCGGATCTCACAACAGCAATTCAACAGCGGTAGTAGCGCGGCAAAATCCCCTCGAACGAATAGCTTCGAGGCCTTTTCAAATCAAACGTCAACTTGATCACAGCAGGAGAGCGACAGTCATTACTACCTCCGCGAAACTGTGAATAATCTGTGCTGATCATCAGCAAGGTGCGTTCCTCAATGACCAGGGTACCACTCGATGAAAACCCGCCAGAGATGTCGCTGTCTGGTAGCAGGAAAATAGCGGGAATCGCTCATTCTCGCAACAGGTGTACGTTGTAGGTCCATGCAAGCTACGACGACAGCAGCAGCTTATTTGCGACAAGCACGCGGCGAGCTCCACCGCGAAGGTCGCATGACGCCGCCGCCGCGGTGAGGTCGCATGACGTCGCATGCTGTCGCATGGATCCGGCGACGGATTTGCTAGCTCACGGAGCATCGTGGCTCGTGCCGGTCCACTGGGGAGGTGAGGGCCGCTCATCGCACCACGCAGGGCGGATACGAGTTCGCGAAATTAGGGTATTGCGGAAAACGCTTTCCCCGAGCAACGGTGACAGGGTGTGTGAAAAAAACAATAGCTGGCCGAGGTCGCTGCGCGCGGCGACCCACCGTTCCAGTTGCACATGAAGGCGGGATCTCGAGACGACCCATAACGCAAACCGCGCCGGAAATGATCATACTACTCCGCACGTAGAGGAAGCAGTGGCGTTAGTGGTTCTGTAAGTCTAGTACTACGCCTGCAACCCTTCGCCAACATGTTTCTTGCCGCACGCAAGGCTGTCGGGCCGCGAGGTATGCTGTCGCGACACGCAGTTCCTATAAGATCCACAATCCTACCCTCAATACCCAGTATGTGGCCGCTAGTCCCGTTTGTGGGACGGAAACTTCCAGGTAATGGAGTCAGTACTGTAGCTGAGCGCGTGCTGTTGTGCAAGTACTGTGCCGTCATTCACGGATGATTAGATAACCGCCGCCAGAGCCTCGGTGGATCGATATGACAGCCATAGGTTCGGTGGATTTACGCTACAGTAAGGATAGACCAGCCATAGGCTCATTATGATACGCTACAGTAGGATAGAACAGCCATAGGTGCGGTGGGTTTAGATAGATAGGACAAGCGCAGGCTCTTAGGATATGAATCTAATGCTTGACAGCCATAGCCTCGCTGACAGCCATTGGCGCGTGTCGCTTTCCAGCCTAGCCAGCGATCGCACAACCTCTGTCGCACGAGGCGGGTTATGTCAGAACAGAACTTGTGTCGCAATGGTGGATGCCTCTTGTGCCTAGATGGCAGGCGCACCGCGGGTGCGGCGATGTGAAGGATTCTTGTGGTCTGGCGAAAGCTGGCAGCAATTCGTTAAGCCTGTGGATACCGTAACAGATTGATAAAGTATATCCAAAAGCTTTTGCCTACAAGCTAAGGATCACGACCACCCGATATAATGTACCTGTAAAGCCCTTGCTGTCAGTTTATCGAATATTGTTCAATTCGCAGTGTTTCCAGTCGTTTTTAACCATTATTTTTGTACGATGTGATGGACAATGACATGCATAAAATATTGCTTCTTGGTACCGTATGTGCCCAAATTTCAGTATGTTCCCACAAACGGCATTCCTAGGTGTCTGGAAGCAAGTACTCTATCATGTGTACAAGTACGGAAATGATGGCGTTAGTGTCTCCAAACAAGAAAAAAAGAACGTGGGAGGAAGCACTGGATACGAAGGGACCTATGAAGGGAATGATAATTAACCTCCTGTTTGTGTATGGCAAGAATTCTATCCTTGAACCAACTCTACTCTTCTGGAGTCAGAGGTATCTTGTCGTTGACATTGTTCTTGGTGCCGACTGTGAACTCATGCTCAACGAGTGCAGTACCTTCAAACGGATTTTGTGATAAATCATCCACATTATTTTGTTTCTCAGGCTCCTCCTCCACGTCTGCTTGGAAGTCTTCCCCGACAAGAGTACGAATGCCGTCGTAGTATGTACCAAAACGCGATGGCGTGAACTTCATTCGCTTGCTGATGCGTGTGGCTGCAGCGTGCGGCTCTCGGCTTCGGCAGGAACTTATTCCGCTATCCTTAACCCACATTCTTCTTCTTTTCCGCTTTGGCTTCTTGTCCTTGGTTTCCTCATTTTTCATGGCTGAACACCGGTCCATAGGTTCTGAAAGACTAGTAGCGGCGTTCATTATGACAACCGATGTGCAGCGTGCTGCTTCCGGTCTACATACAATCAACAGAAATTTGAGGAGTCCGGAAGGCGGAACACAAGAAATTAGATGTCCAGCCTTTTTCAGCAAAGCTTCGGCTTGACTGTGCTGGAAAGAGTGGAATGGGAGAAGCGGAAATGGCGTAATCTAGAACGTAGAAGGGGAAATGCAGGAAACGAGTATTGTAGGAAGTGAAATGGAAAAAGCAGGAATGACGTATTCCTTGCAAATGGAGTGGGAAGAGGAATATGACCAGAAAAACAAGTGACGAGGTTTGGGCAATGGTTCTGTGCGATGGCATATGCAGTCACCCAGCCTCATGGCGGTGGCTGGTGCTGGGGTCGTTTCGCGAGTAGAGCGAAACAAGTTGATGACCCTTTAACACACCAGAATTGGTTTCGTGAATCCCGCTTCAGCTGGAGGATGAGCAAACGCAATCTTCTCAAGTGTAAATCGACGGCCAGCAGAAAGGCAAAACCATCGAACCTGCTATCCGACCGCGCACCTCTGTCTTGTTATCGCCGTCAGAATTCGCAGCAACCGAACCAAGCCGCCACCCCAGGCCCTTCAACCTGCGCAAATCTCGAGGTTCAAAGAGCCATTGGTGCTTCTGCATAAATCCAATCCATGCCACAAGCTCTGCGTCGCCACCGTGGTTCTTGGGTACTTTCCTTGCTCTGCAGCACGTAGCTCACGACATTTAAAATACGAGCATTTGAAATACGTCTGTGTTTCCCTTATCTCGGTCAAGGCCGTTGCTACTCTCCGTCCGTACCGCTCCGGGTTGCAAGACATGACGAAGCGCACCCTCGAGCTTGTCGTGCCCGTGGCTCCCCAGCATCGCCTGGACGAGGCGGCCGTGCTCAACTACCTCAAGCAGCACGTCAGGAACGTGCCGGCGAACGCCGACGCGCTGAAGATTTCCCAGGCGAGTCATAGATTTCGCGAATTTTGTCATTTGTCGAATTCGCTGACGTCATCCCACAACACTCTGAATCCTCGAGTGATTATTTTCTGCGGGGAAAAGAAACGTTCTTGGCGTTCCATGCGACTTTCCACCATGATCGTCCTTTCTGCGCTTCGCGCATATCGTCCGATATAAGCACAGGCGTTAACACAGTGTCCTGTGTACATCATTCTCCTCTCCGTCCTCTCTCGATTTCTCGGCACGGCAGTTCGGCCACGGGCAGTCCAACCCCACGTACCTGCTGGAAGTGTCGTCCGCCCATCATGGCTCTCCTCCTGCCAGATTCGTGCTCCGGAAGAAACCACCTGGTCACCTTCTCAAGTCCGCTCATGCCGTGGAGCGAGAGTTCCAGGTAGCCTGTTCACAACAATCGTTTCTCACGCCAGGTTTGAATCTATAAACTCTCATGATGCCACAAGGAAACCACCTAGTGACCTGCTCAAGGTGTGAACAAGAATATTTAACGACCCCAATTAGTGAAGCATGAACCCTACCCAACTCACTTGTTCTATGCTTTTTATCTCCATTTCAACCTTGCTTCCCGGCACGCTCAGGTGCTGGCAGCGCTGGGCTCACCTGCTGCAGGAGCAACTGTGCCCGTGCCAGCAGTGCACGCCCTCTGCACCGACCCCTCCGTTATAGGCACACCCTTTTACATCATGGACTTCGTCCCTGGCCGCATATTCACCGACCCATGCCTCCCTGTGAGCCCCTCGCCTTCCGGTTGACTTGTAAGTCAACTCAAAGGTCATGCCTCCAATCTGGCCCTCTAACACCCTTTTACATCCCTTTTACATCATGGACTTCGTCCCCGGCCGCATCTTCACCGACCCTTGCCTCCCTGTGAGCCCCTCGCCCTCCCACTGACTTCTGAGTCGACTCAAAGGTCATACCTCCTATCTGGCCCTCTATCACCCTTTTACGTCATGGACTTCGTCCCTGCCCGCATCTTCACCGACCCTTGCCTCCCTGTAAGCCCTCTCGCCCCCCCAGCTGGTTATATGAGCGAGCGAGTGACTTTGCTCTCAGCCGCATTTCCCCTGCTTTGTGTGCGTTCCGGCGTGGGGTCTTGTGCATGTTCTTTCGTTCTGAGTTGTCAAAAGAGATATCTGAGCGAGCGAGCGAGCGAGTGACTTTGTTCCGGCATGGGGTCTTGTGCATGTTCTTTCGTTCTGAGTTGTCAAAAGAGATATCTGAGCGAGCGAGCGAGCGAGTGACTTTGTTCCGGCGTGGGGTCTTGTGCATGTTCTTTCGTTCTGAGTTGTCAAAAGAGATATCTGAGCGAGCGAGCGAGCGAGTGACTTTGTTCCGGCGTGGGGTCTTGTGCATGTTCTTTCGTTCTGAGTTGTCAAAAGAGATATCTGAGCGAGCGAGCGAGCGAGTGACTTTGTTCCGGCGTGGGGTCTTGTGCATGTTCTTTCGTTCTGAGTTGTCAAAAGAGATATCTGAGCGAGCGAGCGAGCGAGTGACTTTGTTCCGGCGTGGGGTCTTGTGCATGTTCTTTCGTTCTGAGTTGTCAAAAGAGATATCTGAGCGAGCGAGCGAGCGAGTGACTTTGTTTTGGCGTGGAGTCTTGTGCATGTTCGTTCGTTCTGAGTTGTCAGAAGAGGTATCTGGCTGGCCTTTTCATGTTTCCTTATACTGTAATCACGGTTTCCCGCCTCTCGCTGCTAGATCACTATAGAACTCTTCCCTTGCTGTTTCTCACTTCCGTTCTTTCCTTTTTGTTCTCTTCTTTCTTCCCCATCCACCCCCCCAGGATATACCGCCTGCCGCCCGCACGCAGATCTACACCGCCATGGCCGGCACCCTTGCCGCCCTGCACTCCGCCCGCCTGCCCCAGCTGCAAAAAGACGGGTTCGGCCGCCCGGACAGCTACTGCCGGCGGCAGGTGGATCGGTGGGCCAAGCAGTACAAGGCATCAGTTAAATCCATTGGCACGGAATTTAGGGAGGAGGATGCGAAAATGAGGGGGCTGATTGCGTGGCTGAGGGCGAATGTGCCTGGGGAAGATGCAGCAGCGGAGGGGGTGATGAGGGGCGTGGTGCATGGGGACTTTCGGCTGGATAACCTCGTGTTTCACCCCACAGAGGTGAGGGTAGAGTTGTGGTTACTTTCTCCCCATGAGATGAGCCTCCCCCCACCACCCCCCCCCCACCCCCCCCCCTACCCCCTCCTCCCCCGACCCCCTTATTCCTCGTCCTGGCTGTTAGCTCGCTGCACGCTTGATGGCACTATCCTTGCTTCATCCATCGCCTTGCTCACCCTCACTCGCATTCCCCTTGTGTTCTTCCCTGCTCCTGCCTGCCTGCTCTTCTCCCTTGTTTTACTTTGCCAGCCGCGGGTGGTGGCAGTGCTAGACTGGGAGCTGTCCACGCTGGGCAACCAGATGTCTGACGTCGCCTACTGCTGCCTCGTGAGTGATCAACCCTGGCTTGACTTGGGCATTAGATGGCCACGGTGGCGTAGTGCTGCATGGCAGCCGCGAGTGGTGGCAGTGCTAGACTGGGAGCTGTCCACGCTGGGCAACCAGATGTCGGACATCGCCTACTGCTGCCTCGTGAGTGATCAACCCTGGGCCGACTTGGAAATTAGATGTGTTACTGTACTGTCTTGGATACTGCTTCCTGGCTGGCATGTAAAGTAGACGTCTGCATTACTGAGGATGCGGGTTCACTCGAGAATAAGATGTCTGATGGGTGGGTGTAATACCGCTGCTTTGCAAGTCATTAATTGACCCTGATTTGACTCAGAGAGCAGCATTGCCAGGCGCTCGTAAATGTATTCCCAGCTGTACCACCACCCATCGCAGTCTCAGCTCAGCTTAGAGAGAGCCATTCTGCCATCTTTAAGGAGAACCATCACCCAGACCCAGCTGCCCGGTGCACCTCCTGTCACATCACACTCAGCTTCTCCCGTCTCCCTTCTGTCTTTCCCTTCCCTACTCCCTTCGCCCTTCGCCTCAAGACCGCCCTTCCCCTACGCCCCCAGCCGTACCACCTGCCGCCATCCCAGCCAGGAGCCATGCTGCCATCCCTGGGCATCACCCACCTGCCGAGAGCAACCCACCTCCCTTCCCGCTCAACTTCTCATTTCCCCATTCTCTTTTCTCCCCTATCCCCATCCCCCTGATCCCCACGCCCCCAGCCATACCACCTGCCGCCATCTCAGCCAGGAGCCATGCTGCCATCCCTGGGCAATGGGCATCACCCAGCTGCCCGGTGCACCTCCCTTCACACCCAGCGTATCCCTTCTCCCCGCCCCCCTCTCCCCATCCCCACCCCCCCAGCCGTACCACCTGCCGCCATCTCAGCCGGGAGCCATGCTGCCATCCTTGGGCATCACGCAGCTGCCCGGTGGGCCGCCAGCAGGGGCGCTACCAGCTGGCATTCCCTCAGAGGCACAGTTCGTGCATGCCTACTGCCATGAGATTCAGCGCCTGCAGGTGAGAGTGGTTCTGAGTCAGCTTCAAGTTGTTCCCTCAGAGGCACAGTTCGTGCATGCCTACTGCCATGAGATTCAGCGCCTGCAGGTGAGAGTGGTTCTGAGTCAGCTTCAAGTTGTTCCCTCAGAGGCACAGTTCGTGCATGCCTACTGCCATGAGATTCAGCGCCTGCAGGTGAGAGTGGTTCTGAGTCAGCTTCAAGTTGTTCCCTCAGAGGCACAGTTCGTGCATGCCTACTGCCATGAGATTCAGCGCCTGCAGGTGAGAGTGGTTCTGAGTCAGCTTCAAGTTGTTCCCTCAGAAGCGCAGTTCGTGCATGCCTACTGCCATGAGATTCAGCGCCTGCAGGTGAGAGTGGTTCTGAGTCAGCTTCAAGTTGTTCCCTCAGAAGCGCAGTTCGTGCATGCCTACTGCCATGAGATTCAGCGCCTGCAGGTGAGCTGTGCTTGCGCGTGCTTGCTATATGGGGAGGCTGGCTGCCATGCCTTGCACTGCCGCATGGCATACCTCTCCCTTCCCTCCGAGGCACAGTCCGTCGGTGCATGCTTACTGCGATATGAGGAGTCAGAGGAGGAAGAGGAGTCAGAGGAGGCAGATGGGGCGCAGAGGATTTGAATGTTGTCAATTAATGCTTTTCTGCTCTCGCTTCCTCTGTGTCTGTTGTGTGCAGGGCGTCAGCCTATGGCCTGCTGACACCTGGCGCTTCTACGTGGCCCTTTCGCTTTTCCGCGGCGCTGCTATCTTCACCGGAATCTACCAACGAGCACTGCAGGTAAAGCACGGCATTGTAAGCTGTGCAGACAGAGCACTGCAGGTATTGACGCATGGTACTACCAAGCATGGCAGGTACTGAACGTACGTGCATGGTACTGCAAGGAGTGTGCCACAGGAGGTGGAACGAGCACTTGGAGGTACTGCAGGTAGAGCTCTGCAGGTAGAGCAGTGCAGGTACGGCACGGTTGAGGTGTGGTACAGGAGGTGGAACGAGCACTTGGAGGTACTGCAGGCACATGCATACGCTTCCTAGTGCATCAGCGCATTGCCCCGTTCCGTCCCCTGCTCTTCCGACCCCTGCTCTCCCCTCCGTCCCCCTCAGGACAGGCGGGTCGTCAGGTGGCTGGGCTCATAGCATGCGCCCTGCACTGCACGTGCTGCACTCGCCCTTTCACCTCGCACTCTCTTCCCTCATTCTCCTGAGTGAGAATGCCTATTTCCTCCCCCACTACCCTCCTTCCCCCTCAGGGCAATGCGTCGTCTAGAAGGGCAGGCCAATCGGGTCGTCAGGTGGCCGGCCTGATATTTTGCGCCCTGCATTGCATGTGCTGCATTCGCCCATTCACCTCACACCCACTTCCCTCATTCTCCTGAGTGACATTGCTTATTCCCTCCCTATCCTGCCTCCCTCTCCCTTCAGGGCAACGCGTCGTCCAGCAGAGCAGGCCAGGCAGGCCGTCAGGTGGCTGGGCTCATAGCATGCGCCCTGCACGTGGTGCACTCGCCCCCCTCCATTCCTGCTCGTACCCTCTTTCCTCCCCATCCTCTCCCCCCCATCAGGGCAATGCTTCATCCAGCAGGGCTGGTCAGGCGGGTCGTCAGGTGGCCGGCCTCATAGCATGCGCCCTGCACGTGGTGCACTCGCCCCCCTCCATTCCTGCCCTACCACCACAAAGCAGCAGCAGCAGCAGCATCAGTGGTTCAAGCGGTGCAGTGGGCAGTGCAGGGGGTTGGGATGGATCCAGTGCGGTGCCAGTGTCGCCGTCCCATCCAGTGGGGCTGGCGCCCAGCCCGCGAGCCGAGGCGCTGAGGAGGCGAGTGGCGGAGTTTGTAACGCAAGAGGTGCTGCCTATAGAGGGGATATTGGAGGAGCATGCGGTGAGCGATGCGCGGTGGGCGATTCACCCCCTGGTGGAGCAACTGAAGGCGAAGGCCAAGCAGGCTGGTCTTTGGAACCTGTGGATTCCCGCTCTGGTGAGTTGAGGGCTCGCTGTAACGCATAATAGGCAATGCTTGTAGAGGGGATAGATAGATGTCAGACGTGCGTGCTGTGGGGCTGGCAAGCAGGACTATTTACCCTTTGGTGGAGCGATTGAAACGGAAGGCCAAGCAGGCTGGTCTTTGGAACCTGTGGATACCTGCTCTGGTGAGTTTGAGGGCTTGTTATAAGACATAAGAGGTGATGCTTATGGAGGGGATGAAGAAGAGTTATGGTTGTGGAGGGGATGAAGAAGAGTTATGGTTATGGAGGGGATGAAGAAGAGTTATGGTTATGGAGGGGATGAAGAAGAGTCATGGTTATGGGAGGTCGCAGAACTGCTGCTGCTCGCATACTGCTGCCCTGCTGCATGCATGACCAGACCAGTGGCCTGTTGCTTCTGAGAGTAGCAGATTCGTTGAACATTGAGTCCTGCGCTGCTATGCTCACTTGTTTTGAATCGACTCAAAACACGGCTCACGTGTGCAAGGACGGACATCCGCCCCCGTTCCCCCATCTATCCCACTTTCCCACCTCCCCCTGCCCCCCGTCAAGCCCTCTCAGACTGCACAACTGACACTAACCTGATTCTTGCCCTCCTTCCCCCCCCTCCGGCCTCTGCCTTCCGCCCTCTGCCCTCCCCCCTCTGCCCTCCGCCTTCCGCCCTCCGCCCTCACCCCTCCCCTTTCCCCCATGTCAGGACGCGGGGGTGCCAGTGACGCCTGTCCTCCGCGCGAGTGCCAGAGCCGCGGGCTGCTGGGGGCAGAGGGGCTATCGAATCTGATTTCTGAGTCGACTCAATAACCCTCCCCCCCCCCCCGCATGTCAGGACGCGGGGGTGCCAGTGACGCCTGTGCTCCGCGAGTGTCAGAGCCGGGGGCTGCTGGGGGCGGGGCTATCGAATCTGGACTATGCGCACGTGTGCAAGGAGATGGGCAAGAGCGTGTGGGCGCCTGAGCTCTTCAACTGCTCCGCTCCCGACACAGGCAACATGGAGGTGGGGTTCAGTGCGGTGGAGTGTGGTTATATGGTGTGGAATGCGGTTCAGTGCGGTGGAATGCGGCTCAGTGCGGTGGAATGCGGTTCAGCGCGGTGGAATGTGGTTCAGTGCGGTGGAATGGGGTTCTGCTGCTGGGGGCGGGGCTGTCGAATGTGGACTATGCGCACGTGTGCAAGGGGATGGGCAAGAGCGTGTGGGCGCCTGAGCTCTTCAACTGCTCCGCCCCTGACACAGGCAACATGGAGGTGGGGTTCAGTGCGGTGGAGTGTGGTTATATGCTGTGGAATGCGGTTCAGTGCGGTGGAATGTGGTTCAGTGCTGTGGGGGGTCTGCTGCTGGGGGCGGGGCTATCGAATCTGGACTATGCGCACGTGTGCAAGGAGATGGGCAAGAGCGTGTGGGCGCCTGAGCTCTTCAACTGCTCCGCCCCCGACACTGGAAACATGGAGGTTGGTTAATTGGGTTTAGTGCGGTGGAGTGCGGTCCAGCCAGTGCAGTGTAACACGGTTTAGTGCGGTGAACTGTGGTTCAGTGCAATGGGATGGAGGTCTGCTGCAGGGGGTGGTTGAATCTGGACTATGCGCACGTGTGCAAGGAGATGGGCAAGAGCGTGTGGGCGCCTGAGCTCTTCAACTGCTCCGCTCCCGACACAGGCAACATAGAGGTGGGGTTCAGTGCGGTGGAGTGTGGTTATATGCTGTGGAATGCGGTTCAGTGCGGTGGAACGCGGTTCAGTGCGGTGGAATGTGGTTCAGTGCTGTGGGGGGTCTGCTGCTGGGGGCGGGGCTGTCGAATCTGGACTATGCGCACGTGTGCAAGGAGATGGGCAAGAGCGTGTGGGCGCCTGAGCTCTTCAACTGCTCGCCTCTGACACAGGCAACATGGAGGTGGGATGGAGGGGTTCAGTGCGGTACAGTGCGGTTCAATGCTGTGGGGCGAGGCTCAGTGCTGTGGGAAGGTGTCGAGTGGGAACTGGGTTCTACGTGTTTTTCAGCTTGCTGACCATCTCGTTCCGTTACGCCGTTGCAACACCCCATTCGTTTCTCTATGACGATTGCCTGTCATGTGCATGGGTGAATCGAGTGCCGTCTGTGCAAACTGAATGTCATTCTGAACCAGCTGTCACCTACCACCCACTGACCAGGTTCTCTTGCGCTACGGCAACGAGCAGCAGCAGCGGGAGTGGCTGGTGCCTCTGCTGGAGGGCACGATTCGTTCATGCTTTGCCATGATGGAACCAAGAGTGGCTTCAAGTGACGCCACCAACATTGAGGCGCGGATAGAGAGGTGCGCACACACATGTCAAGTGTTGGATGGACAGGTGTGGTTGGAAGTAGACTCCAAAAGAGAGGTGTGCAAAGAGTGTGCGCCGTTCAACCTGTGCTTGCTGATTCCCACTCCACCACGGCGTCGACTCCCCCCATTTCCACTCCGCTACCCTGTCTTCTTCCCCATGCAGTGCGGGGGACCACTACATCCTGCACGGCCACAAGTGGTGGGCCAGTGGTGCCAGCGACCCTTCATTCAGCCCAACCTTCAAACCCCACTGGTTCACTCCCACTCCACCACCACGCCATTTTCCCATGCAGTGCGGGGGAGCATTACATCTTGCACGGGCACAAGTGGTGGGCCAGTGGTGCCAGTGACCCTAAAGTCTCTCACTCTGGCCTCTCACTTGCTCGTCGCACCCATCTGCTCGTTTCCCCGCTCCCATGCAGTGCGGGGGACCATTACATAGTGCACGGCCACAAGTGGTGGGCCAGTGGAGCCAGCGACCCGCGCTGCCAGCTCGCCATCTTCATGGGCAAGCACCCCCAGCGAGCTGCTCCCTCCGGTTCCCACTCCACTCCTCCTGTACCCCACTCCGCGCCCGCACACAGGCAGCAGAGGTGAATTCCGAGTCGACTCACTCACGCATCACTCCCTTGCTTCCCCATACCCGTGCAGTTCCGGAGACCACTACATCTTACACGGCCACAAGTGGTGGGCCAGTGGAGCCAGCGACCCGCGCTGCCAGCTCGCCATCTTCATGGGCAAGCACCCCCAGCGAGCTGCTCCCTCCGGGCCCCACGCCTCGCCCGCACACAGGCAGCAGTCCATGCTGCTCGTGCCCATGAGTGCCCCTGGGGTGACGGTGGTGCGCCCGCTGCTGGTGTTTGGGTATGATGATGCTCCACACGGGCACTCGGAGGTGCTCTTTGAAGGGGTCAAAGTTCCGAAGACGAGTGTGCTACTAGGCGAAGGACGTGGCTTCGAGATAGCCCAGGTGAGCTGCTCCCTCCGGGCCCCACGCCGCGCCCGCACACAGGCAGCAGTCCATGCTTCTCGTGCCCATGGGTGCCCCTGGGGTGACGGTGGTGCGCCCGCTGCTGGTGTTTGGGTATGATGATGCCCCGCACGGGCACTCCGAGGTGCTGTTTGACGGGGTTAAGGTGCCCAAGACAAGTGTGCTGCTGGGTGAAGGGCGAGGCTTCGAGATTGCACAGGTGAGAAGAGAAGAACGTGATTCACTAGGTGTTTAACCTGCAGTAGGTGCAGAAGCTGCAGCTGCTTCCGGTGCTACGGAAGCATCAGGCATCAGTCGATGCTGCTAGGCGGCAGTGAGGAAATCCGGACTCACAAGGTGTCTAACCTGCACCAGGTGCATCAGGTGCGACATAATGCCATACCCTGCTGGTGTTTGTTTGGGTATGATGATGCACCACATCGGCACTCGGAGGTGCTCTTTGAAGGGTTTAAGGTGACCAAGACAAGCGGTGCTACAAGGCGAGGGACGAGGCTTTGAGACCGCCCAGGTGAGAAGAACGGGAGCTACGAGGTTTGTTTGTGCTTCAGCTGCTGCTGCAGGTGCTACAGAAGCATCAGGCAGCAGCAGTCGATGCTGCTTGTGCCCATGGGTGCCCATGGGTGGCCTTGGGGTGACGGTGGTGCGCCCGTTGCTGGTGTTTGGGTATGATGATGCTCCGCATGGGCACTCCGAGTCATCTCCCCTCCTTCCCCCCAACCCCTTCCCTTTCCCCCTCCTGCTCCCTACCAGGGTCGGTTGGGCCCTGGTCGGCTGCACCACTGCATGCGGCTGATAGGAGCCACTGAGCGAGCCATGCACTGCATGCTCTCAGCTGCTCGCTCTCTCCTAGCCAATCAATCCACCTCTTTTTCTCCTTCATGTGCTACCAGGGTCGGTTGGGCCCTGGTCGGCTGCACCACTGCATGCGGCTGATAGGAGCCACTGAGCGAGCCATGCACTGCATGCTCTCAGCTGCTCGCTCTCTCCTAGCCAATCAATCCACCTCTTTTTCTCCTTCATGTGCTACCAGGGTCGGTTGGGCCCAGGTCGGCTGCACCACTGCATGCGGCTGATAGGAGCCACAGAGAGAGCCATGGATTGCATGCTCCAACGCGCCCTCCCTCCCACCCAATCAGTCATCTCCCCTCCCCCCCCCCCCACCCGTTCCCCTTCCCCTCCTGCTCCTTACCAGGGTCGGTTGGGCCCTGGGCGGCTGCACCACTGCATGCGGCTCATAGGAGCCACGGAACGAGCTATGGACTGCATGCTCCAACGCGCTCTCTCGCGGGTGGCGTTTGGGCGGCCGCTGGGCGGCAACGAGTCGGTGGTGCGGGATACTGCCGAATGCCGCATCACGCTGGAGGCGGCACGGCTGCTGGTGCTGCAGGCGGCAGCTGAGTTGGATGCCAAGGGGAACAAGGAAGCTCGGATTGCTATTGCCATGGCCAAGGTGAGTGAGGGACACGACACGTATGACAGGGAATCAAGCGAGGTGTTACTGCTTTGCTGCTGCTGCAGGCGGCTGCTGAGTTGGACGCCAAGGGGGAACAAGGAGGCACGGATTGCCATTGCCATGGCCAAGGTGGGTGAGAGACAGAAGGGCCACAGGGAATATGGGTGGCTGTGCTCTTGACCCTGTCTTACCATCATACCTTCTCCCCTTCCTCTTGTGCTTTGATACATCTCAAAACCCGTATCTCCCTCCTCTCATCTCATCATTCTCTTGGATTCCCTCCAAAAATGCCCTTCTATTCCTTTTCACATTCTTCCAGGTGGCCGCCCCCCGGGCAGCGCAGAAAGTTTTGGACAGGGCGATCCAGGTGCACGGGGGCGGGGGAGTGAGCTCGGACTTCCCTCTTGCCCGCCTGTGGACCGCAGCCCGCACTCTGCGCATCGCTGACGGTCCAGACGAGGTGCATCTGGCTTCCATTGGGAAGAAGGAGCTGCGGGACTGGCAGAGGAAGATGATGGTGAGGGATGGGAGGTCGGGTGGGAGTGGGAGAGGAGCTTCAGCTCGGTTGTAGTGGGAGGCTGGGTAACAGAAAGACACGACACATGTCAGTTTGTTTGATTGAGTATGTGTGATTCATCAACTCATGTTGATCAAATGCTCCATTGCTCTGAGTGATGGGCAACACATTAATCCGCTAATCAGCGCTCTTTGTAGCTCCCTCCATCTCAGTATGAATCCACATACGGTTTCGGTAACCAATGTTCCACACAATGAAACACAATCACTTGCCTGATCATTTTCCACTCATGGTACTTGGGGTGTAGGGTTTAGCTAGCACCATGTCGTAATATAGCAGGCGCAGAGCCTGAGATCAGACAATGTACCAGACGGGGCAGGACGCGAGGGCAGGGCAGGGGATCGAGCAGAGGAGTGGGGGTGAGAAAGAGGGGAGGGGTAGAAAGGGGGGGGGGGTACCTCGGTGAGGGAAGCGAGTGTAGAAGCAGACGGACTCGTCAAAGGTGACGTCACGAGAGCGGAGGAAACGGTGAGACGGAGGGTGGTAGAACAACCAGTCATGGGCGTCGAGGGGAAAACCAAGGAGGACACACGGGAGGGTGTGCAGGGTGTGCAGCCGAGGCTTCGTGAACGGCGCCGACTTGGAGGAGCAAAGTCGGCTGGTTTGGTCAGCCGACCATAGCAGAGCCGACTTCGGTTGCGCCGACCACGGCGAAGCCGACGAAGTAAACTCGGCGGACGGCGTCCAGCCTCGGCGGTCGATGACGGTGGTCGTCGACATGATGCTGCGGGCACCAACTTGTAGGCACCGACCTATGGGCGTCGACTGACCGTCGAAGTCGGCGACGACTTAGTGGATTCTTCTGGTTGACTTGGTAACTGGTCGGCGAAGTTTTGCGGGGGTGCGCGAACTTCGCCCAGAAGGTTTTGGCGAACGTCGACCTGCGGACGAGCACCGCGTGCTCGACAAACTGGCACCTGCGCAATGTGCATCACGTGCACGGCGTGCACGCACCATCTGTTGAGCAGACGTGCACCTACTTTGGTAGGTGTGCACATGAGCGCACATGATTACCCGCGGCTGCAACGCTAACAGGGCGCCTTGCTGCAGCGTTGGCAAGCCGCCTTGGTGCGACGCTGGCAAGCCGCCTTGCTGTAGCGTTGGCAAGCGGCCTTCCAGCTGCGTTGGCACGCCGCCATCTTGCGGCGTTGGCAAGCCGCCTTTGTGTTGCGCTGGAGGTCGACTTGCTAGGTTGCTAGGTGCATTGTGTCCCTAGGTAAATTGACTTTGCCATGCCATTGTGTGCTTCTTCAATAAACTTTTGCTAGTGAAACTCTTGTCCTTTTTTGCCTACAAACACAGCAAGCAGTGCGAACGTATGCAACGCTCCGATCACCCCGTACAACCTCGTTAAACCCACGTAGTCCAACTCCCATTGTAGAGTGACTCTCCGCACAAAGCAGCTCCAGACACGAAACGCAGATGCAGCAAAGGGAGACTCAGTCAAGAGGAGTATCGGCGAACCTGGGGCCGTGAGACACGGGGCCACATGTTAAGCTGGTGCGTAGCGGACTACAAACGGCCACATAAAATGAGGGGGCGCTAGCATGAATCATGGAGGTATGAGCGATCTCGATGACCAAGCCTATGCGAAACTCAGCTACCCCATTCTGCTGCGGCGAGGCCTGGAGCGAATATGTTTGGGTGATGCCCTCCGCATGACAGAACTGGCCAAGGCAACCGGAGGCGAACTCGCCACCACGGTCGCAGTGCAGACGAAGCACGGGCTAGGCGCGTTGCTACTGCGTGTAAAACAAAAACTATGCTTTTATCATAAAAAGTAAACTAGCATTACCGGTATAACACATGGGTGCTATAATTTCTATCTCTCAATAGTGCGCCCATTGGCCATTTTTCAAGAGTTTTAATACAGCACCCAAGGTAGCATGTATGGGGGATCACAGTACTCGTGATACCATGTTAGAAACTGAACTGGATGATAAATGAGCGCATATAGAAGGGGTATATCTAGTAACATCCCACACCCTCAATAGTGCAACCCAACCTAGCCTACAAGTGACACATGCAAATGTATGTGTGTACGTTGACAATTCCGATTTTTTTTTTCTCATTGTGCTCGACATTTGTAAAACGAAATGTTCATGTTAATGTAAACCATAAATGTTCAGGGGGCGTCACTTGTTCAAATCGAGAAAAATGTTACTTTGGCTACATGTATCATGGTCTTGACCCCCATCCGGTAGTGTCCCCCGTCCTGATGGTGCTGCTGCTCCTGACAGTACTGCTGCTGTTGATGGTACTGCTGCTGCTGATGTTACTGCTGCTGCTGATTGTACTGCTGCTGTTGATGGTACTGCTGCTGTTGATGGTACTGCTGCTGTTGATGGTACTGCTGCTGTTGATGGTACTGCTGCTGTTGATGGTACTGCTGCGGTTGATGGTACTGCTGCTGTTGATGGTACTGCTGCGGTTGATGGTACTGCTGCTGTTGATGGTACTGCTGCGGTTGATGGTACTGCTGCTGTTGATGGTACTGCTGCTGTTGATGGTACTGCTGCTGTTGATGGTACTGCTGCTGTTGATGGTACTGCTGCTGTTGATGGTACTGCTGCTGTTGATGGTACTGCTGCTGCAGGAGGAGAAGCCAGGAGAACAGTGGAAGTTCTGGCAGGGTCAGGTTGAGGAAAGGGCGAGAGGAAAGGAGCGGAAATGGTTAGCCTTGAAGGGGTGGCAGGAGCAGGGGGATCAGCAGGGGAATAAGGATTAGCAAGTTCTGCGGGTGCTGCTGAATCTCCTGTGTTTGATAAAGAAGCAGCAAGTGAAAGAATCTCCGCAGCTACAGCACCACCAGCACCAGCAGAAGCAGCAGCAGCATCAGAAGAAGTGCCAGGAGGAGACAGAAGTCCCGAAACAGATCCTTCTGCTTCTTTTCCGCCTGGAACAGCAGGAGCAGCAGAAGTGGCACAGGCGGCTGCGGCAATGGCAGCTGCAAGGATGGTAGCAGCACGTGAGCTTGTCGTGATATCAGCTGCGCACTCAGGCTTGTGAAGGCTGCTGCTGTGTGGTTGTTGCTGCTGCCGATGCTGTTGTTGCTGTTTGCTGCTACCAGTGTTACCTGCTGGGGAAGTAGGAAGAGTCGCCTGAAGGACCCCTTCAGCTCTCGCTGCTCCCAATGCCCCCGCTGCTCCTGCTGCTCCCAATGCCCCCGCTGCTCCTGCTGCTCCCAATGCCCCGCTGCTCCTGCTGCTCCCACCGCTCCCGCTGCTCCTGCTGCTCCCACCGCTCCCGCTGCTCCTGCAAGTTCAGGAAGAGGAGGAGAAACCAGGCTACCAGTGTTACCTGCTGGGGAAGTAGGAAGAGTCGCCTGAAGGACCCCTTCAGCTCTCGCTGCTCCCAATGCCCCCGCTGCTCCTGCTGCTCCCAATGCCCCCGCTGCTCCTGCTGCTCCCAATGCCCCCGCTGCTCCTGCTGCTCCCAATGCCCCCGCTGCTCCCGCTGCTCCCAATGCCCCCGCTGCTCCTGCTGCTCCCAATGCCCCCGCTGCTCCTGCTGCTCCCAATGCCCCCGCTGCTCCTGCTGCTCCCAATGCCACCGCTGCTCCTGCTGCTCCCAATGCCCCCGCTGCTCCTGCTGCTCCCGCTGATTCCGCTGCTTCTGATGCTCTCACTGCTCCACCTGTTCGTGCTTCTCGTCCCACTACTGCGCTGCGCATGATGCTGCTGCTGGGTGACTTTTGAGTCAACTCAAAAGTCACCTCTGCTCCACCTGTTCGCGCTTCTCGTCCCACTACTGCGCTGCGCATGATGCCTATGCTGATGCTGCTCGCGAGAATGCTAGCTACTGATGCACCACCGTACACCGATGCGTTGCTATCCCAAGGCAGCGATATGTTGGCACTAGAAGCAGATGGTGCACACAAGCCGCTACTGCTGCCGCTGGTGGTGGTGGTGCTAATGCTGCTACGGCTGATCCAAGCAGCACTGGAAAAAACAGGTCGCAGGGCGTCTGGACCTGGCATCTGTGGCTTCTGTTGCTGCTGTTGCTGCTGTTGCTGCTGTTGGATGGTGATTTGACCTGCTGCTTGCTGCTTGCTGCCTGCTGCCTGCTGCACGTTCATACCAAAAGAAGGACTGGAGTACCCACCACCAGCGCCGATTGTGCAGGCCCCACCAGGAACACTTCTGCTATTGCTGGCGGCAAGAGCAGCTGCTGCAGCAGTGACAGCATCAGCGGCAGTAGCAACTGAGTTTTGAGACGTCTCAAAAGGAGGACTGGAGTACCCACCACCAGCGCCGATGGTGCAGGCCCCCCCATGAACGTGTCTGCTATTGCTGGCTGCAAGAGCAGCTGCTGCTGCAGTGACAGCATCAGCGGCAGTAGCAACTGAGCTTTGAGACGTCTCAAAAGGAGGACTGGAGTACCCACCACCAGCGCTGATGGTGCAGGCTCCGAATGCACTTACCTTATTGCTGGCGGCAAGAGCAGCTGCTGCAGCAGTGGCAGCATCAGCAGCAGTGGCAGCTGCCAAGGTAGCAGCTGGTGGGGAAACAGTTGCCACTGGAGCCGCTGCCGTGGCCACTGCTGCCGCAACCGCCGCCAAATCAGCAGCGGCAGTAGCGGCACCGGCACCGGCAGCAGCAGCAGCAACAGCAGCAGCGGCGGCGGCGGCGGCGGCGGCGGCTGCAGCTTCGGCCCGAAGCTCTTCTTTAAGTTCGGCAGCGAACTGGGCTGCCAGGGAGAGGCTGGCGGAGCGGGGGCGGTCGGGAGGAGGGTGCGAGTGCTGCCCTAGAAACACCACACGCGGCTGTAGCTGAGAGTGGGACTGCAACTGTTGCAGCAGCTGTTGCTGTAGCTGTGGCGGTGGCGGTAGCTGTGAGTGTAGCTGTGAGTGTAGCTGTGACTGTAGTTGTGGCTGTGACTGGGGTTGGGTCTGCTGATGAAAGGGTGGCTGAGGGAGGGACGGCTGAGGGAGGGACGGTTGAAGTGAAGGAGGAGCAGAGGTGGGTTGCTGGATGGGCATGTCTACGGTCTTCTTGGCCTTGCACCCTGCTGCGTGCTGCGCACACCGGAAGTAGGCTCTGGAGGCGAGGGGACGGTTTGCGAAGAGGGGTGTAAAGGAAGGATAGGAGAGAGAGAGGGGGGCGGTTGAGAGAGGGACGGCTGAAGGAGGGGAGCAGAGGAGGGGTGCTGGAGCCTGGATGGGCATGTCAACGGTCTTCTTGGCCTTGCACCCTGCTGCGTGCTGCGCACACCGGAAGTAGGCTCTGAAGGTGGAAGGATGGGATGGGGGGAGGTGGGGGGAGGGGAGGGGAAGGAGACGAAGGGGGGAGAGAAGGGAATGGACGGCTGTTTTGACCAGGGGACTGGAGGCTGGCTGGACCGTGCCGGGCACGGACCGTGCTGGGCACGGAAGAGAATAGCAGGCTCTCGAGGGACGGTTTTTGAGGCGCCTCAAAAATCGACTGGAGGCTGGACCGTGCTGGGCACGGCACGGGAAGGGAATAGCAGGCTCTCGAGAGAAGGAGAGTGTTTTGAGGTGACTTTTGAGTCGACTCGAGGTGACTTTTGAGTCAACTCAAAAGTCACCTGGACCGTGCTGGGCACGGGAATAGCAGGGTCTCGAGAGAAGGAGAGTGTTTTGGAAGAAGGGCAAGAGAGGGGTGGGGAGAGGGGTGTGGGAGGGAGGGAGGAAAGAGAAGGAAGTATACAACCAGGGACCTCCTTGCCTAGGTGTTTTGTCGGTTCTGAACAGTGGGTGTAATATCTGTGTGTGAAATGTTCGCGAAGGATGTTATTTGTATTCAAAAGGGGTTTTACAGTGGATGTCACGTAAGGGATGGAACATTCATGAAAAAACCAACATGGAAAAACAAAGGATGTAACATTCACTAAGGGTGTAAGTTGTAACATGTGGCATTCACAAGGAATATCGCACTCAGAAGGAACATAACACTCAGAAAGAATGTAACACTCACAAAGAATGTAACATTCCCAGAGGATGTAACATTCACTCGAGATGCAATGTTCACAAAGGATGTGGCTGTCTGTCGTACAGGATGTAACAGCCACAACGGATGTAACAGTAACACTGGCTGCAGCACTTAACCATCACAAGGATGCAACATTCACGAAAATAAAAGAAAACAAAAGAATCGAAAGCTAAACAAACAAAAAAAACAAAATTAATAAACTAAAAACAAGTAGAACTAATTTAGGGGCTGTGGAAGCTCTGGATAACAGCGGGGTAACAGCGTCAGCCCTGCCTGCGTGTGCTTTCTCACAATCACCACGTGTATGCTTTCTCACACTCACCGCGTTTATGCCCTTTCTGTGAGCACCTTCTGTCCGTGTACCAGCCACTGGTATCGATCCTCCTCACTCACCTCTCCCTCCTCCCATCCCGAGCCCCATTTGAGCCGTCTCAGAAAGCGTTTCACACTCACTGTGTGTAGACCCTCTCCATAAGGGAGAGGGCGAGAGAGCGGGAGAGCGAGAGAGCGAGAGACCTCTCTCTCCTCCCCGCTGCCCTTTTCAGTCGGCTCAAAAGTCACACCCAACATGTACAATCGCTCACACTCACCGTGTGTATACCCTCTCCATGAGCACTTTCTGCCCGTATTTCAGCCAGTGGTACCGGTCCTCTTCCCTCCCCTCCCTCTCCTCCCCACTGCCCTGCTCCTCCCGCTCCCCACACGCCTTTTCTGCTCCTCCCTGTCTCCCCTCCGTCGCTCCCTTGTGATCTCCCTTTACTCCTCCCTTTACTCCTTCCGTTGCTCCCTCCCTTGCACCCTCCCTTGCACCCTCCCTTGCTCCCTCCCTTGTTCCTTCATCTCCCCCTTCCTTTGCTCAATTCGCCGCGTGCGTGCAAGTTCTCCCCTCTCCTCTTACATGCGTCCCCGGCGCATCCCCCTCCCGCTCTCTTCACGTCCCGCTCCCACTCTACGGCCGTGCTTCCCCTGCTTTCCCCCTTCCTCCCCCTACCCCCGGTCGTTGCGCGGCGGGCGGCAGATAATAATTTCGCGCGGGTACGAGGAGGACCACACGCTCAGCAACGTCAAGATGGTTATCTGCGCGGCGGCGTGCGCCGTGGCGTGCGTGGCGCAGTTCTACCCGCGCAAGTTCCCCGACAACCGCGCGCTGCTGCTCGCCTGCATCGTCCTATATCCGCCCCGCCGCCACCCGCCTCCCTCCCTTCCCGCCCTTCCCTCCCAATTTCATGCTCCAGCCATTCCCCCCTGTTGCCCTTTTCACCAGTCGCCCACCCTTGTCGCCGTCCCTCGCTCGCCCGTTGCCTGTCTCGCGCACCGCTTGCCCACATTGCTCACTGCTCCCACGCCCGACTCCCCTCCTCCTCTCGCCACACACGCGCTTCCCTCTCCATGGCCTCTCGGCCTATACCCTCCCGCGCCACCACCGCTTCGGCCACCACCGCTGCTGCTCACGCGGCCCTTGATGGATTCCTGTTGCCTCCCCTCTGTGGTTGCCCCTTAACCCTCTCTTTGCAACTTTCCATGGTTCTCTATTCTCTCTTCTCCCTTTCCCTCGTCCCTTTCTCTCTCCCCCCTCCCTCCCCACTTCTCTCTCTCTTTCTTTCTCTCTTTCTCTCTCCCTTGCTCTCGCCCTGCATTCCCCCTTCTGCCCTTCCCCCTTCCTCCCACTGTCTGGGTTGCTGTTGCATGTCGGTGTGTGTGGTGTGTGCGTGGTCACCATGAGCACATACATAGCCCTCAACGTGCTGCTACAGCTCATCGTCACGTTCAAGGAGAAGAACTACTTTCTCTTCACCTACCCTCAATCGGTATACCATTCTCATCTCCTTATTGCTCCACCACTCTTCCTCCTCATCGCACCACCTGTACCCGGAGTGTTGATCCCATTATTCTAACCCATGCTGTGCTGTGCCTGTCATGGCCGTTCCCATCACTCCCTCGCCCCCATCACTGTCTTGCCCCATGTCCATGCTGCCTAGCCACTGCTGCACCCCGTTGCACTCACTCCGCCTCAGCCCTCTACCTCCGCCACTTATGCTTCCTCCTGCACCCCTCTCATCTCCTCCCCTCTCCACTCCCCTCTCTCTCTCTCTCCCTCCCTCCCCCCCTCCACCCCCGTGGTGCAACGGGGTGCACACGTGGCAGGGCATGTTTGCGCAGACGGGGGTGGCGGTGTCATCGCGCATGGAGCGCGCGTGCGACCTCTACCACCTGCGCATCGAGTCCGCTGACCCCTCCTCCGCCGCCGCCCACCCCCCCGTCGAGCTCTGCAAGAGCATCACCAAATGGTAGGGAGGGTGGGAGGCGTTGGGGAGGGGGAGGGGGAGGGGAGGACATGGTAGGGGACGGGAGAGGAGGGGAGGGGAGGGGATTGAGAGGCATTGTGCCGTGTTGGGTGGCGGTGGAACCATAGCTCGAGCTGTCAATAGCGGACAGGTGGGCTGCGGAGGCCTTACTTCCATCACCTCCTTCATCCCCTTGTGACTTGGAACCATAGCTCGAGCTGTCAATAGCGGACAGGTGGGCTGCGGAGGCCTTACTTCCATCACCTCCTTCATCCCCTTGTGACTCGGAACCATAGCTCGAGCTGTCAATAGCGGACAGGTGGGCTGCGGAGGCCTTACTTCCATCACCTCCTTCATCCCCTTGTGACTTGGAACCATAGCTCGAGCTGTCAATAGCGGACAGGTGGGCTGCGGAGGCCTTACTTCCATCACCTCCTTCATCCCCTTGTGACTCGGAACCATAGCTCGAGCTGTCAATAGCGGACAGGTGGGCTGCGGAGGCCTTACTTCCATCACCTCCTTCATCCCCTTGTGACTCGGAACCATAGCTCGAGCTGTCAATAGCGGACAGGTGGGCTGCGGAGGCCTTACTTCCATCACCTCCTTCATCCCCTTGTGACTCGGAACCATAGCTCGAGCTGTCAATAGCGGACAGGTGGGCTGCGGAGGCCTTACTTCCATCACCTCCTTCATCCCCTTGTGACTTGGAACCATAGCTCGAGCTGTCAATAGCGGACAGGTGGGCTGCGGAGGCCTTACTTCCATCACCTCCTTCATCCCCTTGTGACTTGGAACCATCGCCACCATCGCTCGAGAGCCCTGGGAACCAGAAGCCTCCTGTTGCTGTTCCGTTTGTGCCTCCTCCTTTACTACCACTAGCAGTTGCCCCTCCTGTCCCTCCACTTGTCCCCCTTCTTCCTTCAAACCCCCACCTGACCATGTCTCCCTCCCTATCCTCCTCCTCTTCTCAGCTACTCCAGCCACCCCTCTCCCCTCTGCTTCCTTATCACAGAGGCCCCTCCCTCCTCCCTCCACAACTGTTCTCTCCATATCTATCCCTGATACCTCAACCACTGCTCTCTCCTCGGCATGATACGAGAAAGGCTTTTGAATATCAACCCCAGACTCCTCAATCCGCCTTGCATTGTAGCAGCTGCCACCAATGCTGCCACCAATGCTGCCACCAGTGCTGCCACGCACCCTGGCCCGCCCACCTCTAATCATTTCTTCAACGCTCACGCCCTGCTGTTGTAACTCCTGCTCCACTCGCCCCTCACACCCCCCTCCCCTGCCCCATACTACATCATCTCCTCCCCCTTCAGCCGCCACACCTTGGGAGCCAAATCTTAAACCCTGTGGCGTTGCCAATGCCCCTCCCTCTAAGCTTGCCCTTTCCACTGTCCTTCCTCCTCTTTCCCTCTCAACAACCCATGCAGGTACACCTTCCCTTTTGGCCGTTACCGCTCCTATTCCTCTGCTTCCCCCGAGTGTCCTACGCTCAACCTTCTTCCTTTCCCTCTCCTCTCCTGAACCCATGTCAGCTCCTTTTGCTTCCAGCCTCAATCTATCCCCATCCAGCTGCTGCTTCCTCCCCCACGCCTCCTCCAACCGTTCCGTCCCATGATGACTTTTGAGTCGACTCAAAAGCTTCCTCCCCCACGTCTCCTCCAACCGTTCCGTCCCATGATGCTCCACAACCAGCAGTGCCTTACTTTGTGGCTCCTCCTGCCCTCTCTCTTTCTCCATCTCTTTCTCATCTGTAGTACGCTCAGGCGTTTGCTTATCCTCCTGCTGCTGCTGACACCACTCCTCGTGGCCGCCTCCTTTGTGCCCATCCCTCGGTTTCTTCGCTGCTCCCCCCTCGTGGAGTCCTTTGGAGCGTGCATGTTCGTATGGGGAAGTGCGAGGGGAGTGGGTATGTGTACCCGTGCCTTGAGTTGATTCTGCTAGACCGCTAACGTGAGTGGCTTCATGGTATGAAGCGGGGAATCTGTGGAATGGGGACGAGGGATGGAGGGAGAGGGAGGGAGAAATGGTGAGAGAAATGGTCGGTGGGTGGGAGGAATGGTGGTCACCGCTCACTACCGCCAGCCACCGTTGGTCGGTGAATGGGACCGAGTGTAGGAGAGGAGGATTGGAGAGAAGGAGAGAAGGAGGGAAGGTGGGAAGGAGGGAGGGAGGGAGGGAGGGAGGGAGGGAGGGAGGGAGGGAGGGAGGGAGGGAGGGAGGGAGGGAGGGAGGGAGGGAGGGAGGGTGGGAGGGAGGGAGGGAGGGAGGGAAGGGAAGGAGGGAGGGAGGTAAGGAAGGTGGGAAGGAGGGAAGGAGCGAGGGAGAGAGAGAGGGAGGGAGAGTTGAACAGAGACAAGTAACTGTCAAAGCGGAGAACAAACGTACTTCGATCAACGCCTTACTGGAACCAGGGTGGACATGGCCTTTCGTCGTATCGTGTTGTTAATTACTAATTGCATGACTATGACTCCGACTGTATATGACTACAACTTGTACTCATCGTTCCCTTTATGTGAAACAGAGTAATTTTATTGGCAAGATGCGCATTCTTCATCTTTAAAGACGAGAATTAATATATTTACTACCTCTCGGCACTTGTGTCGTCAAATATCGCAGATCTGGAACCAATAAGTGCTCCACTTTCGCGGAGGTTATGATTCGAGGGAAGACGCGGCGGCGGTTCATTCGCCGACTTTGCCGGCACGGCCGCATTGTCCGCTGCCGCACGGATCAACGATGCCTGCGAGGTTTCTCCCTTGGCATTCGACGCTGAAACTGCGGCGGCGACATCACATTCGATCGGATCATTGCCGGATGAGCGAAAAACACGGCGTGCAGGAAGAACGTGAGCTGGAAGGAAATGCTGCAAAGTTAGGTTCTTAGGAAGGTGGAAAACCCCCCCAACTTGGGGCCTTTCCAAACCGTCCGCCGTGGCGACGAGACTTCGTCGGCCATCATGGCCACAAGAACTTGTGTCCTGCCCTACTACGATGTATTCTGTGTTCCCTGGTGGTGAGCCATAACTTGTAGTAGTGTTATTTGTAGTGGTGTTGACAAATGTTCCTTGTTCGTCCTTCATTGTTACTAACAATGCTGTTGGTGCTGCTGCTTGCTGCTGTTCGCTGCTTGCTGCTGCTGAAACCCTTTCAATGTTGGGGGGCTTGTTGTGTTCTGGGTGGTGCGTCCGACCAGAAAGCTCTAGAGAGATGTTAGCGAACACAGATTTGGTTGGAATGGGTTGCAGATGTGAAGCTTTCTGAGCAGCTGGCTAGGTTTTGGCCTTGTTGGGTTGGGACGCTTCCCCAACAGCCGCCCACAATGCCTGGTGGATGGAAACATGCGGAGAAGGGTTGGTCGGGTTGGGGCAGAGAAGGTGGGAAGGAGGGACTGCAACATTTGCGTGCTGCGCGGAATACCCACCAGGGTGATCCGTGAGAACTATGGAAATACGAGTGTACAAGTGTACTACCTGTCGAGGGTTTGTGTGCGAAGGTTAATGCGGGATGGATTGACTCGGACTGAGGTTATCTGCCCGGTTGTTTTCGTGACTTAAAAACATGGCATTATTGGCATTAGAGGAGTAATATAATTGGTTTGTTCTAAAAGCAGAACGTTCACCACTAGCGTCAAAACTCCCAAGATGGCGATATCAGGCGCGTATCTTATTCACTCCTCAAATTGGTCTCTCGTTCATTCGTGTGAGGAAACCGGTGTACTCGGGGCGTTACAGAGCCATCAGTGTACCAAACTGCTCAATCCAACTTTGCATTCTGGTGCTGTAAAAGGGTTTTGTGGCAACAGCAAACTGTATTTTCCTCTTTCAAGCAGCAAGCGTACAGTCTGTGCGCAAGGACGCTTTACAAACTTGTACTTCGTCGCCTCGCCACGCCACGCCACTCCCACTCAGACTTTGACCATCTCCTCCCCTTCCACGAGTGCACGCTGCCATCCAGTCCTCAGTTACAGATCGGTTTCCTAAACCCAAGCTTCCTAATACTGCGTGACGTGGCATGGGGCCATGTGTCTGGCACTGTACACCGGACCTTCGTGACCTGGGCGATCGTAGAAGCTGTTACAATGCGGAAAGCGGGGAGATACGCGGAACAACCAGCAGATCACGGTGAAAAATGGTTTAGAGCGGTGAACACCTAAATCTGCGTCCATCCAAACTTGACGTCCACCACCCCGACGAACACAAGACGGGAAGAATATGACCAGCATTCAGGTCAGGCCAGGCTCTCCAAGACGCTGACCGGACCCGCTGGGCCAGTATGTTCCCATCTAGTTTCAACGACTCTCGTCGACACCATACGTACGAACAAGCCCACTTTGCGTTGCTTGGCTGAAAAAAACAGGGGGCGCGACAGCTCAACGTTTTGGGAAACTGTTTGGTCAGCCCAAATTTCACACAAATCATTGGGGCGGTTGGTCCGCGTGTTGTCATCGAACAGGACAGGCCTTCCAAGCATCCCCCGCCTTGTCTCCTCCCCGCTTCCCCTCCTCCCCCTCTTCCTTGTCCCGCGAACCGAGCCACACCTGGCGGTAAGGCCGCCCTTCTTTGACGAGATGACAACATCGCAGAGGGTCGGTCCCATTTCAAGCAGCCATGCACTTTCGCACTGTTCATGTACTGGCAGCCATCCATACTTCAGCCATCCACAACTCGGGTATTCCTTGCATCGCGGTAGGGTACCTCAGAAACCGCTTTACATCGTGCGGAACCGTCCTGCGCACGAACAAACTAAACTCCAGCAGAATACCCTTTACACTCTCATCCAGTACTTCGCTACGACGAGAGCCTCCTCTACACGCGTTTGCTTGCGGAAAAAAACGTCGTTGCATAACGCACAACCTCGATGTCACCAGCAAAAGACACGCCCTCCCCTAACCTCCCCCCCCCCCCCGTCTCGCGCCCTCCCCACCACCCATCCCCCCTCTCCTCCCGCGACTACCTGTACAGTACAATAGTCGAAGCTTTCTCACCCCACAACTCACTACTGACCTAAGTAAAGGCTATTCTCACGAGGTTACGAGTATGGAAGGTGAGGGAGCTCTCTGTCCTTTCCGTCGTATCCCAGACGATATTCTCCTGGAGATTCTTAGCAGCATACAGGACATCCGCTGTCTCGCGCACTGCGCGTCGGTCTGCAAGTTATGGCACAGAAAAGCGCGCGAAGTCGAAACCGCAACGCTGATCTGCCCGGGGAATTTCAAAACGTACTGGGATAAGGTCATGGATATTGTCGATAAGCTGCAAGGATTTCCCCGTTTAAAGAAGGTTCGCGTGTGCATCGGGACGAATGGGATGGGCGGGAGCGCGTCGGCGGGGAGACGTGACAATAGCGAGGCTTGGACCAAGTGCATGCGCTACGCGGAGATTGGCGCCTCGGTGGATAAGTTCCTGTTTCTCGCCGCGAAATCCGGAAGCGCGGATGTTTTCTACAGTAGCATCGGCGGGGGTGGCGGAGAGACGGCGGAAGGTGCGCAGCGCGGGGGAATGCAGGGAGGGACGCGGCAAGGGGGACAGCACCGTGCGGGGACTTCAAGACAAGGGGAAGCGTCGTTTGCGAATGGGTTTGATGCGGTGGAAGGCGGCGGGGGGGAGGACATGCGCGGAGCGCACGGAACTGCCCGTTTGGAGCGCGGACGAGAGGAAGAAGGGGAGGAGGGAGAGGGGGAGGGGGAGGGGGAGGGAAACGAGAGGGAAAGGGGGCAGCAGCATCAGCAGCAGCAACAGCAGCAGCAGCAGCAGCAGCAGCAGCAGCAGCAGGGAGGAGAGGGCCAATTTGGATTTTCTTTCCCCCAGGCTTACATGGCACGAGATGATGCAGCAGCAGCAGCAGCAGCAGCAGCAGCAGCAGCAGCAGCAGCAGCAGCAGCAGCAGCAGCAGCAGCAGCAGCAGCAGCAGCAGCAGCAGCAGCAGCAGCAGCAGCAGCAGCAGCAGCAGCAGTTGACCTAACCCTAAAGCAAGTCATGGGCCCTAGCGACGACTCATTAAAGCGCATGATGCCCGTTATAATCTTCGCCATTATAAGGGGCTTTGACGAGTTCCGCGACGTAATTCCCTGTCTATTGTTGAAATTACCCCTGCTGCAGCAGCTGCTGCTGGTTGACGTCACTGACAACGTCACCATCCACATGCGTCCGCACCACATGGCGCAGCTTCGGCGGGCCAACCGACGGGCGTTTGGCGGGAGCCTAGGCTTGGAGAGCCTAGGCTCGGAAGGTTTAGGTCCGGAGAGTCTAGATGTGGAAAGTATGGTTTTGGGGGACGGGAGCAGTGGGAATGGGGGAGGGTTAGATGGTAGCGGGCGGGCGGAAGAGGGTTTGTCAACGGACATGGTTTCTGAGATGGGTGGTGGCATGGGTGGTGGCTTGCGTGTGGGCACGGGGGCATCGGACGCGTTTGGGGATGAGGAGTTTCGGCCAGAGCTGCTGGGAGCTGGTGCTGCTGCCTACACCGCTTCACTCACTGCCCCCTCTGCTGCTGCTGCTGCTGCATATTCCGCTTCACTTACTGCCCCCTCTGCTGCTGCCTCTGCTGCATACACCCCCTCGCTCACCCCCCCCGCTGCAACCTCACCCACAGACACTCCACTCTCCCCTGCCCGCTCACCCCATCCCGCTGCCCCTGCCGCTGCCCCTTCTTCTGCCGCTGCTGCTGCCCCTGCCGCTGATCCTGCCCCTGCTTCTCCTGCTTCTGCTCTTCCCGCTCGTCCCGCTCCTCCTGCTGCCCCTGCGTCTGCACACAGAGCAGATCAAGCCCCCGTGTTAGAAACCGTGCAAGCCTCCGTGTTAGAGACCGATGCTCCTGCAGAACTGTCCAGGCGGGACCTGTCTTGCCATCCCGACTCGCCCAACTTCCACGTGTCGTTCTGGCGCACGGACAGAGTCCGGGTGGCTTATCCGCTGCCACGTCAGCACCAGGAGCTGACTGACGTGTCAGTCTGTGTGGCCACGCAGGACTCTGTTGCGCTGGACGACGCTGACGTGGCGGAGCTTGCCAGGTCAGCTGTCGGTGGGCCCGTGCTGGCTGCCACCGTGGCGTTTCTCAATAGCCACTCATCCATGCATGCACTGTAGCACCACAATAGCATGCACTGTAGCACCACCACATTAGCTTGCATTGTAGCAGCTCATGTTGATTGCACTGTAGCATAAAGTGACCCCCCTCCCCTCCCCCAGACTATGTTACCGTATGTGCAAGGGCATGTTTGGTGAGTCGTGAGTCGTGACTCGTGACTCTGCATGGCACACCCCATGTCCACCCAACCAGCCATGCATGCCATGTGGGTGTGTGTGCGCACTGTGCTCTGCTGGATGGGAGATAGAGGGGCATGCAATGCAAGGGGTGGAGTGGAGGGTATGGTATTGTATAGGAGTGAAGAGCGGTTGTCCTGGTTGCACGGATCAACTAGGTACCGTACCGTACCGGTACCGTATCTGTTGTTACCTCCTACTTATTTTGCAGTTTAGAGTGTAGTTCTCTTGTACAGACAGACACCCTATCATAGTGAATGCCACAATATGACTCACTCGCCGTCGTGTGACTCGTCTCGTCACAATTCCTTAGATGATAGATCGCATCGCATCTCAATCATGCGTGCCCATACTGAGAGATGCACTACCTACCAATGAACAAGTGAACTCGCACGCACCCCCACTGATTTTCCTAACAAATCAACTATACATTGTACATGGTGCATGGTACATTGTACTGAACTGTATGTGAAGTGGAGACAGCGAGTTCACAAAGCGCGCTTCAGTCAGGACTTGCTGCCACGTGCTTGCTTCCTCTGGCTCTTTGCCGACCGCCGGCCAGAGACTTGGGATTGCCGACCAGAATCTTGGGATTGCCGACCGAAATCTTGGGATTGCCGACCGGAATCTTGGGATTGCCGACCGGAATCTTGGGGTTGCCGACCGGAATCTTGGGATTGCCGACCGGAATCTTTGGATTGCCGACCAGAATCTTAGGATTGCAGACCAGACGTGATGGCGGTTGAAGCTCATTTCCTGAGGTTTGTGTTTTGCTCCATCTTGGTTGTTGTTTCTTCCATCATGGCACAGAACTCAGCAAAATCAATCTTGCCGTTCTGGGAAAATGGGAGGGAGCATAGGGAGAGAGTGTGACACTTGACTTTTGAGTCGACTCAAAAGTCATCTTGGTTGTTGTGTCTTCCATTATGGAACAGAACTCAGAGAAATCAATCTTGCCGTTCTGGGAGGATAGGAGTAAGGAGAGAGTGTAAGAGTGGTGCAGGGATTTTATTAGAATTCTAAAAAAACAGGGATTCTTTTTTAATTTTCAAAACATCCCTCAGAATTCTAAAAAAATCGGAGAAATCAATCTTGCCGTTCTGGGAGAATGGGAGTAAGGAGAGAGAGAGTGCAAGAGTGTGTGCGCGTTTGAGCGAGGAAAGAGAGGGGAAGATGAATTGGGAGAACAGAGTCATGCACAGTAAAAAGAGAGTCAACCGGGAAGATGAATGGGGCCGCCGTTTGACTGCCTCCTGTCTCGCCTTACCACTCACCCCGTCCTGTCTCGCCTTACCACTCACCCCCTCCTGCATTACCTTATCAGCGTCCACGTCAGCAAATATTCTCTTTATCTCCTCCTCCCCAACCCCAGCACTCCCAGCTTCGCTCTCCAGTGCACTGCGCAACTCATCCCCTGTAATGAATCTGCCAAAAACGGGGACATGGGAGGCAGAACGGGTGTGTGGATGATGCAGAGGAGAGAGCAAGACGCAACAGGATCATATCCGCACTGTTCAGACAGATTTACCAGCCCACTTGATAACTGCATTCCTGGCCTTCAAAATTAGGCAAATATGCGCAAGACCAAGTAACCCTCAAATTTGGGGGTACCTTAGCAACTTACCCGTTGCCATCGGTGTCAAAGTGCGCAAAAGCCTGCTGCAGGTGAGCCTCTCTGGTCTCCCTGCTGACTCGCATGGTTGCTGCCACAAACTCGTTATAGTCAATGCTGCCACTGCTGTCCACGTCAGCCTGTTACAAGCACACATGGAGGTGGTTACAGTTGATCTGTTACAAGCACACATGGAGGTGGTTACAGTTGATCTGTTACAAGCACACAAGGAGGTGGTTACAATGGATCCGTTACAAGCACACAGAGGTGCAGCATTATGGGGTTGCATGCACAATAACTCCCAGCAGCAAAGAATTGAAAATGAAGAAATCGAAGCAACAGGGAAAAGGCAGCACAGCCTACCGCTGCCATCATTTGCCGAAGCTGCTCCTTAGGCACGGTATCTCCGAGCCTCTCAACCCCATCCCTGAGCTCAGCCAAGGAGATCGTCCCACTGCCATCCCCATCCATGGCTTTAAACATCTCTCTCAACCCCATGGCCTCAGCGTCAGACACGTGCGAGGCGATGAGTGTGAGAGTGAGTCGCTTGAGTCGGTTCATGGCTGCAAAGCGCTTCAGCCGAGTGATGACTGCTGGAGCTAGAGGCGTGTCTGCCGCCACTCCCCCCTCCCTCACCCACGGATGCTCTGGCGGAACCGATGGGGAGGAGGGGGACAGGGGGGTTGGGGGGGAGTTTCAGAGTGAGGCGCTTGAGTCGGTTCATGGCTGAGAAACGCTTCAGCCGAGTGACAACGGATGGAGCCAGAGGTGTGTCTGTTGCTACTCCCCCCTCCCTCACCCACGGATGCTCTGGTGGACGCGAGAAGAGGGGGAGAGGTATTTGAGGTTAGGGGAAGGAGATTTGAAGGCAGGGGGATGAGATTTCTGAGTCGGCTGTGGGCTGTCCGCCGGTTTTTGAGTCGACTAAAAAAACCGACTTCTGAGTCGGCTCGGCTGTGGGCTGTCCTGTCCGCCTCGCTGCTGCATGTCATGTCGAAGGCAGACACGTGAGGTGAGGTGAGCTGCGAGGCCTTGCTTCCTTCCTTCAACTCGGTAGGTATGTACGTGCGTGCGTTCAGGAGGACAACGAAAACGAAACGCACCCCTGACTCGGTAACTCTGAAAAAACATATCTATAAGTGATTACAGTGTGCCTAGGGCGAAGAAAAAAACGAAACGTACCCATGAGCTGTGCTGCTGTGGGTCGCCTCTCTGGTTGCTGCTGCAGCAGACTCAGCACTAGCTGCTTTGCCTCCCAACCACCACACACTTGACCACACACCCACACACCACATACACTTCTCACACCCCCCCGCCACCCACGCACCCATGAGCTGTGCTGCAGTGGGTCGCCTCTCTGGCTGCTGCTGCAGCAGACTCAGCACCAGCTGCTTTGCCTCCGACGACACCTGCGGCCACGGCTCCTCTGATTGGTCCACGTGGCCCCACAAGATCTCCTCAAATATCCCCTCGTTTGTCTCCGCAGTTAGGGAGCGGACAGGCGGGCGGGGTAGGGGCCAAAGGGAAATTGGAATGGGGAAAGTGGGGAGGAGGGGGAGAAGGGGGCGGAGGAAGGGGGGAAAGAGGAAAAAAACTATTAATGGGAAAACAAATGCAGACGGAGTGAAAGTGGACGTTGATTGGTCTGGGGCCGGGAAAGGGGAGGGGGTGGAGAGGAGACGGAGTGATTTAACAAAGGGTTGACGAGTGGTTGTGAACGGTGGTGAATGGCTAAAATTCTCCGCATTCATCCCTCCCTCCCCCTCCCCCTCCCCCTTCCCTCCTCCCCCTGCTCCCCCATTACCACCCCTCATCCTCGTCACTCTTACCGCCCCAGAAGGGCGGAGATCCCGAGAGCAGGATGTAGAGCACGACCCCCACGCTCCACAGGTCCGCCTCCGGGTGTATTCAAATCAAGACCTTTTGAAACCACCTGGAACACCTTATAACGGGTACAAGAAACTACCTGCCCAGAAGGGCGGAGATCCCGAGAGCAGGATGTAGAGCACGACCCCCGCGCTCCACAGGTCCGCCTCCGGGCCGTAGCCGCCTCGGATCACCTCTGGCGCCATGTAGAATGCGCTGCCCGCTACTGTGTGCAGCGGATGGCCTTGTATCGCGGATGGATGGCGGAGTGGTGGTGGGATGGGGGGGAGTTGGGGAAGGTTGGACGTGGGAGGAGAGGAAGTGGGGGAGTGGGAAGGTAGTGGGGGAGAAAGTGGAGCGTGGGGAATTGGGGGGGTGGGGGAGGGGAGTTGCAGGGAAAGGGGAAGCAGGCATGTGCATGAAGGGAAGCCATAGGTTGGGAAAGGGAGAGCAGAAAAGCATGGGTGCGAGGGGAGATGGGTGTGGGGAAAGGAGGGAGGGAGGTGGGGGTGGAGGGGGGGGGAAGGGGGGACGGCGAAGATTGCTTTGAGACGTCTCAAAACACTACTTTTATCACGTGTCTTCAGAAGCGAGTGGGTTGTGGGGGGGAGGCGGGTGTGATGAACAGTTTTGAGACGTTTCAAAACACTTCTTTTATATCGAGTGGGTTGCGAGGGAGGGAGGTGGGGGCGAAGATTGCTTACCTGGACGATAGAAGGCGGAAAGACCAAAGTCGACGGCTTTAAGCGGCGCGCCCTCCTCGTCGCTCGATACAAGAAAGTTCTCGGGCTTTAAGTCCCTGTGAATCACGTAGTTGGCATGGCAATACCTCACCACCGATACAATCACACGGAGGACTTCCGCTGCTGCGCGCTCGCTATAGTGTCCTCTCGTTATTATATGATCGAATAACTCGCCGCCTGTACAGAGCTCCATGACTATATACACCGCAGAATCGTCCTCATAAGCTCCTTTCAGATTAATCACATTCGGGTGATCCGACAAGAGGTGAAGAATGGCGATTTCTCTCTTGATATCTTCCACGTCGTCGCTCGTTATAAGCTGTTTCTTCGATATAAGCTTACACGCGTACTGTAGACCGGTGCGTTTCTCCGTGCATACGTAAGTCACGCCGAACTGACCCCTTCCTAACTCCCGTCCGAAATTGAACAAATCACGAATGTTTTCCGTCTCCCGGCCGAGTATGGAGTCCGTCAACTTCTCCGATAACTTGCCGCCGGTATCCCTGACGGTCGCTGGATCCTTACTAGCATGAACAGGCGAAACGAGAGCCTGCCTATCATCGCGTCTGGTTACCCGTTTCGATAGCGACGGAAACCGTTTCGCTAGCCTTTCATGGACGGACCCGGAGTATCCTGCACCAGCAGCAGCTACAGGAACGCAACCGTCGCGACGCCATTGTAACGAATGCGATAATGGCGAGGGATACAACCCTTTCCCCGCTAGGGTTACCTCCACGTGCAGAGCGCGAAGGCGAAGAGATTCCAGCATAGATAGGAGAGGAACTACCGACGCGGCTTGCACCGATTGACGGCACTGGCTCAATCCGCCTAATGTAGTAGCTATTTTCTGGACTGGCTGTTGACGGAGATAGGGACGGAGCTTCACGATAACGCAAGCAGAACTTATCTTTGTCGTTGCTTGCCGTCCCTTGAGACCATCGCACGGCAAAGTATGTGCGTGTTAGTACTCGTAGTGCATGCTCCGATTTATTTAAGGGTGGCGATTCGCCTTATAGACCAGTCTAGGGTGAAATTTAGATGTAGTTGTTTGCAATCCATCCTCACTCCGATTCATATTGCACGTCCCCCCTCTTCCCTCGATTGGGTGTGTGGGGGAGTTCTTAGCACAAGGAAACCCTGAAGTATAGCACTTAGCGTCTTTTCATTGAGTTCTTAGCAAAAGGAAATATCATAAAGCGCTTTGCACCTTGTCCTTTGGTTGATCCCGTACCTTAAAGCCAGGATCTCAAGTAGTTCAATTGTTTTGCAGTTGGTGAGGGGAGCTGGGCTGCGATTGGTTAGCGAGGTGAACAATCTGACGAGGTGTGAAGCGAGGGGTGCGAAGTAAAGACAAATCGCAAATTCAGTCCGAACCAAGCAAGGCTCGGAAACTGGTTCGGTGACGAAGCTCCAATGCCTGCAATTTCTCGTCACACACAACAATCTCATGTACCAGCAAAATGTTTTGCATTTGCTCTAGGGGCAAAATCGTGGGTGTGCCGCACGCTCACTTTCCTAACCAGCCAGTCAATTCGCCTACAAAAATAGGGTAACAAGCGCTGCAAGTGTTTTGCAATTGAAGGCCAATTCTCTTACTTGAGATCCTGGCTTTAAACCATACTATCTAGTGGTTTCAAAAGACTTGCATAACCTCTGTGTTCGGATGCCAGTTGTGTTTTTAGCATTTAAAACGAAATGTCAGCTAGATGACGTTGGTAACACCCTATGGTACTTTGGCTTCAAGCGCAGCTTGCTACAATCCGGTATGACGAGGTTTCAAGCCCAATGTCCTCCTGCCCTGCCCTGACAAGCCGTAGATGCCGCGTGTACAGCTTGGGTTGGGTACCTAGCAGCAGCTCTGCCCTTCTATCGAGACAAGTCAGCAATAACTACCACCGCCATGCACGGTCATTTCGGCCTGCACGCGACGTGGCAGCGGCATCACTCGAGCCGCATGTCGCGGCGTTGGAAATCACGAAGCGCGTGGAGCATTTTGTTACGCAGTCACCCTAATCCGAAGCATCACCCGACCCGAACCGCATGTCGCATGTCGCATCCTATCATTCCGAACAGTCCTCCCACCTGTTCCTCTTCTCTCTCGTCCCTCTTCTCACCCATCCCTCTTTCCTCCGGCATTCCACGTTGATAAATTCAATACGGGCGACGTCCCTTTCCCTTTCTTGTCCTTCCGTATCCTCCTCGCTCGCTCCTCGCAAGATCGCTCAGAAGCCCTTGAAAGAACTCCGCGCACCCAGCCGTAGCTGCATATCGGTGTCTCCTCAACAGATCGGTGTCTCCTTAAGAGCCTCTTGCTCTTTCACATATTCGTCTGTCAGATTCTCTCATTCGTGGGACTTTCTTGAAAGGGCATGATGTTTTTCACGTGGTATGGGCTCGTGTTCATCACCGTCCTCTTCGTCCTCCTCTCCCCGGGGATGCTGCTGCAGGTACGTTCCAGCTACTCTCCAATCGTCGGTTCGTGACAATATGGAGCCTAGGTTGTCTCAAGTTCGCTCTGGGTTGCTTCAGGTTCGCTGTGGGTTGCTTCAGGTTCGCCCTGGGTTGCTTCAGGTTCGCCCTGGGTTGCTTCAGGCTCATTATGGTCTGCCTCAGCTTCGTTTTGTTCACCAATAATTTTGGGTGTGGTAGATCAGATGTGCTCATGTGTTTTGAGCATGGTGTGGTGTCTAGATAGATCTGATATGAAGGCCAGAGTAAGCCAGAGTCAGCCAGAGTAAGCCAACCATTGAAAACCATGCGCATGATTTCACCACTTGAGCCTCGAGTTTCTTACTCGAGTTCTTCCCCTCTCCCGTTCTACCCACCCCCTTTCACATCCTTCTCCCCTCCCTCCCCATTGGTAACCTTTCCTGCAGATCCCAGGAGAGAACCAGCCAGTGGAGTTTCAGAACTGGCGCACCTTTCCTTTCCTGCAGTTCCTCTGAAGAAACATCTCTTCCTCTCCACCTCTTTGTGCAGATCCCAGGGGACAACCAGCCGGTGGAGTTTCAGAACTGGCGCACCTCGCTGCCCTCCGTGGTGGTGCATGCTGTGGTCTTCCTCGCCCGCATCCTGCTCCCTAACTGGCTCTCCCCTTCCCACCCCACCCCCTTCCCCCCTCCGCTCTCCTTCTTTCCCCATGCAGATCCCAGGGGACAACCAGCCGGTGGAGTTTCAGAACTGGCGCACCTTTCCTGCAGTTCCTTGAAAAGACATCTCATACGCTTTGCTATTTCCTCTTCCTCTCCACCTCTCGTGTGCAGATCCCGGGAGACAACCAGCCAGTGGATTTTCAGAACTGGCGCACGTCTCTGCCCTCCGTGGTGGTGCACGCCGTGGTCTTCCTCGCCCTCATCCAACTGGCTCCCCCCGTGTCCCCGCCCCCCCTCCCCTCTACCGCCTCTCCTTCAGATCCCGGGAGACAACCAGCCAGTGGATTTTCAGAACTGGCGCACGTCTCTGCCCTCCGTGGTGGTGCACGCCGTGGTCTTCCTCGCTCTCATCCTGCTCTCCAACTGGCTCTTCCCGTCCTTTCTTCACGGGTAGAGGAGAGAAGAGTGTGAGAAGCCCCAGATGCTGTTTCGTCAAACAAGCTTGAAGCATGCTTCAAGATGACTCTCCCGTCGGTAGAGTAGTGGGTAGAGGAGTGCGAGGGGCATTTAAAAATTGTCTCATTGGAAGCTACCTCAGTGTGTCACTTGTGGCGTTTCAACATGTGAACATTAGAATGTGTGGTTGGGCTGTTGGTGGGTGGTACTTACATAGGGCAGTTGCGTGTACATAGATTGTCTGCTGGGTATTGAAGAATAAAATTGACACGTCTTTATGCCATGGACCAGCGTGTACAGAGTTAATTACAAAGTTACCACACTTTGCAGTGGTCCAAATGTTGCACACTACAGCAGTTTAGGCCAATACTCTGCTGCGCCTGCCCCTCTCATTACACCTGCCCATGTTAGATTTTGATCAAACATGTGTTAAAAAGTGAGAAGAATGGGTACGTTAACAATGACACATAACTTTCTCACACACCTCCCCCACACACAGCAAGACGTTCCTGCATGGTTTGATGTTCGAGAATGGGGAACAGCATAAACAAGGTAGGAAAAGGACAAAGGGGACAGTGGGCCATTGCGGTTCCTCCACTCAGCCGTTTTAACAGTCCACACTGCCTCCTGAAACTGTAGTAGGTCACCTTCTCCCCACCCCTTCGCCTGCCACCCCAGCGACACTCACGATCATCTTAATCAGCACCGGGAAGTGCTGGTGCTGAGATGACTGCTCAGGCACAACCTTTCACGCTTCCCCACGCTTCCCCAGCAACCCTCAGTCACCTTCTCCCCTCTTCACCCGCCACCCCACCAACGCTCACGCGCACCCTAGCCAGCACCGGGTCTTGGCACCTTCTCATCTTCCCAACAACACTCCCAGCAATGCTCAGGGTCTATTTTTGAGGCGCCTCAAGAACCCTCTCCCCTCCTCTTCACCCGCCACCCCACCAACGCTCACGCGCACCCTAGCCAGCACCGGGTCTTGGCACCTTCTCATCTTCCCAACAACACTCCCAGCAATGCTCAGGGTCTATTTTTGAGGCGCCTCAAGAACCCTCTCCCCTCCTCTTCACCCGCCACCCCACCAACGCTCACGCGCACCCTAGCCAGCACCGGGTCTTGGCACCTTCTCATCTTCCCAACAACACTCCCAGCAATGCTCAGGGTCTATTTTTGAGGCGCCTCAAGAACCCTCTCCCCTCCTCTTCACCCGCCACCCCACCAACGCTCACGCGCACCCTAGCCAGCACCGGGTCTTGGCACCTTCTCATCTTCCCAACAACACTCCCAGCAATGCTCAGGGTCTATTTTTGAGGCGCCTCAAGAACCCTCTCCCCTCCTCTTCACCCGCCACCCCACCGACGCTCACGCGCATCTTAGCCAGCACCGGGTCTTGGCACCGGATCTTAGAAGGCACCTTCTCATCTTCCCAACCACACTCCCAGCAACACTCAGGGTCTTCTCTCCTCCCCCTCACCCGCCACCCCACCGGCACTTACGCTCATCTTAGCCAGCACCGGGAAGTGCCGGTGCCAAGATGACTGCTGAAACATCACCTTCTCTTCCTTCCCAGAATCACTCCCAGCAACACTCCCAGCAACACTCCCAGCAACACTCCCAGCAACACGCCCAGCAACACGCCCAGCAACACTCAGGGTCTTCTCTCCTCCCCCTCACCCGCCACCCCACCAACACTCAGGCTCATCTTAGGCAGCACCGGGAAGTGCTGGTGCCGGGGCTTCCATGTAGCAGGCCACTCCTTCGAACTCTGCTGCTGCTGCTGCTGCTGCTGCTCCAATAAAGCGGCTGAACACGGATCATGCATTGAGCCACTGTAGGAGGGGGGATCGTGCAGGAAAGTGTAGGGATCGTGCAGCAGAGTCATGCTCCACAGCACTTCTTCTGTCACCCACCCGCGCCCCTTGTGCGGGAGAATCTTGGAGGATGGGGAGACGAAGCCCGCTACCGGACGAGGCGTGCCGCCCATGACCGCCTTTTGGAAGTACTCGAAATCGGAGTCGTAGTGCGGATTTTGGGGCGGCGAGAAGGTTGGGGGAGGGGAGGAGGAGGAGGAGGAGGAGGAGGAGGAGGAGGAGGAGGAGGAGGAGGAGGAGGAGGAGGAGGAGGAGGAGGAGGAGGAGGTGTAGGAGGAGGAGGAGGAGGAGGAGGAGGAGGAGGAGGAGGAGGAGGAGGAGGAGGAGGAGGAGGAGGAGGAGGAGGAGGAGGAGGAGGAGGGGGAGGACCCCTGAGATGTTTCAACCTTCACATTTCCCCTATTTTCCCCATTACCACTGGCAATACGCAACCCTTCTCTACTCCCTCTACCCTCCTCCATCGCCTCACCACCATTGACCGCGGGGGATTCTCGAGCCTCCTCAATTGTCGGCCCAGCACCATTGAACCCACGCGCTTCCTCCCCTCCCCCTTTCTCTCTGCCTCTCTCCCCTTCAATGCAATCACATCCGCTTCCTTCCCTCGTGCTCTGATTCTCTGCGCCACTGTTTCCAGAGGCCAAAGACCCTCCGTTATGATCACACGCCCCCATCTTCTCACATCCCTCGGTATTATCACGACCCACTTTCTTCTCACATCCCTCGTTACTATCCCCACTGCCACTAGCACATCCGTTTTCTGCCCCTCTTCCCTCAATCCCTCCACTCATCAGTGAGCCTTTTCCCTGCCCCGGGCAGCTCAAAAGATTTGCATCCTGCCCGAGATAAGTCAGCCCCTGCTTCCTGACCGCCTGCATCTGAGCATCTATCTCTGCTTGTGTCCTCCCCATCACATATCTCGCCCCTCCCCCTCCCCCCTCCCCTTCTGCCCCCCCTTCCCTCCCCCCCCCTGCTGCTGCTGCTGCTGCGTCAGCTGCATCAAGGGCTGCTAGTAACTCAGGGGGTTCCCTCCCTTGCAGAACGGGAATAGGGGCAGATCGAGGCAGGGGTGTTTGTGACTGCAGTGGTAGTGGGGACGGTGGTTGTGCTTGTGTTGCTAGTAACTCTGGGGGTTCCCTCCCTTGCAGAACGGGAATAGGGGCAGATCGAGGCAGGGGTGCTTGTGCCAGCTGTGGTAGCGGGAGCGGTGGTTGTGCCAGTGGTGGTAGTGGGAGTGGTGACAAAAACAAGTGTGACGCTGGCGGTTGTGACTGTACATGCGACTGTGGCAGTGGGAGTGACTGTGGCTGCTGTCGTTGTTGTCGTAGCTGTTGTTCTGACTGTTCTTGTTCTTGCTGCTGCTGCTGCTGCTGCTGCTGCTGTTGCTCCTGCTGTGACACTTGTTGCGACTGTTGCCGTTGCTGTTGCCTCTGTGCATCCCCTTCTTTTGAGTCGTCCTGCCCTTCATTTCTCGTTCCCAATTCGTCCTCTACCTGCTGTCTCTGTTCACAGGGCCCACCTTCCCCAGATGCCACCTTGCCAGACCTACATGCTGCTGCAGATACCACCTCCTCAGACGCAGCAGATGCCACCTCCCCACCGGCAGCAAATACCACCTCCCCGCCTGCAGATGCCACCTCCTCGTCACCAGCAGGTGCCACCTCCCCGCCAGCAGCAGATGTCACCTCCCCCAGTCGTTCGTACTTGATGATCTGGGCGGCAGCTGCGAGGGCCTGCTTGGCCATGAGCGGGTGGCACTCCCGCCCCCGCCAGCAATACACGTTTGTCCGTATCTGAGGGTGAGACAAGACGGGGAGGGACAGATTGGAGGGGCAAGAGAGGGGGAAAGAGATGGGGGATGGGAGGGGGGAAGGGATGGGGGAGAAGAGGGGGGAAAGGAAAGGGGAAGGGAGGGGGGAAATGAGGAGGTGAAAGGACGGGGTGAAAAGGGAGAGGGATAAGGGGAAGATCAGAAAAGGATGACATTCATTTCCTCACGAGCAGCACATTAATAAAGAAGAGCTGAAAGTCAGTCAAATTCTCTCATATAAGAGGCAAAGTCAAGAGGCAAATGAAGTAACCTTGTCAGTGACCAGTCTCTATTGAGAGAGTGAGTGAGAGTACATCTGAGGCGCCGCCTTGTAAACAGGCAAGAGTTACCTTGTGAGTCTGTGTTGTGCTGAGAGAGTGAGAGGCACTCACTTGCACAATGAAGTAACCTTGTCAGTGACCAGTCTCTATTGAGAAAGTGAGAGGCATGAGCGAGTGAGAGTACATTTAGGCGCGCCGCCTTGTAAGCAGGCAAGAGTTACCTTGTGAGTCTGTGTTGTGCTGAGAGTGAGAGAGGCACTCACTTGCATGATGAAGGCCCCTCTGGAGTGGTTTTTGAGGCGCCTCAAAAGTCAAGAGGCAAATGCAGTAACCTTGTCTGTCTCTATTGAGAAAGTGAGAGTGCATTTGAGGCGCGCCACCTTGTAAACAGGTGAGAGTTACCTTGTGAGTCTGTGTTGAGTTGAGAGAGAGAGAGAGGCACTCACTTGCACAATGAAGGCCCCTCGTGGGTCAAGGGAGTGGCGGGAGAGGGCGGTGATTTTTGGCACCAAGTGCAGCGCGTCGTACGGCGAATGCGGTGCCATGCGGTACATGTGACAGCTGCCTGCCGCCCCTGATGCTTCCTCTGCCGCCCCTGATGCCTCTGCCGCCCCTGATGCCTCCTCTGCCGCCCCTAATGCCGCTGCCGACCCTAACGCCTCTGCCGTCCCTGATGCCTCTGCCGCCCCTGACGCCTCTGCCGCCCCTGGTGCTACCCGTGGTGTAGGCTCTGATTCCATGGCTGCCCCTGATTCCGGTGCTGGTTCTGCTACAGACGGCTGTGCTGGCTGCTGCGGTGCATGCAGTGGTGCTGGCTCTGCTGCTCCCTGCCCTGCTGCTCCCTGCCCTGCTATGTCATCAGCAGCACCACCTGTGGCCCTTGCTGCTAGCAATTCTCCGCCTGATGCTGCTGCTGCTGCTGCGTCTGGCTCAGCAGCAGCACCAGCGCCGCAAGCAGTGGCAGCAGGAGCAGCTGCTGCTGCTGCAGGAGCAGCAGGGGGAAGAGCGGTAGGTTGAGGCGTGGGGGGCGGATCGAGGGCGGAGGGGGGGAGGATGCGCGTCTGCCACTGCAGCAGTTGGCACGCGAAGCCCATGTTGGGGTTGGCTACTGCTCTCAGTGCCTTGACTCTCTTGAACGCGTCTCCAAAGGGGATTCCCTGAAGGAATGGAGGGAGGGTCGGAAGCGGGTGGAAGGAGGTGGGAGGGGGTTGAGAGCGGTGGCAGCAGGAGCAGGAGCAGCAGCGGCACCAGGAGCACGAGCAGCAGGGGGGAGGGCGGAGGGGGGGGGGATGCGCGTCTGCCACTGTAGCAGTTGGCAGGCGAACACGGATGCACCACACTGGTGCCCCTACTACACTCTGCATGCACCTCGCGCCACATGAGGTAGGCAATGACACGGGACGTGGAGCGCGAGATGCCCTGGCAGCAGTGGATGAACACCCAAACCCCTTCCGCCCGGGAGGTGCGGAGCGGAGGGTGATATGCCGCACCCAATGCAACCCAACCCAAACACACATGCACCCACACTCCACGCCCCTGCACCCTCATACCTCGCGCCACATGAGGTATGCGATGACAAGGGACGTGGAGCGCGAGATGCCCTGGCAGCAGTGGATGAACACCCAAACCCCTTCCGCCCGGGAGGTGCGGAGCGGAGGGTGATATGCCGCACCCAATGCAACCCAACCCAAACACACATGCACCCACACTCCACGCCCCTGCACCCTCATACCTCGCGCCACATGAGGTATGCGATGACAAGGGACGTGGAGCGCGAGATGCCCTGGCAGCAGTGGATGAACACCCAAACCCCTTCCGCCCGGGAGGTGCGGAGCGGAGGGTGATATGCCGCACCCAATGCAACCCAACCCAAACACACATGCACCCACACTCCACGCCCCTGCACCCTCATACCTCTCGCCACATGAGGTATGCGATGACAAGGGACGTGGAGCGCGAGATGCCCTGGCAGCAGTGGATGAACACCCAAACCCCTTCCGCCCGGGAGGTGCGGAGCGGAGGGTGATATGCCGCACCCAATGCAACCCAACCCAAACACACATGCACCCACACTCCACGCCCCTGCACCCTCATACCTCGCGCCACATGAGGTATGCGATGACAAGGGACGTGGAGCGCGAGATGCCCTGGCAGCAGTGGATGAACACCCAAACCCCTTCCGCCCGGGAGGTGCGGAGCGGAGGGTGATATGCCGCACCCAATGCAACCCAACCCAAACACATATGCACCCACACTCCACGCCCCTGCACCCTCATACCTCGCGCCACATGAGGTATGCGATGACGAGGGACGTGGAGCGCGAGATGCCCTGGCAGCAGTGGATGAACACGCGGCCCCCACTAGGTGTGGAAGGGAGGGCGACATGAAATGCTGCGACATGAAATGCTGCACCCAATGCAAGCCACCCAACCAGTGTGCCCCCTACTCTGCACCCACCTCGCGCCACATGAGATATGCGATCACGAGGGACGTGGAGCGCGAGATGCCCTGGCAGCAGTGGATGAATACGCGGCCCCTCGCCGCCCGCACGGCCTCAATGTAATCAAACACGTCGTATAGCACACACACCAGGTCCTCGCCCGTGTTGTCCTGTGTAGGAGATGAGAGGGGTGGGGAGGGATTGAAATGGATGTGGGGAGTTGGAAACTGCAATGGTCAGCACCCTCAACCCCCCGCCGCCCGCACGGCCTCAATGTAGTCAAACACGTCGTACAGTGCGCACACCAGGTCCTCGCCCGTGTTGTCCTGCGACGGAAGGGAGACGTGAGGCAGGAGGGAAAGAGAAGAGCAGGGCATAGTTAGCACCCTCAGCCTCCCTCACCACCTCGATGTAATCAAACACGTCGTATAAGACACACACCAGGTCCTCGCCCGTGTTGTCCTGAGGGGGAGAGGGAAAGGGGAAGAAGGGAAAGGGGGGAGGGATAGGAGAGTGTGTGTGGGTCGGGGGAGTGTGCAGTGAAGGGGGGTGGGGGGGTGCGTGTGTGCGGGTGGGTGGTGAAGGTGTATACACAATGTAGCAGCATCTCACCTGCAGCCAATGAACTAGTACCTTACCTGCAGCCAGAGCGTCTTGTAGTTAATCTCTTCGGGAAAATACTCGGGGCACACAAACCCCACGCAGTTCAGCACATGCGTGATCCCAGCCTCTTTAAGAACCTCCCTGCTTCTCGCTACAAAGTCGCTCCCCACATAAACATGCTCCAGCACTCTGCTACAGTCCTTTTCGAAAAACGCGAATTTATCCCGCCTGGCCTGCGCCTCCTGCGCCTCCCGCGCGAAATCCCGCTCCCCCCTGCTCCGCTGAAGCGCGCCCATGTCTAGTTTAAACCCCCCCGGGCCCCTTCCGGGCCTGTTCAGCCCCGGCACCTCGCGCCTGCTCGCCAAGCCTCTTCCCGAGCCTGCAGCTGCGGTTCGGCGGTTGATCAGGGATAGTCCCGGGGGGTGCTCCCCGCTGCTGGCGCTTCTCCGCGCGACGAGTCGGCGCGGGTTGCCCAGCGCGAGCGGGGGAGCGGGGGAGGCCTGCAGGGTGTCTAGAGACGCGCGCCCGGGGAGGACAAGACCGTTCCGCGAGTGAGGAGCTGGCGCGGGGGCGCAGGCAGAACCGGTCGCGGAAGCGGAGGCGGAAGGGGAGGCGGAAGGGGAGGCGGAAGAAGAGGCGGAAGAAGGGGAATCGGCGGAAGGTTCAGGCATCAGGATAGAGCCGTTTCCGCAACTCTCTGTGTGCCTGGGGCTTCCGCGGTCAGTAAAATCACCCGTGACTATAGGGCTCTGAGACTTTAATGGAGTAACTGGTGTAACCGCTGACATAGGGTCACTCGGGTTAGGGTTACGCAGCGTCGTTGCTGCTGCTGCTGTTGCTGCTGCTGCTGCTGCTGCTGCTGCTGCTGCTGGGGTGCACAATGCCTTTGCTGGTGAAACACGCAGCGACGTTGCTGCTGCTGGGTCAAGGGTAGGTGGGTTAGGGTCACTCGCGTTACTAACACGAATTGGGCCATGATCCGCTATAGACGCAGCCGCGCTGTTACTACTAGCCATGGGGTCGCCATCTCTTCGCTCGGGCTTGCCTGCTGCGATAAAAGCAGCATCGGTGCAGGAAGCGGGATCTACTGCTGAATCAGCGTCAACAGCAGCAGCAGCAGCAGCAGCAGAACCAACATTGGTAGCGGCATTAGTTGCAGCAGCAGCACGAGCAGCAGCGTCGTCCCCTGAGGTGCATTCAGAGATGATAGCCATTGTTGCCATTGATTCATCCCCACTACAGGGCTCGCATGTTTCGCCACCATCCGCAAAACCTGGCGGTGCTCCCGCGTGTCCTGCCACGTGTCCTGCCACGCGTTGCCTTGCGGTGAGCTCTCGAAAGGAATCTCTTCCATTGAACGATGCGGACTTCAGTCGCATCTTATGTCTTGCCACGTCATCGTCACGCCCTGCGTCGTCGGCATTCATGCTCGACGAGACAGAACGGCTGATCTCGGAGTTCCTTATTCTCGTTCCACCTTCCGAACCCCCTTCCGTCCCCCCTTCCAAATGCACCGCCGCTTCTGCGGACATGACCAAGGAGTAAACTTTCGAGGCGCCTTAAAATTATGACCGAGGATAAAACCACCTGCGCGTCCTAGCGTGCAGTCCTCAATGTTTGATGCAGCTTTATCAAAAGGTGCAGGGAGGAAAATCTGTGCAGATCAACGGCTGTAATTAGTTGGCGGAAAACACGAAATGCTGTCGTTCCTAGCTGTTAGCTGTTGCCAGTAAACTCTTAAAACTGATATAGGCACTAGCACTACGAGTAACGACGTTACGGCGTCAAGTTACGTCGGTTACTAAGAAATGACACAATGGACGCAGCAGGCGATTTTGAGGATTCTAAGAAATCGAGGTGACAATGCACGAGCAAGCGAGCACCTCTCGTCCATCAAGCAAGCACGTCACCGAAAGAACGAATGACTGAAAGCAGCAATAGCCGGCTAGGCTTGCATACGGAGAATGGTGACCACAGGAGGAGGTAAGTTAGCAGGTCAAGGGAATTAACTAATGGGGAATACTATACGTCCATCCATACCTAACCTGTTGCCTAAACTGACGGATAATCATGGAGGGCATTGCTGTATTTCCTGGTTCAATCATGAGGAAGGTCGTTCATGGTGATGTACGGTGCAGCGTGGTTCAATGCAACACGCCGTCCAAACATGTTTCTACAGTCATGGCGACCACCTGAGGTTTGCTCTCTGTGTGGGGGGTTTTTCGATTCGATTCGGCGCACATCCAACTCTGCCCAGGGCGATGCAAAAATACTTAGGGAAGGACCGGGCATGGGATGGGACTTTAGGAGGCGTCAACCCTACAAAAGGGGTGCTCTCTCGAGCTGTTTATTTGAGCTGTTTTCTATTGATGCCTCAGGAGCCAGCAGAGTTTCAATGAGAGTGGGGTTAATGTTTTTTTCGGCAAGGCCGTCGCTGCCCTAATTGCTCCCTTCCATGGTGACCATGGCAAACCATCACTTTACAGAAGGCATTTACCCCACCAACGACTGCAGCGCCCTTGGCCCAACCAAACCCACGCCAAGCCTAGCCTGTGGTTCGGCTTGACCTACAAAGAGCAGACAAGGCACCTGACCTGCGACAGGTCTCGCGTGTACGGAGAAGCTATACCCGTGTTGAGCATACCATCGTGGATGGCCAAGGCTGATTGAGTCATTTGACGTGGTAATTGTTGTATTACAGTTCGCCTTCCGTGATCACATATTTTCCAACCAAATCCTTTTCAATCCTCACTCGATACGAGCACGCTCAAGTCCCACAGCTTTTTCCAATGTGCATCCTTTCTGCTGCTTCCCATAGCTACCAACTGCTAGCGGTACTAGCATTCGACGCGTCAATTGCGCGGATCCTGACTCCGACATTTTCAAACCAGAATGGGTTTCGGAAGTAAGAGCTCCGCCTGGCTTGCCTTGTCTCTTAACCCAATGTGACCTCGCGCCAGTTTCGCATTTTTCTTAAAATGAGTAACTGGCGAGTGTAGGTTGCAACATGAGGTCGCCCCAGTTGCAATGCAAAGGCGCGAAACCTGGACCCGCAACAATCCAATGCCGCATTTTGCATCATTTTCGGCAGCCAGACTTCGTCTATCACTCGCATCTCACCCACGCAACGACGCCTTGTTCCACTTTCGCCATTGATCGCAGGCCGAACCATGGTAACCCGAGCGCTGGACAAGGCGTTCTACGAGTTCGCGGAGTTGGACCGCACGCCGGACCACGAGGGCCGGCAAGTCATCAACGCCGCGGAGCTCTACGCCTGCGTGCTGCTCGCGTACAAGTAAGCAATGCAATGCGCTGTGGCCCGTGGGGCAGTGCAACGCGTAGCGTGTCGGTCGGCAAGGCGAACCAACCTCCAACATAGCGGAGCAGTGCAAGGCACTGCAAGGCCGCAAACGCCTGTTAGAAGGTAGCGTGAAGGTTATAAGGGCGTACGCAGCGCCTGTAAATAGGTAGCGCCATGCCGGCGACGAGCAGGTAACGTGACCCTTTGCTTTTTATGCTTGCGTGCTGCCCGTTTATCAGTGCCTTGCGGCATTGTTCAACAACGCTCACTAGTAAAATCTCAACCACAATGACATTGTGACTAAGTGCCTTTTCCTGACATTGTTTCTAGAACCTTCTGTTTCCCAACCACCCTGTGTTGCCAGTTATGTGAATAAGTTCTCCCCAGGGTCGCACCTGGATCCCCCCGAGAAGACAGAGGTGTTCAGAATGATGCAGGTGAGCATAGGGAACCAGGGCATGGCTCGCGGTAACCAGAGCAAGCAGAAGTTGTAACTCAGCAGAAGCAACCATACCATAAGAAGCATAAGGGCGAATTCCTGGGCCCGGACACCATCCGAAGTTAGCCCACCTGAATGGTTTTGGTGTGAGGATGGTGTCCGTGTGGGGCAGGGCCCCACTCTGGACAGTTGGCAGGGTCCGTCAGGGGTTGACTGTCGCACGCGTCAATTTTGTTCGCGACCAATCAGGGTGTCCCGAGATAGGCTGTAGTCCAGCAGCGACAGTCCTTGGGGCGCCAAAATGAAACGGCCAGCTCTAACTTTCGGGCACTTGTAAAAACAATGACCGCGTAATGTTCGATAGTGTTTGCGTGAATACATTCTGTATTGAAATTACAATCACTGCACCAATATTGATGGCCACACCGGGGCAGCGAAATCATCGAAAGTGAACACATTACACTCTTGACAGCTGAGCTGTCTTCAGAGCATTGGATAATGGAAAGATCGCACAGCAAAACACTTGACGTGCAAACTGGTCGCACATCCACTGGCCGGTTGAGATGAACGTGTCCAGACCCCGGACCGCGTGGCCGAACATTCAAATGTGATTTTCGACATTGCGGACCGCGTGGCAGTACTTCGGATGGTGTCCGTGCGTAGGAATGCGATCTAAGTGTCAACAGCCACATGAAGCAAGTCCATGCTGCTTGTCCGTGTTATTGCATGGGGCAATTTCCGTATTTCCATCCATCACCTGAACCACAACCGTGCAACTAGGTAAAGTGTCCTGCAACCACATTCTCGGGCAGCGTTTCACGTTCAACTCTGGTTTTCTGCTTGCCTGCCTATTCCCTGCCAGACGTTCGACCTGAATAGCGATGGCGTGTTGGACCGTGCCGAGTTTGAGCGATTCGTGGAGAGCTTCGGCAAGAACTTGACAAGGCGGGCGATCGTCAATTCTGTTGCCGTGTGCGCTGCTGTTCCAGCTCTCGTGTTTCTGACCAAGGCGTCCCTCAAGGAGTTTGAACCAACGCACAAGATCGGGAAGAAGATCCCTTCGTCCTTGTTAGCTTGTGTTTTCACTACCGTATGTAAGCTCGCCGGTTTGTGGTAGTTGCAAACGTGGTAGCAGCAACATTATCACTGACAATGATTTGCCTGTGCTAAGGCACACGCTGACCCACCACTGACACCAGTATCGTAGGTAAGAAGGCTATTGTGTCTGTAGCTGATGCTTGGTACCGTATCATAGACACTTTCAATGGGCAAATGTACGTGTGGTGTGGACGTACAACTCTTGGAACATACCACGGCAAAGTAAAAGGGGGTTTCATTGCAATGAACATTGAGGAGCAAGCTGTTGTGTTTGTCAGTCAGTGTATTTTGCTAGAATAGCTCCTGCAATCACCCAGCATACCGTAACATATAAACAGCATAAGCTAGTCATAAGCAGGTCACCTTAGTTTAGGGTCTTGTATAGCAGCTCTCACCTTCTTGTATGATGTCAAGTCTTTCAATTTGCGATCTCCGTGTGCCACCGAGGAAGTTGGTATGGAGGCAAGTCTTATTCCCTATCATCCCGCCAATTCCTTGGGCGAACCGTCGTCAGGGATGCAGGTGTTCGGCGCGTGTCTAGATTTTTTTTGCCAAAAGGAGGTGATGCCCAACGCAGCTTTTCCGAGCCTCACCCCAAAAATGTCAGGTCGAGCCAGTGAGTCACCAAGCCTCCGGCTCGGCACCTGCACAGCCAGCTTATTGGTTGCCTTGGACATGGCAACCGTTCCCGCTTGTGGGAAATTGCCCAGGCTCGGCAAACAAGAAGGCTTTTCCTCTCTGACAGGGTCCCTCTCATCGAGTGCTCTGATTGATGGGCATCATCAGAAACCAATCATGATCGAGCAGCGAGCGACCCCGTCCCCGTGACATTCCCAAGGCCACCCCACCCCATCAACATCACGCCCCTCTCGCAAAAATGATGACTGGGCTGGGCTGGCTAGATGCTTTCCCGTCGCCAGGTAAAATTCTTCCCTCCATTTCCCTGAATGCCTGCCTGCAAGCTCCTGCAGTTTCGGCAGGCATTTGGGAGTTCTGAAAACCAGCCACATCTGACAGAAGTTGTCGTTGCTGGACGATTTTCTAGAGCCATAACTGATCAGTAATGTTATGAATTCCTGGTCATAGTTCCTTCATGCGATCCCTCGGGTGATGGCGCTTCTGACCGTTCTGTCCGTTCCAGAGCCGTTTGCATGAGCGATCAGACCTGAAGGCTTTCTTCCTGTGTTGCTCTCGATCAGGCTAAGTGATTCCTCTACTGACCAGCCTGATCACTTACAGAGTTCAGGACGGCACCTAGCCCCCACTCTGACATTTGAGAGTTTATTACTTGCTTTATAATATGTAACTTAATCCGAACGCAACTATAGATTTTCTGAGCGTTGCTGCGCGTAGTGTGAGGTAGTGTAGTACCTGGAGCCGCTACTGCCGAACGCATTGTTTATACGAGCTATATGGTGAGCATCTCGTCTATAGAGTTTCGTTACTTACCGTTTTGTAGAACATCCTCTGTTGCTATTCTAAGCTCTGCATATCAGGCGCGGAGAAAACAGTCCCTCGCCAACGTGTTGGCTTCGAGACAACCTCTACTTCACACGACGACATCTTTTCTTCCTGTCAAGCTTCCGAAGTTTAAACAGGGTAAAAGTTGTTCCTTCAGACAGCTTGACTTTGTCTCATTGTCGACGTATTGCACACAACCCTGATTTGAGTTCTTGCCAGAACCCAATCTCGGCTCGGTGTATCTTCGGAAGCTTGACATCAGCAGCTGCAGCAGGTTCAACATCAGAAGCAACAGCCTCCCTCCGCTTCCCCCCAGGTTCAAGTTTCTCAAGGGTGTTATGCACCAGCAACAGGAGACACGGTCCATGGCTCCCAATCAGCTCCAAGCACAACCGCTTCAGCACTGGCAGAACCAACCCCCCCAGCAGCAGCAGTCTGGTTTTATGTCTCAGCAAATGCCATCCTGTCAGCCGCCTTTCCAGCAGCAGAGCTCTAATCAGCAACGGAGTCTTCCGCAGCAACCACAGCAGCCAGCACAGCAGCAGCAGCCACAAAGCAACTATCAGTCGTCGCAAATGCAATTTCAGCAACAGCCTCAGCAGGTTTCTCTACAGCAGGCCCAGCAGTACCAGCAGCCGGCGATGTATCAGCAGCAGATGCAACAACCGCAGCAGCAGACCTTCCAGCCGCAGCAGCAAGCGTTTCAAGCACAGCAGCAGGCTTACCAGTCGCAGCAGCAAGCGTACCCACAGCAGCCACAACCGCAGCAGCAACAAGTATACCAGACGCAGCCTCAACATCAGCCACAGGCGAATTTCCAGCCCCAGCAGCTACAGCAGCAGTATCAACAGCAAAACATGTACACCCAGCAGCAGCAACCCGGACCAGTGCCTCAACCCAGCGTCTACCAGCAGCAGCCTCAGCCGCAGCAGCAGCAATACCAGCCAGCTCAGCAGCCTCAAGCGCAGCAGATTTATCAGATGGATCAGCCTCAGATGCAGCCATCCCAAGCACCGCCTATGCCAACCGCGGTCACCCAACAGCTCTCGGCTCCTCAGCCGCTACCAACCCAACAGCAGCAACTGCAGCAGTTCCAGCATCCTCAATACAACCCTCTGCAGCAGCAGCAACAGCCTCAGCAGCAGCAGCCTATTTATTCCTCACAGGTACCTGTGCCTCCGTTTCAGAACCAAGCGCCAGTAGCACCAGCAGCAGCGCCTCCTCAGTACAATCCTGCGGCGTCCGCCAGTGGCAGTCAGATGAACGTAAGCCCTCCACCCCAGCAGCCATTCCAACAACCGCTGGCTCAGCCGCAGCCGCAGATGCAGGGGATGCCTGTGCAGGCGACATCTATGCAGACGACATCTATGCAGGCGACGCCGATGCAGGCGACGACGATGCAGGCGACGCCGATGCAGGCGACGGCAATGCAGGCGATGCCTATGCAAGCGACGCCTATGCAGGCGACGCAAATGCCCTCTCACGTGCCAAGCCAAGCTCCCATGCAAGGTACGCACTAGCCCGCAGTCGGCACCGTTGTCCGTATCCCATGCCAGTGCACGTTAACGCGATCGCTCGCCGCAAATTATGAGCTCGCGTTTCTTGTGGTTGCGCGTGTTCCGTGCGTTAGACTCACTTTCCTGTAACGACGCGTTCTGTAACTCTCCCTGTGCGCAGTGGAGTCGGGCGCGTGCGGGCCGTTCACGGTGGCGCAGTGGCAGGAGCTGGAGCAGCAGGCGCTCATCTTCAAGTACCTCGTCGCGGGAGCCCCTGTTCCGCTGGAGCTCGTTTCGCGCGTGCGCTTGTCCATGCCGCCGCTGCCATTCGGCCTTCAGACTTTTCATCCTATGGGAGCCTTTATGCCATGTATGTATGCCGAAGCAGGATGCCTTGTCCAACAGCTTTCCAACAGCTTCATGCGATCATCATGATCGTTTTTTGCTGTATTTCCGTGTGGCAGCGCCTTTTTACCGTGCCATTGTTGCGATTAGTTTGTTGCTTAGAAATAACGTGTTTTTGTTTTTTTTGCGTTCCGTGTGTGGTTGCAGCGTTCTGGGGGCCGTCGATGCAGGTGGATCCGGAGCCGTTCAGATGTCGCCGGACAGATGGCAAGAAGTGGCGGTGCGCCCGCGAGGTGCGTTCCTCTACCTGCTTCTTATTCCATGGTCATGCCACCCCCCTTCTCTTGTCTTCCCTCCCCTCCTTGCACTCCGTTTTTTATTTCCCGCATGTCGATTTCTGTACCTGGATGTTTCCGTGCAAAGTGCTTAACGTTCCCTTTCATATTGTCATTTCCCGTCCTGCCCTCGCTCCATCGTGCCCTCGCGCCCACGCGTCCACGCGCATCAGGTGGTGGCGGAGCAGAAGTACTGCGAGCGCCACTTGCACCGCGGGCGCAACCGAGCGCGCAAGCTCAACGACAAGGCCACGCCCGGAACCTCCCTCGTGGCTGACGACGGGGAGACCACCCCCACAGCCACCACTGCCACCACCGCCACCACCGCCACCACGGGCACTGGTGCCGCGGATGGCTGTCTCACGAGCGACGGAGTGAGAGCCATGGAGTCTGTGGACGATGGGCGGGGCGCCAGCACGGGTGTGATGGACGCTAGTGCAGGGGGGGCCGGAGTGGGGACTAGCGGTGGGGCTGGCGGGGTTGTTGACAGGGCGGGCAGTGCGTCGAGTGGCAACAGCAGTGGAGACGCTGTGTCTGCGGGAAGGGAGAACGACGCGTGTGGACGGAACGAGGGAGGGCGAGTGGAGGGGAATGGTTGTGGGAAGAAGAGTGGGATGGCGGGTGAGGGTAATGAGAGAAGGGAAGGCAAGCGGTGTCAGGGTGTGTTGGTGGCGTCAGCCTCTGCTGCTGGTGCGGCTTCTGAGCCTGCAGGTGTCGTCTGTGTGCCTGCAGCCGTCGTGTGTGTGTCTACTACAGATGTGATTTCCCCAGTGCCTTTGCCCACAGGAGTGGTGTCTGTGGTGTCTACACCCACAGGGGCAGTGGCAGGCGGACACCCTCCTCCTCTTGCTCTCCCACCCCCTGCTCATGCTGTGGAGGGCCGCGCTCAGCAGGTGCCACAGCAGCACCAGAACCAACAGCAGCAAAGGTTGCCTGCTGGTTCCCCTCTGGCTGGGTCCCTGCCTGGAGTTGTTTCCGTGGTACAGTCAAGCCCGAAACTAACCCAACCTGGAAGCTCCACTCAACCCAACACACTTGCTTCTCCGCCTGCTGTCGGCCCTGCTGTTGTTGCTGCCATGGCTGGTGCATCGCCAAAGCAGCGGGAAACGGGGAGCATGCAGGGATCCACCAAAATTAGTGGGTGAGTGAAGCCTGGACCATGGCATTTCCCCGCTGGTTAGTTCTCCTGGATTTCAGACTTCTAACTACCTGTCTGCTTGTGTTCCTTGCACTGTGCAGATCGACTGTGCATGACAGTGCTGCTGCTACGCTCATGAAAGGGGACAAGCCCATTGGCGCTGCTCCAATGGATGTGGATGCACAGAAGCAAGGGAGCCAGGTAGTTGCCAATAGAGTTGTTGCTTCACAGGCAAGATCCGATGCGGGTGTACGAAAGGAGGTGGACGGGCCAACTGGTGTGACTGCGGGCTGTAACGATGGAGGTTGTTATTGTTGATGGGAAGGACGCCTGCCGCTTGGTGCCTGGCGAGGGAGCGAAGATGGGCCAACTTGATCATATGCGTTCCAGAGCATCTCCTAATGTAAGTCACGTTGTCAAGCCACGCTTGGGTGTTTGTAAGTCGAGGCAAAATACCATTTTGTGAGTAGGTTACTCATTCTCGTTTCCTTGTTGTGTTTGCAGTGTGTGCTACCATCCCCGTTTCATGGTTCGGATGGTGGGAGTGGTGCACAGAGCCCAGTGGACATCTCTCCACTTGGGCCTGTCCCGGTCGCAGCATCAAATGAAGCGGTGAAGCATCAGTGAGCGATAACAGAAATATAGCGTGCATCATATTTCAAGTTATACAAGGACCTTATTAACTCCACACCAATAGCGCCATACTTCGTGCCAACTAGGCTAGTATGTGTCTCTAACTAGGTAGAGAGATCAACGATATGGGACCTGTTTGATTTATTCCCTTGCTGGATTGATTGCCCTGATCTGAGCCTGTATTCTTATTCAGGCCAGTTGGCTTGGAAACACGACAATTCTCTTCCCAGAAAAACGGCTAGCAGGCTCGAAGTGCCCTTTACATTGTACGCCTTATAGGCAGACAACCGTTGGCATTGGTATGAGTACAGGCAGGCTCGGGAATTTCGCAGCGTTCTGGTCGAACCCATCCTTCCGAAGCCACGTTTCACCAGTTGCGTTGCGAGCGAGCCGGTTCCCTGATGTCAGTCACACCATTGGTTGGGCACCACAAGGCTTTTTTGTCATATCCCAACCGAACTAATTGGTAGGTCATAACTACATGCCATAATTATATGGCAACCTGAAGACATAGGCAGTTCAGTTTAGCAAGCTCTGCAGTGGCTATTCTGCAGTGGCTATTCTGCATTGTATTGCTATCTCTCGAAGGGAGTTATGTGCGACTCGCATCACTAGCATCGACCATATCTTTTGCTATTCGCGAGATTTCTGCGTTTTCATCCAGATGACTGCCGTCCTAAAAAAATTACAGAATTGAGCACGAAGCGTCGGTTCCCGTGACAGCCCGGTAAAGTACCGACAATGGTGGCAATCACACGCCTTATAAACGTTCGTTACTGATTGCCTGATGCGTCTTAGCTCGTAGTGCTCCTAGCAGCAGGACTGCTACAATCCCAGGCTGCTAGCAGCCCGACGGCCCGTCCATTCTTATCCCGGTTTTGTGAAGGATCAGATGCAATGTCGTTCTTCTCGAGGCTTATAAAGGGGTCGCGTGTATCGGAGGATCTGGACCAGGAGTACCCCGTGAGGAAAGACGTTGACGTCACTCAAGTCAGCAAGTTCCGTCCCCGGGTAAGGAGACGAAATCAAATTCCTAGTAGAGAAAACTAGTTTTGAAGGAGAAATTGAGTCATAGAGGGGGAGATAAGTCCTAGCTGGAGAAGGAAAGAGCGTCTTGGGGGAGAGCTTCGTAAGGGAGACGATCCGTGCGAGCCATTCTGACTCATTCCGTGCATCTTCAGGCAAATGACGAAGCTTTTCGGGCCGTCAGTCAACTTCAAGAGGCTACCTGTCAACCGCATCTGACCGTCAGTCAAGCATGTCAGACCGTCAGGCAATCTTTCTAGGCCGGCAATGAATGATATCAGACCGTCAGCAACCACATTCGGCCGTCAATTTATCATACGAGACCGTCAATCAACCAAAACCAAGGCCGACGATGGCACCAGGCCTTCAGCACCAAGCGCTTGACATCAGTAGCGTATCCTTCTCGTGCTTCCATCCGTAATCGCTCCTCTTCTCCTCTTTCCCCTCCCTCTCCCTTTTTCCCCTCCCTCTCGCTTTTTCCCCTCCCTTCCACTCTCTTCCGTCCTTCGCTCTCTCTTCGCCGCCCCCGTTACTATCACACACTGCGTGCAGGTGAAGAAGAGGCTGTCAGCGGAGAGATGGGAGGCGTGCCAAGACGAATTCGGCCGAGTGTGGGCCATTGATGCTGCGCTCAAGCACATACAGCGAGGGGTGCGTGCTTATAGCGAGGGGTGAGGGATGTGTGCTTGTTGCAAGGGAAGTGCGCTTATAGCGAAGGGGGGGTGCTTGAGGGGTGGGTGCTTATAGCGAGGGGTGTGCGCTTATAGCGAGGAGTGGGTGCTGAAACACACTCTCAGGGAAGCGGGTGGGGCGAGGAGATGATCGGCGAGGGTTTGGAGACATGGCATGTATGTCATGGGATGGTATGGCATGTATGTCATGGGATGGTATGGCATGTATGTCATGGGATGGTATGGCATGTATGTCATGGGATGGTATGGCATGTATGTCATGGGATGGTATGGCATGTATGTCATGGGATGGTATGGCATGTATGTCATGGGATGGTATGGCATGTATGTCATGGGATGGTATGGCATGTATGTCATGGGATGGTATAACGTGTATGTCATGGGATGGTATAACGTGTATGTCATGGGATGGTATAACGTGTATGTCATGGGATGGTACGGCATATATATATCACGTCCTCATGGTGTAATCACCACGGCCTTTCTCCTTTCCTTCCGTCTTTCTTTCTTATGTCTCCGCTTCCTTCTCTTTCTTCTTCCTTTCACCCGCTCCTTTTTCTTTCCTCCAACTCGTCTCAAAGTCACTCTCACGAATATTTCTATTCTTTCCCTCGCCCATTCCGGCAGGGCGTGGAGCCCAGCATTCGCGGCGAGGTGTGGCCGTTCCTCCTGGGGCTCTACTCGCCCTTGTGAGCGATTTATGAGAATTCTCAAAAATCTTCCCCGCATATCGCCCTCCTCCTGCTTCGCCCATTCCGGCAGGGCGTGGAGCCCAGCGTTCGAGGCGAGGTGTGGCCGTTCCTCTTGGGGCTATACTCTCCCAACAGCACCCACGAGGAGCGGGACGCCATGCGAGAAGCACGACGGTGAGATAAGCACGACGGTGAGAAAAGCACGACGGTGAGAGAGCCACGGCTGTGAGAGAAGCAGTGCAGTGAGGCATCATTTCTCCCTCTCCGCTCTCCATTTTCCACCAAGAGGCATCACACATTGCTACGAATCCACATCCGCATCTTCCTTTACATCCCCTCCCACTCCAAGCAGTGATTTCTACGCGAGGTTGAAGCAGGAGTGCAACGAGGTGGATCCGGTGGTGGGCAGTGGCGTGGTCGTGGACTTCCCTTCACCTACCCCCCACCCCCTCCTCCCACTGCCGCTGCTGCTGGCGCTGCTACTGGTGGTGGTGCTTCTGCTGCTGCTTCCAACCCCCCTCCGCCCTCCCCTCCGTCCCCCCCCTTCCCTCTCCCCTACCCCACTCCAAGCAGCGATTTCTACGCGAGCTTGAAGCAGGAGTGCAACGAGGTGGATCCGGTGGTGGGCAGTGGCGTGGTGGTGGACTTCCCTCGAGTGCTCGAGGACGGCTCTGACGTCCCCCTCCCCTCCTACTACCCACGCCCCTGCTCCGCTGCCGCCGCCGCTGCTGCTGCTGCTGCTGCTGCTTCTGCCCCCGCTGCTGCTGCTGCTGCGTCTAACCCCCGTCCGCCCCACCCCCCCTTTTCTTCCCCCTCCCCCCACCACCACCAACAGGGATTTCTACGCTCGGTTGAAGCAGGAGTGCAACGAGGTGGATCCGGTGGTGGGCAGTGGCGTGGTGGTGGACTTCCCCCGTGTGCTCGAGGACGGCTCAGACGTCCCCCTCCCCTCCTACTACAATGGGCCCCATATCGACGACCCTTCCTCCACACATATAGATGCGAATGGAGGAGGGAGGGATGGGGGAGGGGGGGGAGGAGGAGGAGCAGCAGGGAGGGGCGGTGGGGAGGGGCAGAGTGCGGTGCTGACGGAGCGGGAGAGGCTGGTGGGGCGGGTGGGGGAGGAGCGGGTGCGCAAGTGGCGGCTGGGGCTGCATCAGATAGGAGTGGACGTGCAGAGGGCGGACCGCACGCTCGTGTTCTACGAGGAGGAGGGGAATCGGTCACGTCTGATGGAAGTTTTGGCTGTCTACTCGTGGTTCGACCCCGATGTGGGGTACTGCCAAGGTAGGAGAAACGCGCTCTAAGGTTGGTTGGGGGGGTGCACGCATGCTGGCTGGGGCTGCAGCAGATAGGAGTGGACGTGCAGAGGGCGGATCGCACGCTCGTGTTCTACGAGGAGGAGGGGAATCGGTCACGTCTGATGGAAGTTTTGGCGGTCTATTCCTGGTTCGACCCCGATGTTGGGTACTGCCAAGGTAGGAGAAACGCGCTCTAGGTTGGGGGGGTGCACGCATGCTGGCTGGGGCTGAAAGCAAGTGGCGCCTGGGGCTGTAAGCAAGTGGCGGCTGCGGCTGCATCAGATAGGAGTGGACGTGCAGAGGGCGGATCGCACGCTCGTGTTCTACGAGGAGGAGGGGAATCGGTCACGTCTGATGGAAGTTTTGGCGGTCTATTCCTGGTTCGACCCCGATGTTGGGTACTGCCAAGGTAGGAGAAACGCGCTCTAGGTTGGGGGGGTGCACGCATGCTGGCTGGGGCTGAAAGCAAGTGGCGCCTGGGGCTGTAAGCAAGTGGCGGCTGCGGCTGCATCAGATAGGCATGGACGTGCAGAGGGCGGATCGCACGCTCGTGTTCTACGAGGAGGAGGGGAATCGGTCACGTCTGATGGAAGGTTTGGCGGTCTATTCCTGGTTCGACCCCGATGTTGGGTACTGCCAAGGTAGGAGAAACGCGCTCTAGGTTGGGGGGGTGCACGCATGCTGGCTGGGGCTGAAAGCAAGTGGCGCCTGGGGCTGTAAGCAAGTGGCGGCTGCGGCTGCATCAGATAGGCGTGGACGTGCAGAGGGCGGATCGCACGCTCGTGTTCTACGAAGAGGAGGGCAATTGCTCCCGCCTCATGGAGGTGCTTGCTGTGTACTCGTGGTTCGACCCTGATGTTGGGTTGCCAAGGTGGGATGGGCGACAGGTGATGGGTGCTGTCAAGGTGGGATGGGTACTGCCCCTCATGGCAACCGGTCTCGCCTCATGGAGGTGCTGGCTGTGTACTCGTGGTTCGACCCCGATGTGGGACTGCCAAGGTGGGATGGGGATGGGCGAGGGGTGATTGTGGTGGTAGGGTGCTGCCAAGGTGGGTGCTGCCAAGGTGGGTGCTGCCAAGGTGGGTGCTGCCAAGGTGGGTGCTGCCAAGGTGGGTGCTGCCAAGGTGGGTGCTGCCAAGGTGGGTGCTGCCAAGGTGGGTGCTGCCAAGGTGGGTACTGCCAAGGTGGGTGCTGCCAAGGTGGGTGCTGCCAAGGTGGGTGCTGCCAAGGTGGGTGCTGCCAAGGTGGGTGCTGCCAAGGTGGGTGCTGCCAAGGTGGGTGCTGCCAAGGTGGGTGCTGCCAAGGTGGGTGCTGCCAAGGTGGGTGCTGCCAAGGTGGGTGCTGCCAAGGTGGTATGGGTGGGTGGTGGCTTCCGTTCCCTTCTCTCGCCCCGCAACCGCCCGTCACATGGAGTCTTGAGCGACCTTATGCCACCCACCCTTTATCGTCACCTCCCCCTCTTCCTTTCCCCCCCATCCTTGTTTCCCACCACCCCTCGCCCCTTCCCGTCAACCTCAGATGCATTTCCCCGTGCCCATTGCATCAACTCCCTTCCTTCTCCCTCCCTACCAACCCCCTATGGCATGTCGTGCAGGCATGAGCGACCTCATGTCGCCCTTCATCGTCACCTTCCCCAACAACGCTGATGCCTTCTGGTGCTTCGAACGCCTGCTGCGCCCCATTGTAGGTCCATGGACATGGGGGGGAGGAGGGAGGGAGGGAGGGAGGGAGGGGGGGGAGGGAAGGAAGCAGGCATGAGCGACCTCATGTCGCCCTTCATCGTCACCTTCCCCAACAACGCTGATGCCTTCTGGTGCTTCGAACGCCTGCTGCGCCCCATTGTAGGTCCATGGACATGGGGGGGAGGAGGGAGGGAGGGAGGGAGGGAGGGGGGGGAGGGAAGGAAGCAGGCATGAGCGACCTCATGTCGCCCTTCATCGTCACCTTCCCCAACAACTCTGATGCCTTCTGGTGCTTCGAACGCCTGCTGCGCCCCATTGTAGGTCCACGGACATGGGGGGGAGGAGGGAGGGAGGGAGGGAGGGAGGGGGGGGAGGAAAGGAAGGAGGGAACCAAGGTGTGGATAGTATGTGCCCTTCGATGCCCTTCTTATTCTTTGCATGTGTGGCAGAGAGGAGATCTTCTCGCCTCTATCTCTTATCCCTCTTATTTTCACTCTCCTTTGCAATTCTGCCTCCCTGACCGTGTGTGCATGTCTTGTCTTTCCTGTACCCGGGTGCACATCTCGCCCTGTGCGTGCCGTGCAGCGGAGCGACTTCATGGGCACGTCAGCCAGCATAGGCGTGCAGAAGGAGATCGATAACCTCAAGAGCGGGTTCTGAGGCGCCCCTGAACTCACCTTGCCCTGTGCGCGCATCTCACTCTGTGTGCGCGCCTTGCCTTGCCCGTGCATGTGCCATGGCAGCGGAGCGACTTCATGGGCACGTCAGCCAGCATAGGCGTGCAGAAGGAGATCGATAACCTCAAGAACATCACGCGTGTGCTCGATCCTGAGCTGTTCGCCCATCTAGGTACGTATCTAGTCGACTAGGCGTGGCTGAACCTTGTGTGTGCTGTGCACCCACCCGCACAAGTACAGCACCCTCAAGAACATCTCGCGCGTGCTCGGCCCGGAGCTATTCACCCATCTAGGTACTATCCCGTCTGGGTAGATGCTACTAGGTGTTGTATGGTTACGCATGTGTGCATCCACAACCTTAAGAACATCACGCGCGTGCTCGACCCTGAGCCATTCGCCCATCTAGGTACCTACTGACTCGAGTAGTGCAAGGCAAGGTAGGTACCAGGTACTTACTAGCCCCATCATGGCCTTGACTTTGTATCCATGTTCTTCACAGTGCGCCCCATCATGTCTCTCCTTCTATGCCTTTCTACCCCCTGCTGCTGCCTCTTACAGACGAGATAGGAGCGGGTTCCATGTTCTTTACAGTGCGGCCCATCATGGCCATGTTCCGCCGCGACCTCTCTCTATCATACCCTGTGTATGCTCCAACGCAACCTCCCCATTCCCACACTGCCTCTTCCAGACGAGATAGGCGCGGGGTCCATGTTCTTCACTGTGCGCCCATCATGGCCATGACTCTATGCTGTCTGCCTACCTCCCTCCCTGTGTGCTCTCACTCAACCCCCCTACCAACCCTCCATCCCCCTTGCAGACGAGATAGGCGCGGGGTCCATGTTCTTCACTGTGCGCCCATCCATCGTGGCCATGGCTTTATGCTGTCTGCCTGCCATCCCCCTTGCAGACGAGATAGGCGCGGGGTCCATGTTCTTCACTGTGCGCCCATCCATCGTGGCCATGGCTTTATGCTGTCTGCCTGCCATCCCCCTTGCAGACGAGATAGGCGCGGGGTCCATGTTCTTCACTGTGCGCCCATCCATCGTGGCCATGGCTTTATGCCGATCCAATTGCCCCCCTCTTCACAATCTCTATGTTCCCATCATATCCCCTCGCTGAGCATCAGACGAGATTTTAGCTGGTTCCATGTTCTTCACAGTGCGCCCCATCATGGCCATGACTCTCCCTGTCCACCACCCCCCTCCATCCCAACCTCAATGCTCCCACCACCCCACACCGCATGCAGACGAGATAGGCGCCGGCTCCATGTTCTTCACAGTGCGCCCCATCATGGCCATGTTCCGCCGAGAGCTCTCCTTTGCCGACTCCATCTACTTTTGGGAGGTACCACTGCTGCCTCACTTGCTATTCTTAGCAACAACTGCCATTTTTGGAAGGTTCCGCACTGCCTGGTTTGCTAGTAAAGTCCTGAAGGACTTGGAGCACTGTCCTGTTCTGACTGCTTGTGCTTCTGAGAATTTGGGAGGTGTTGCCTATTTTGGGAAGTACTAACTATTTCCTGTTTTAGCTTACGTACGCCTGACTCGCCAGGTCCCTTTTTGGCCTGTCATGTCCCATTATAGCCCTGCACTCTCCCTCACCACTCCATCCCCTCTTCTCTATCCCCCTCCCCTCGAAATAATGTGGGCGTGGGACTATGACTCCCAAGCTGCACACTCTCCTTATGCACTTCCTTCTCCCCTCTCCCTTGCTACCTTCCCCTCCAGATGATGTGGTCGTGGGACTATGACGCCCGGGACGCCGATCTACTAGCCATGGCGGACCAGTCCGTGCTACAACACACCATGCACCTCCCCCACTCCACCACCTCCCCACATGCACTCCAATTCCTCATGCTTTCAACATGCCTTCTCCATGCCTTCTCCATGCCTTCCCCCCTCCAGATGATGTGGGCGTGGGACTATGACGCGCGCGACGCCGATCTACTAGCCATGGCGGACCAATCCGTGCTTCGTCACACCATGCCCTTCCCTCACTCCACCACCTCTCCCCACGCACTCTCCTTTCCACATACTCTCCCCATACCTTCCGCATGCCTCCCTCCCCCTCCCGCTCCCCTCCAGATGATGTGGTCGTGGGACTATGACGCGCGGGACGCCGATCTACTAGCCATGGCGGACCAATCCGTGCTTCGCCACACCATGCACTTCCCCCACTCCACCGCCTCCCCCCACGCCCTCCACCAAAACTCGTTCGCGGCCGCCACCACCGCTGCTGCAGAAGCAGCTGCAGCAGCCGTGGCAGCGTGTGAGGGCTCTGGCCTGGAAGCGATCCCGTCTGGTGCGGCCAAAGCTGCTGCCAAGGCTGCTGCTGCCGAAGCTGCTGCGGTGGCTGTGACGTCCTCTCAGGGATCCGGGGCGGATGGGGTGACGCCTGGTGCGGCCCGGATGGCTGGTGCTGCGGCTGCAGTGGCGCGGGTTGCTGGGCGAGAGGAGGAGGGGCAGCAGGGGGGGAGAGGGAGACCAGGTAGGGTTTGAAAGCATTTCAATATGGTGAGTTTTTCGAGACAACTTGAATGATGGAGTTTGCGGCGCATTTTTCTAGTTGTCGTGAAAATATTGGAGGAGGAAGGTTGCATTTTGGGAGCACGTATGGGGTGGAGGTTAGGGTGTTTAGGCAAGCCAGCATGTGTTATGTGAGTGATGCTATGTGATGGCGATGTAGTGAGGCACCCCATTATCCCATGCCATCACCCCATGCTATGACCCCACACCCCATGCCATCACACCCCATGCCATCACCGCATCATCACACACCATCACCCATTATCACCCATCATCACCCCTGCAGGCACACGGTCCACTGCTGCTGCATGGGCGTCTGTGGAAGCAGCAGTCACCTCAGGCGCCCTCACCGACACCAAAAGGAATTCCTCCTCCGACCCTGTGTCCTATCACCCCATACCATCACCCATCATCACCCATACAGGCACACGCTCCACCGCGGCTGCATGGGCGAGTGTAGAAGCAGCAGTCACCTCAGGCGCCCTCACCGACACCAAAAGGAACTCCTCCTCCGACCCTGCCGGTGCCACTGCCGGTGCCGGTGGCGGCAGTGCTGCTAATTCCCGAGCCAGCACCCCCTCACTTCCCACCAACCGCCTCCCCTCCAGAAAGCACCACTGCGAACGCAAAATCCCCGCCGCCGCCACCACCACCGCCACCACAACCAACAGAACAAGCAGCCACGCAATCGACAGTGCTCGCTCCCGTAGCTGGGCAGGCGTGGGGCCGTACAGGAAAGACGTGATTCGTTACGTGACTCTAGACGCGTCTGCAGGCAAGCTAGCTGCTAGTAAGAGTGCCAAGTACCTCTCCTCGCCGCGCTCTGCTGTGGCTCTCTGGCACAAGGCGCAGAAGCTCGCAGGGCCCGTGGGTACGGCCGCTGCTACCGCTGCCATGCCGGCTGATACTGTCGCGTTTGCTGTCTCGGCGTTTGCCGGCCGACCAATCACACCGTCGTATGCTGCCGGTGCCGGTGGTGCCGGTGCCGGTGCTGCTGCTGGTGGTGCTGCTGCTGGTCCGGTTTCGGTGCCGCCGCAGCTGCATCTGCCTCCGAGGGCTCATCGACGGACAGGATCGTTCGGGCTGGGAAGACGGGGCAGCAAGAAGCACGTTGACGCGCCCGTTTCCCCCACACCACAGCAAGCAGCCTCAGTAGCAGCAGAAACAGCAGCAGAAAAAGCAGCAGAAGTAGCGACAGATGCAGCGGCGGCGGCAGCAGCAGAGGCTGGGGCGATAGTGCCCCCACAACCATCCGCCTTCTACGCTCTTCCAGAGTCGGCGGGGGTGGCGGTGCCGTATGTGCGGAGGGAGGAGCAGGAGCGCATGACCACGTTCTGTGTGCTCGCCATTGTGCTTAAACTGAGGGACGAGTTCATTGATGGCGCCTCTGGGCTCGACGATGTGGTGGATGTGAGTGTAACGGGGGGGAGGGAGGGGATAGAGGGGGGAGGGGATAGGGGTGAGGGAAGAGGGGAAGAGGGAGGAGCAGGAGCGCATGACCACGTTCTGTGTGCTCGCCATTGTGCTTAAACTGAGGGACGAGTTCATTGATGGCGCCTCTGGGCTCGACGACGTGGTGGATGTGAGTGTAACGGGGGGTTCGGGGTGGGGGGTTGTAGTAAGGGGGGAGAGAGGGGGCGGGTGGGGTTGGAGTGGTGAAGGCCAGGGTCCCAGGGGCTGGTTGGGTCATGCATGTGAGTGGAGGGTGGGTGGGATGGGCTGTGTGTGAATGGGTGGGGGTGGCGGTACTGTATGTGCGGAGGGAGGAGCAGGAGCGCATGACCACGTTCTGTGTGCTCGCCATTGTGCTTAAACTGAGGGACGAGTTCATTGATGGCGCCTCTGGGCTCGATGACGTGGTGGATGTGAGTGTAACGAGGGGGATGCGATTGGACGGTGTCGGGGATGCGAGCATGTGTGTATCCTCTTATCGCTTGTGCCCCCCCGCCCGCTTCTCCCGCTTGTGTGTCCCCACCTTCCCATGTGTCTCCCTCCCCTGCGAGTGTCTTTCAGAGCTTCAATGCAGCAGCCGGGTAGTGGGACGTGAAGAAGCTCTGTAAATGAGCAGTGGACATTCATTCTTATGCTTCACCAGGCACTGAACTCCTCTTCTTATGCCTCTCCCTCTCCCTCCCCCCTCTCCCCCTGCGAGTGTCTCTCAGAGCTTCAACGCAGCAGCGGGGTCATGGGATGTTAAGAAGCTCTGTAAACGAGCTGTGGACCTGCACCGCCAGTACCTTGTACTGGTATGTGCTTATAACGAGGCAGTGCCCTATTCTGCTACGTGCTTGTAACAAGGCAGTGCCGTGTATTCGTGTTTGCTACAGTGAGGATTCGCTCACATATATTCGCTATCATGCCACGCATCCACCTGTCTCTTGCCCTCCCTTTCCCCTCCCCCACCCCCCTCTCTTCCACAGAAACTGGCTGCGCATGAGCTAGGTCGGACCCTCTGATTTATGTGCTCGCTCGTCACGCAATTTCCTCCAGTGATTCGCATCTTAGTCAAGCCGTACAGCAGTGGCGGCTGAAGCCACTGCCCATGGCTCAAATTTTGGGCGTTTGTACACATATTTCTTTGTGAGTTGGTAGGAGCATGATTCTAGAAAGGCCAGAGTTCCAAATATGCCATGCCTGCACTGCACCCCTAGTTTTGGCTTATTACACAAGTGCCAGGAGTTGCAAATTGGCGTAGTGTAGATTTATGGTTTAACTGAACTTGGATTGTGTTTTATGTGCTCAGCACGAGTTCACACCACACACACCTTTGAGTGTAGGATGGACTTGCAACAGCTCTTTATTCAAGCGGCAACGTTCATTACTATCGGTATATGTTATCTTGGACGAACCCTCAGCGGTTCTCATCTCATTCTCAGCAGTTCTCACTTGGCTGAGCAGGTTGGCAATTCTCAGCAAGCCTCAGTGGCGCTCAGCAGTCCACAGCGGTGCTCAGTGGTCCTCAGCGGTGCTCAGTAGCAGACTAACAGTGCTCAGCGGTCCTCAGTGGTTCTCAGCGGTCCTCAAAGGAGATGAGCAGGGCCAAGCGGCGGTGCACCTGACAGCACACAAGTGGTGAGAAGAATGGTCCGGACGTTGAATGAAAGGACATATGGAACAAGACCACTGGAAAAGTCAAAGGTCACAGGTGGACTGCCTCTGAGCCTATTTTCGAGTCGACCCAAACATCAAATCAAATATCAGGCAATGATTGTGCTGCTGCTTCAGATCCTGTTCCACTTGAGGAGACAGCTTGTAAGGGGGATGCAAATCGGGGCTTTCTTTCAGGATACCCTCCAGTAGTGGCTGCTGAGGGGCCGATGGGTGCACGGTGGCGGATGGAGACGCATGCATGGACGATGGAGACCAAGGTAGGGATGCCGATTCTTGAAAGGAAGGTGAGATTGGAAGTGGTAACGAGAAGGAGAGAGGTGGCGAAGAGGTGGAGGAGGGAGAGGAGGAGGAAAAGGAAGATCCGAGCGCATCAGCAGGTGAGGCACGCTTTTCTTCTGATGCTGATAGGGATGAGGTGGATGTTGATGACGTGGCGCTGTCTGATTGGAGGAGCCTTTCGCACCGTTGGATGTGGGCTTCGATGCGAGCTGCCTTCCTCTGCAGCTGATCCCGCATCTTTTCCCGAGCTGCACGGTTCGCCTGCCCGCTCATCAGCTTTCTCCATTTCTTGCCCACTTCTTGCTGCCCCGAATTTCCACCTTCGTTCCAGTTCCCTCCTTCCCCCCTCCAGATAAACCCACTGAAGAACCACGAACTGTTGTGACTGCAGCAGGTGTGACTGCAGCAGGTGTGACTGCAGCATGTGTGTCAGCGGCAATGCCAGATGTGACTGTATCGAGAGGGGCAGCAGTGGCGGGTGGTTGGGGGTCGTACCAGTGGCGTGGCAGCCCAGCAGTGGCACGAGCGGCATGGTTGAACGGCCCTTTCACCCCATCGGCACACAGCGACCGAATCACACCTGCCCAGTGAAAGGGAGGAACGCAGTGGTGGGAGCATGCGCGGAGGGTCAGTCATACCCTAAAGCTTTTTTCTCCCTAGGAAAAAAAAACAGAATACCTGTAAAGGTCCGTCCTCACACTCACTTGTGAAGGACGTCTTCGGGTCCATGCCCATTCGCTCGCAGACCCAGACAAACCACGCCACCCCGACTGCCACGTGTGCCACCTCCTCCTGTGCTATCTTGGCCACCACCGCTGCACTCCTGTTATCTCCCAGTCCCACCAACCTCTCCACCAACCGTGGCCCTGCATCCAGGCCCCTCGCTTCCTGTTGAGATGGATGAAAGGAAGGAGCATGAACGAAAAGATGACTCGTGAGGAGTTTTTTTTTTTTTTTTTTTTAATTATTATAATATATATGTGGTGGGGATAATTTTCGGCAGAATTGAACAACACATGGACCGTGGACCCCTGCTGGTGGTTTAGACTTCCTCTTTCGAACTCCTCTCCTCCTTACCCCCTCTCATCCTCTCTTGCACGTGATTGGCCGACTTTTCACAGTCCCGCCAGAGCAGGTTGTGAGCCGGCATGTCCCCGTAGCTGCAGGTGGGGGGGAATTGGATAGGAGCAGTGGCATGACAACAGGAGAGAGATGAAGGGTTGTGCCATGACATGTAGGAGGGGTGAAGAACTAAGCATGCGCATCCCACCATGTGCATCCCACCTGCACTGCACCAAGCCACACCTGCACCGGATTCCACCTGCATGCACCGTACCCCACCTGTGCCCCATCTCTTCCAGTCGCTGCAGGCACCATGCCAGGTGTCTGCTCTCATCATCTGCCACGTGTACGAAGTCCAAAAAGAACTGACGTGGAAGCTTCCACTCTTGCCCCAAGCTCTCCCTTCTCCCCTCCTCCTCCTCCCCATCCCTCCCACCCCCTCCACTCCACATCCTCTCCCCCTGCTCCTCCCCGCTCTCACCCTCCGCCCCTAGCGCGGAGAATCTCACAACAGTGTCCCATGCCAGGTCAATGGCGTTCAATTCCACGTGGGCTAGGTTGTGCAGCATGTGCGCGGGCCAGGGTAACGGGGAGGCGGGACCAGGCTTGGGGACTGAACGCGGGTGAACCTGGGGAGGGATGGGGAAGTGGTGGGGAGGGGTGGGGGAGGGTAGGGGAGGGAATGAATAAGGGTCGGCAAGGGTGGGGAAAGGGATGGGGAACGGTGGCGGAAGGGGAGTTAAAGGGTGGGGGAAAGGGTGGGTGGGGGAGGAAACGCGGAAGCTTGAATTCCCCCTGCTCATCCGCCTATCACTTTCTTCCCCATCTCCCGCTCGATCCCACTGTTCCTCATACCCCCCCTCCCCCTTTCTCGCTCCCCAACCGTCTCTCGTTCCTGTACACACCCCCCCCCCCGCCGCCCCTTACCAGCTCTGGTCGCGCAGGCCGCGCGGGTTGCGGAGGGGCAGTCGCCACGCCAACCGCCGCGGCCGCCGCCGCCGCCGCCGTCGCCGCGCTGCCGGCCGCAGCCGCCTCGCCTGCGGCCGCCGCGCCGCCGGCGAGCAAGCGGTGCGCGGCATGCGTGACGGCGATCTTGACGCGCGGGTCGGGCGACTCGAGCACCATTCGGCCGCACTCCGCCAGCGTGGCAGGCAGCGCGATCCGATCCCACGCCACCGCGCCGCCATCGCCGCCGCGGGCTTTAATCGCCTCATTGCTTCTGGAGTTTTCCGCGCCGCGCGGGGAATCAGGGGAATTGTCAGAGGCGGTTGGGGGATCGCATGGGCCTTTAGGTCCCCAGAAGGTGTCTGTGCGAATCGCTGCGGTTCTCCATGCTGCCAAACCTGCCCATTCTCGCGGCTCATCTAGGGCCGTCCGATCGTTCTCTTCATGATCAACGGCGGATATGTCACGGTTCCGCTGCGGAGCTCGCTCATGCTGCTGGGCTTTCTCAGGACGTGCAGATAAATCCTTTCCATTTCCCCGCTGTGTTCTTGAGAGGGCCTTATCACTCTTACCAGTTTGAATTTGGCGGGAAATACTACTGTCGCTTAGACGAGAGAATAAGGCCACTATTAACCTTGATTGATGGGACGATGTTGAATGGCCACCGCTGCTACTTGGCCAAAGCCTGCCGCGGCAAGGACGGCGCAACGCGACCGCTGCGAGCGGTTGTGTAGGCTTGACGCTGGCGTGGCGAACGACGGAGACAAGACACGTCGGACATGTGACACGAAAGGGGACGAAATGGAGGGCCATTTGGAGATGCATGCCAAGGTGAGAGGTGGAGGTAAAATGCGGCATGACACTGAGCTTCAAAAACTTTGAACTTGTTACGGGAGGGACTGATAATTGTAGAACGTAAGTCAGAAGTTGTACAGATAGCTAGCCTTTGTATTTAGCTAGAAATTGCTAGCACATAAGCAGGGCAAATTTTATCAGTGTAAATCACCCTGATACCCTGATTATCAGGGTGGTTTTTGGTAGTCACACTGATGGCCTAGGGTAATTTTTTCGGGAGCTAGAATTTTCCTGATATGCCAGGGTTGGCACACTGATGACTCAGGGTTACCGATTTCATAACGAGTTTTACCCTGAAGCGAGTACCCCCCCCCCCCTCCCCTCTCCCGCCTAACCCCCTCCCCCCCAATTCGCCCTCGCACTACTGTCCCGCTTCAAAACCCATATAAAAAAATGAGCTATTGGAGTGCGCATGTTGGAGTGGCCCGGTCGGTAGATTGGGACTTCGAAAGGGTAGAGACTCGGGATCGACTCTTGTAGCTCGCTTTTTTGTCCAGAACTTCAGTAGAAACACTTCATCAGGGTATTGAAAATTGTTACACTGTGGCATAAGGGTAATTTTTTTTTTTACTATGGAAAACCCTGATGGAAAAGAATTTTCCCAAGGGGTCACACTGATAATCAGGTTTTTGCAAAGGTGCAGGACTGATGATAAGGGTTGCTAAAAACCAAAAATTAGCCCTGCACATAACACTACTTCGCAACGGCCATTCATAGAGTTCCACACCCAGCAGCAAGCAGCACAGCCACAGCAGCACACCTCGACTCATCCGCTGCACACCATGCACTCTTTATCAGCAGCTTGGCTGCTCCTGTCCACTCATGTCTCATCAATGTCTTGACAATGTTATCCAGCCAGGTAGTTCTATCTGCATCCAAGTGCATGCTGGTGAGAAGAACGTCAACAAGACCCTTCTGAACGTCACAGCAGAATCTGCTGGTGTCAATGGCGAAGTCTGATGTCAATTTGGTTGCCAGAAGCCTCCTCACGCTGATCTCCAGCAGTCGGCTGATATGAGGGCCTGACAGGCACTCAGAACCAGAATACACCTGCAAGCAACATCGGTCATTGAAGCATATCTCGTCCCAGCAAAAAAAAAAAAAAACACTTGCACCGTATGCGTCTCGGACCAAATGGCAAGAAGCTCTCGGACGGACGGGTCTTCAACATTTACCTCAGGAATATCAGCACCAATCAGGTTGAAATCGGACAGGACGACAGCTGGATCCTGATCCAAGTTGTACCCAGCGCCAACAGCTCGGTAGCCAGCAGTGCTGTCGTAAGCACACGGGTGCCAGCCTTCAGTCCTCGACAGGTACTGAGCCGTGCTTCTAAGGCACTTGGGCTCCGCGCTGTTGGTAGTCGCGGACCTTGCCACGTGATCTTGTGCTTGAGATGCGATTCTGTCCAGTCCGCCTCTATACCTGAACACGCCAGCTTGATTGCTTAACCTGGTCTCAACATCTGAGAGGCTCTTGCCAGTAATTCCTGGGACGTCATCTTTAAAAATGAGGAGACCATGACGGGTTTCCGGGAGGACCTCGTGAAACTCATCTCCATGAGCGTGATCTTGGGTGACATCCGCAGCTACCACAGGATTCTGAACAAGGCACACGGCCCAAAGAACAAACGGAACACAGTAGTAAATCGACATCCTCTTGGAAAGAACCCTACTCCTGGGAAAGATTGTCACAAGCTACGACGGACAACATAGCAGCAGGATGAATGATGATCAGTCTGCAGGTGAGCACCAGCAGCAGCATGAGCAGGACGACGTACCTGTTGTGCGACGAGTTCATGTGGTTTCGAGGTCCGTCTTTAGGAAATTCGTAGGAGAATATGCTTTCCCAACTGGAAAAGTCGGATATCTCGAGGTGAATAGAGCCATGGTGGACGGAATTCCCGTGAATTGGTGCATGATGGCAGTGTGTGCACACACTATTGGAACTAGTTTGGCGATACCACATGCATGTATGACACGTGCCAGTGGTCTAGTGGTAGAATAGCACCCTGCCATGCAGCTCGGTGCAGACCCGGGTTCGATTCCCGGTTGGCACATCTCGTTTTGAATACTTCGCTGTTTTATCTGGAGCCTATCCCGCAAAATCTTTTGGGTTGTACTTTGAAGCGATATACAATACGTAGAAGGTGCACCGTTGCACTGTATAGTATTATGAAAAAGGCACGCCTAGCAGGTTACAAAGTAAGACAGCCACTGATTGTGGGCACAGAGCCCACCCACGTGCAAGCACCGTCCGATCTTCAGCGACGCGCCGCACCCGCTTCGCCCGCGAGCCATTTCAATTTCCAGGCCAACGATTTCAATTTCTCCTAATTTCGCGTCGTGCGTTCGCAGAGTCGCGTTTACGCTCGGCAAAGGCGAAGCTGTTTGTTCGTTGGTTTGGTTGGAATAGTAAACTGTCGCAAAACAGCACGCAGCCACCAAACCAGGCACGCACGCACACAGCCCACCAGGCACGGTTTGTGTTGTGTTGTGTCCTCTGTCTTGACATTACATTCGACCGAAAGCTGCGGACGGCAGCTCGTTTGCCGAAGCAGCTATCGGAAATAAAGGAGGCTCTCACGCGTTTACTGACACGCCAGAAGCGGGGAGAGCATTACAGTTCAGAAGCCATTAGCTCGTCGAGTCAAGTCAGAGGTTCCCTCAAGGTCCCGAAGGCCCCCCCTACAGGATCCTACAGCCCTTTTCATCGGTAAAATAGTGCGATTCTTTGAGAGTGCTTCCTCAGCACGATTCGCAACATCTGGCCACGCTCCCGTGATTCACCGGTACCTATTTCCCCGACGCTCTCATCTCCGGCAAGACCACCCTCATTGTTGAAGCCCTCTTTCAGTAATATTTTCCTCAACTAGTTGTCGCCGTGCTAGTGCTAGGTGTAGCATAGTAGTAGCCATGGAACGCCCAGCGCTGCTTTTTCTCGTGCTTCTGGTGGCGCCGTGCTTCACGGCGCGGGTCGAGGCGTCGTCGTGCATCACGGCGTGCACGGTGCCGGGGACGGAATACGCCAACGCCAAATGCGTCAAGCACTGTACGGTACGTCAAGCATTGCGCGGTGCGTGAAGCACTGCACGGTACGTGAAGAACTTCACGCTGCGCCTAGCATCGAATATTGCGCACCGCACCGCATCGCATGCACCGAACGAGGAGGTGTCGTGCGTCTTTCGAGGAGCCTCAACAAACATTCAATGTTCGTGCATTGAGGCGCCTCGAAGCAGAGCCGCATCCAATCCAGCACGATCCATTTCCTACTGGAATGAACGGATCAATGCCTGTCGTGCCTCATGCCGTCCACGCCTGTGCCCAGAACGTTCCTTACAGTACCAGCACGCTCGCCGTGCTTGCGCCGTGCGTGCACTGCCATGAACCTACTCGCGACATTACCGTACGCGATGTCCAATGCATTCCGTTACAGCAAGAAGCAGGCAGGCAGCTCATACCCCCTCCCTCCGACCATCTCTGCCTCTCCCCTCTCCTACCGCCCGCCGTTTCTGATCCGCTCATGCGAACTCTGTTGGCGTTTCATCTAATGCTGACACATTTCGTGGCCGCGTGGTCCGTTTTCACTGTGTGTCTCATACTCCTCACTGGGAATGTTTCTCGATCAACTGCTCAAAAGCACGGTACATTCAGAATGCGCGTCTCTTCACCCATCCCCATTTTCCACTTGTTTGCCCTCCCTTTCGTTCCATCGACTGACAGGCATGCGTGGCCGACACACCCCCATCTTGCAACGCGTATTTCAGACCAGCCTGGAGCCCTTCGTGTGAGTGATTCAAATCTCGTAACAACATAAATCACGCATATCACGCGTACTTGGCGTCGAAGCTCCCTCATAGCACCACAATCCAACCATCTCCTAACACATCCATCCTTTCTCTCTCGTCTTACCCTGTCGCGCCCCCCCTCCCGGACCGTTCAGACCGTTACATCAGGTACGAGTGCGCGACGAGCTGTCCGCCCACTCTCGCCTGGTCGCAGTACCTGCTGGTTACCATCGCAATTGTCTTCGTTTCTGTCGCCGTCGGCGTCACTTTCTACGCGTGCATAACAATGAGGGTTCGCTGACGTGCGCTTGTCAGTGAGCCTTCCCTCTTAGACTCGTCCTCCTGCAAACCTTTCTTCTCCAATGGTTCTTACACAAGACAAGCGGTCGCTTGTTGGCGCGATGCTTACACGAAACGGGCAGCCGCTAATTCGCATGCCAATGCAACTCTTACATTACAGAGTGGGCGCTGGGCAATGCGGCTATAGTACAGCTTGGCTATTGGAATTAAGCGAAAGGACATGACTTGGTGCCTAGCCATCTTAGTGGTTGCAACTCTTGTAAAAGTATAAGTTTCACTAATAGTGAAGGTTCTGATGTGAGCAACAAAACCAATAAATGAATACGGATGAGAAAAGAAAAGGAGCGTTTTCTAATGTCAAGCTCATCAGCAGCAGCCAAGCCGTTGTCTAGTCCTGGACAATACCCTCACGTTGAGCCTTCACCATGCAGTCTTCAAGACCGTAAAAGCCTTCTAGTAGTCGCGTTGGAACTTGCCAGCTATAGTGCTGTTCAACGTCGTACCAACGGAGAATGAGATGAACACGGGAACCTGGGAGGAGCTCCTCCCGCGATAATAGGTCGTCTGAACGGGAAGAGCACTGCTCAGCACCGAACCACTCATCGTGAAAGTCGGAGGACCGCGTCTTGGAGAAGTGTTGTACCACTTTCCCGAAAGCTCGACGAGTATTTTGGGGGTGGTAACCAGCGGGTCGCAGGGGTCTGTCGAATATATGGTCATCTTCGCGGGAGGTACTGCGACACCCTGAACCATGAGGCCGTAACGAATTTCGTTTGTTCCGGTGGTTCTGCGAACAAGCAGCAGCAACGAGGTTAAATGAGCACGTTAGAAGGAATAAAGAACCTTAATTGGGTAGGTGGGCCTAGGAACGCCTGCGGGTAAAGACGCTTCCGCGATTCTTACTGTGTAGAAAGGACGTCAATCATCGCGGCTCCGCGAATGAGAGCCCAGCCGATGCACGGCCGCATATTGGTCTCGTAGCGCGCCAATGGCGACGGCCGCCAAGGACCGCCTCCCCTTCCATTACCACCACCCCCTCTTCCATTATCACCACCACCCCTTTGGCTGCTGTCGTCGCGGTGGGCTACGACGAGCGCACTGGCGAGGAGAATCGCGACGGCGAGAACCAAGAACCGTGCCATTCGAGAAGTTTGCTGCAGGGTGAGCTATAAACGAGGCGAATAAGCAAGATGAAGCAATTGGAGTTGGATAGCGGAAGCTGAATGAAAAATTGTTCTTTTTGTAGCGATAATGGTGGTGCTGGGAACTTATGGGGGGGGGGGGGGGAGGGTGGGTGGGTGAGACGCGAATCAAATGGAGGGAAAGCAAGAGGCGGTGGAAAATGAAGAAACGAAGCTGAAACAGCTGGCGAAGAGCACATGACGAATACACTCCAGCTGGTTTCCCTCCCGAGGAAAAAGGCTTTCCACTTGCTGACGAAAGGCATGTGGCGGGGGTGGGGTTTTCCTGGCGAATGGTTGTCCCTCAAACGCCACGATGGCCGCAGTGGTGACAAAACAAACGAAATCTTGAGATCATGCGCGAAAAGATAGATACACCCTGTTTCTCGCTATTGTGTATGCCGGTATACTGAACCCTGTGGCTCAACGCGCCAAATTACGCGATATAGTAAACTTTTGCACCAGTTCGGTTTGACGAGGTCAGCTACCTTTGAAGACGGTCGATTAAACTTTTAATATGGCTCGGTAGGGTACCCAGGTCAACGAAATTTCGGATCACCCGCCTCCTAGAGACGGATATTGTAAACTTTTCAAATACGTCCAAGGAATAGTTCCACTGTTCAGTGTGTTTCCGCAGTTCAGTGTAGCGAGAAACATGGTGTAACAACTCGCATGCAGCTGGATCTTCACGACAACTAGCGACAACCTGGTAGCCAGCAGCACCAGCAATCGCTATTTTGAAGGAAAACAAGCAGCGGTGGGTCGTTGAAAATGTATGACCAAGTTTGGGGTTTGTTTGAGGGGCCAATAGCAACAGCTCTCAGATGTTGTTCTGGCGAGGTTGCTGGGTGCGGTGCGAGGCATCCGACCCGAACCGCATGGCATGTGTCAGGTGCGACCTGTGGTTGTGTTGGTTTCACGCACATGCTTTTCGCCACAACTGGTGACTGTCACACATTTGACGAGGGAACGCACATCCGATCCATTGTTCGTTTGAGAGAGTTTCACTAAGATACACAAGTTTCACTATGCCATGTATATGTTGATGTAAGGAAATAATTTATGTGTTGTTAGCTTCCAATAAATGACAAGATTTTGCTATATTAGCAAGCTTAATCATACACGGACATTGTATACCTAGACCTAGAAATTTAAATGCAATTGACTACTTGTTGCGCATGAACTTTCCAGCAACGGTGCTGTTACCCGCAGTAGTGTTCACGAACATCATCACATAAAGGGGCTGCATCTTCCACACCTTACCCCACGCGTTGCCCTTGGGAGCACCTGCAGGGCGAGCCTGCGGCAGAGCAGTCTCATTCACGGTGTTGCTCAGAGTGTACACCTGGGGAGGGTTCCTGTTCCTCCTAGAGGGTTTCTGGGGCGTGTTCACCCAGGTTCCATTCAGGTCAAGTACCAGCTTCTGCTCAACAAGCAGGTCGCAAGGATCGGTGCTGTAGACACCCTGGACGGTGGGCGGCTCGGAGGTTCCGGAAATGAGGATACCGTAAGTCATGGAGTTGGTTGTGTTGTCCTCGGTTGAAAGGACATTGGCGACAATGGATCCGCGGACGAAGGGAAGCGGCTTGCACGGGTGTAGGGTTCCCATGTAGCGAGCTGCATAAGGATGAGAGAGGAAAGAAGAATTCCAGGGAGAAACCGGAGAAACCAGATAATGAGTTGGGGTGGCCGCATTGTATGGTGACGTAGACGCAAACGACTGACGGGCGAAACGTAAGAAGCCGAACAAGCGGACACTCACCGAGCACAGTCGGCTTGAAGGGCTTCTTGGGGGGCCCGCCGCCACCTCCGGGCTTGCCGCCGCCGTTACCTCCACCGGGCTTGCCACCGCCGCCGTTATCTCCGCCGGGCTTGACGCCGCCGCCGTTATCTCCGCCGGTAGTTCCGCCTGTAGTTCCGCCGGTAGTTCCGCCGGAGCCTCCTCCAGTGTCGCCGCCTCCAGGCTTCCCATTGCCTCCGCCGTTGTCGGGACCTTTACCCGGTGGTGGGCCCTTCGACTCAGCTCCTGAAGACAAAAAACCACAGAAAGATATGGTGTGTTGTATTTAGAGAATTCCGTGGGAATGTGGACGGTAGAGCGCGGCTTGGTGTCGACTTTTGAAAACGGAACACGTTGATGGACGACGACATTAACTTTGGACAGGATAACTGGGAATACGCACTTAGGAGCAGGAGGGCGATGCACACGAGGACGATGGTAAGTCTGGCCATGGTAGACTTCAGGGGAAACAAAACCTAAGATTGAATGTGGAAGTGTTTGTGCTGGTGTGTCAGATGCAGGTTGAAATGTGCGAGGGAGAAGAGGGTACTTTATCTGACTTCGAGTTGGGGAGACCGTGATTGTTGGTTGGGTTGGGCTGGGATGGACACGGAGTTGGTGTGGAGCGCGGGGGCTTTGCTTGGGTCCCTGCCAGCACCTGACCTGGAGCAGGTGTTGTTGGTTTGGTGCTGGCGTCGCTGCTGTTCTGCTGTGCTGTAGTGGTGGAATGCTGCTCGCACTGTCGCACAAGCTTCACGACGCACGATTCACGGCGCGTCGCGCACATTTTCCGGTTTTGCTGAAAACCATACATTTGAAACGGGCAAGCGGCTGTGTTTTGGGCTACCCCGGGTTGAATGGAAGGTACTACATGCTTTCTGCGGTTTGTTTATCAACATGAACTTGAAGAGGGGGCGATATTTGACATTTGTGCTTTGATTACAGCGTTGAAGTTTGTAATCGTCAGAACAGCCCGGTTTTCCACCTCGGGTCAGATTGACTCAAAACTTTTCGTAGTTGGCGTGGATGTTGGGGGAGGCTGGTCGGTGATGACAATGAGAAGGTGGCCTTTTGTCGCACATTGTGGGGCTACCCTACGGAACCTGTACACACAGCATTTCTGCCCGATAACGGTCCAATCTCACACGCACCACTGGGTGGGCTTGCGACAGTTGTGGAGCACGTAATCTCCTCAAAACAGTCAAAAGCCACATCACGTAGGTCAAAAGCCACTCCGAATGTGTAAAGTCAACAGCATCAGCCGTTACAGCTCTATACACATTTGCTGTAGGGAAACTGTTACTACACTATCCAGGTGGAAAGTGGGTGCAAGTGGGCCATGTGGAGCTCGCTGTCCATTATCGCACTAGGTTGGCTCGTTTCATCTGAATGTGTTCAGGTAATTTTACCAGTTACAATTCAGCAACACAGAACAGTAGTATCAGGTGCAAATGGACCATTACCTACCAACTTTCACCACACCCAGAAGCTGAAGAACTCGAATGCCAAGGCAGGTCGCGTTCCGTCAAAAGCAACTTTGGGAAGTGCTTGAGTAATGAAGAAAAAAAAGTTGTTTTATAGATTCTTAGCGTCCACAAAAGGGCAAATGTTTCAAAGCATCATAAATGTCTCATAATGCTACCCAACGAATTGTTCATTACTTTCTTGTTGACCATCATAAGCAAGTTTCGACCTTAATATACCATATTTTTAGGCCAAACAAATGCTACGTATATTCCCTTTTTGGTCCAGTTGGGTTTGCATGATCCACGCGGGCACACAAATCCAACGCAATCGTACATTTCCGTTGCATTCGCATGCGATTGAATTTCACTGAGTCACTGCACAGGTTGCTCGAGTAGTTTGTTACGAATGATAATTATTGAAGCAACACTGTGCACTTCTTACCGCAGCAATCGAAGCACGCACTACCAAGAATGAAGACGAAAGGACGGAAGTGACGCGAAGGGTCGTACGGTTACGAAGGCAGACATCACCAGGCAGCAGCAGTGGTGAGGATTCTGCCCGAACAGTTTCGTAACTGTCTGGAGTCGCACGGTTGGATTTCGCTGTAATAAGGGAATGTACCCCTTAGAATACATGGCTAGCTAGGTCGTTTCGAATTCCCCTGTACTCATATTTATATTCCTTGTACTTGCATGTTTTAATTATCTCTAGCATTTTACATACACTCTGCTATTGAGGTCAAGGGCCCATCATCTTTGCTGATATAACTGAAGGATCGAAGTGGATAGGATAAGGATGCCAAGTATAAAGGAGAACTGTGAATTCTCAGTAATGACCTTGTTAATATATTGAACGAGAACAAGATGATTATAAGATAGGAATACAAAGGTATAAATAGCATTCCTAGCTAGCCATGTACTCTGAGGGGTACATTCCCTTATTAACTGAATTGCATTGCTACAGTAACCCACGACTATTGCCATTCTGGACAGTTACCATGTTGTACTTCGTAACTGCCTCGTGCGGTTACTGGGCAGTCAAGGGTCACGGCTGTTGACTTGTCTTCGACCGTTGACCTTCGGGTGACCCTTGGACTTCCGCATGCTCGCGGTACTGGTACAGTCGCATACTTCGTTATGAAGTGACGCGAGAGTGGAAACCTTCGGGAATGTTTATAATAACCTTTCGGTTATTCCAACACTCCCCTTCATTCCTGAAGGTGGGCCACGTGGGACTTCTTGGTGATCCCGCAAAGGTTGGCGCAGTGCTGGAACTGTTGACGTGGCAGCTTCTTTGTCAGAAAGCCGGCTGCCATGTCGCCAGTTGGGCAGTACGTGAGCTTGACCTAGCCCTCGTCAATTTCGTCCTTGACGAAGAAGTAGCGAAGGGCGATGTGTTTCGTGCGGTTCACGAAGCCGGGCTTGTTTGCGATCTTGATCGCGCTTTGGTTGTCGGAGAGTAACGTGAAATGCCCGTTCATCGTCACTTTCGCTTCCTGCAGAAGTTCCATCAGTTACAGTCCTTCGCGAACAGCTGCGCTGGCGGCGATAAATTCTGCTTCGGCTGACGAAAGAGCGATGAGTTCCTGCTTCTGAGAGTTCCACGAGATGAGTCCAGCAGGTTGAAGTTGGAAAAGAAATCCTGTGCGGGAGCATCTGTTGTCAATGTCTCCTGCGTGGTCAGCGTCTACGTAGCCGTGCAGCTGCAAGGTGGCCGTTAAGTTAGCTTCGTAGGTGAGGCCGACGTCGGGAGTAGAGATGAAGTATTGGAGTGCGCGGCGCAGATCCTGTAGATTCTCCCCTTCAGGTCGCTTCATGTACTGAGCGAGCTGGCTTGCGATGTAGGAGAGATCGGGCCGGCACGTGACGGCGGCAAATAGGAGGCACCCGAGCTGCTGCTGGTAGAGCCGATGATCTTCAAGGGACAGAGGCGTGGTGTTCGGCTCGTTGTTAGGAGGAGGAGTGCGGAACGGGGTGGAGAGGTTGATTGGTGCGATGCCAAATTTCTTCGCGAGCGTCTCTGCGTACTTGGCGGCGGAGAGATGAATGGAGGTGGCGGACTGGGTGATGTTGAGACCCAGGAATTGAGTGACGTCGTGGTTGATGGTGACTTCTAGCTGCGCCTTGAGGTCTGCTTTGAATTGATCCAGTAGCTCCGTGTCATCACTGGTATAGAGAAGGTCGTCGACGTAGGCGACGAGGAGAATGAACTTGCCGCGCGACTGCTTCCGGTACATTCCGAGGTCGTGGGGCAGCTGCTGGAAGCCGATGCTTGTTAACACCGTGTGGAGGTGCTGCTGCCACAGGCGCGGAGCTTGCTTAATCCCGTAAAGGGATTTCTGGAGCAGGCAGACGGCGCCGTCCGTCTCTTCGAAGGCATGCGGCTGTTCGACGAAGATAACTGCGTCGACCGGGGCGTACAAGAATGCGCTGCTGACGTCGATTTGACGGAGTGGGCGCTGCTTGATGGCTGCGATGCAGATGAGAATCCGCACTGAGGTGTGCCGTCCGACTGGAGCGTAGGTGAGGTCGAAATCCACCATGTGTGTTTGCTCGAAGCCGCGGACCACCCATCGCGCCTTGTATTTGTCGATGGAGCCGTCCGCCAGCGTCTTAATGCGGAACACCCATTTGCCGCTGAGAATTTTCCTCCCCTTCGCAGATGTCCGGGGAACCAGCTTCCAGGTGCCACGAGTCTTGAGCGACGCGACCTCCTTGGCCATGGCTGCTTTCCACTTCTCACTGTCGGGGCCGGAAAGATCCTGGCGAACAGTGGTGGGTTCCTTGGGGGAGGAGTGGCGAACAGCGACGGCGAGCCCAAGGATGCGTAGACCAGTTTCGTTGGTCTTTTCGTAGTGCAGGCGATCGTAGTCGTGGAAGCTGGTTACTTCGACCACGTCGTCGTCGCTTTCGTTACCGGGGCGGATTGTGTCTTGCGAGGTGTTGGGCTGTGGTAACGTGTTGTCAGGTGAGTGACGGGCGGCGCTGTTGAAGTCGTGGGCTTGGCGAGTTGTATCGTCGGGATCAGTTTGGTGTAGCGGAACAAAGGTTGGAGTCTGAAATGGGCTTGTAAGGGGGATGTTGGGTGCGCTGTTAAACTGGGTGACGTGTGCTGCAGCCTCATCTTCTGCCAGGTCAGCTTCATCGTGTGGAGTTGCGAAGCTGCAGTGTCCTTCGAAAACCCTTTCCGGTGCTGTGTCAGCTGCGCGGTGGTCGTTGAACAGTGGCAGAGTCAGCTTCTCGTAAAAAATGCAGTCACGTGATTTCGTCACTTCGTGTGTCGCGTAGTCCAACACAATCCACGCCTTGTATTCCTTTTCGATCCCGAGGTGGATGCCCCAGCGAGCTCGGTCAGTAAATTTTCCGGTCCGTGCTGTATGTGGCCTGTACTGTACCATGCAGCCAAAGACCCGGAGCAGGCGAGTGTCTGCCTTTCTGCCCGTCCATGCTCGGTGAGGGGAGTTGTTGTTCTCGAGACTTCGGGAGGACAGCAAGTTGTGCAGTCGGACTGCATGGTTCATGGCGAACGGCCAGTAGCGCGTTGGGATGGCCGACTGCTTCATCAGAGCCCTCATCCTTGTGGCGAGGCTCCTGTTTGTCCGTTCTGCGACTCCTTGCTGTTCGTGAGCGTAGGGCAGGGACACCAGGTGTTCAATCCCTTTCTTTCGGAAGAGCTCCTTGAACTCGTCTGAGAAGAACTCCAGAGCTCCGTCCGTTTGCCAGCTTTTTAGTTTGAGTCCCGATTGCCGTTCAGCTCGCTTCATCCACGCAATGAAGCATTTGAAGGCGAGCGACCTGCAGTCCGTGTTGACAGCCCAGACGTGGCGAGTGCTTGCGTCGATAAAGGTCAGCGTGTAGAGTTCGCCGTCAAGACCCTCATGCGTCAGGCACATGAAGTCGCTGTAGACCTTGTCGAGCGGCTTGTATCGTTCGTAGCCGGGCGGTAGGTCGGGGAAGGGCTTGTGAGCGAGCGACGCGGTGGGGCA